AAAGTCTGCGAGTCGTTGGGCTTCCCCATGAACCTGCTCCGGCGGTCGCGATCCAGTACGTGTCTATGTTTCTTGACCTGTGGGAATACCTAGAGGATGTGTTCCCCCGTCTGGTTAGCTGCCCCACGTGTACACTCTCTGCTCGCTGTGTGGATACAGAACCGGTGGTAGCCCATGTGTGCGTGGCCGGTGCGGAACTGGACCAGGTTTTCCAGTCCAGCAATTTGAACCTGGTGGTGGATTTAGTCGATGGGGAGTTCTCGTTTGCTGTGTGGAATCCTAATCGGATCGGGATGGGCGTGCTTTCCCGACGTTCCTCTTCCATGTCCGGGCTGAGGCGAGCTCCCCCTTTGGCCAGCTCGTCTACGCGCTCGTTGCCCTTGGTACCACTGTGACCGGGGAACCAGCTTATCGCGACCTTGAGGTCGTCTTTGCCGTCCAGGAGCCTGCCACGCTGCCTTCCTAAAGGTCCGGGTGTGTTCTTAGGCTTTCCCGGGCTTCCCTTGTAGGATGCCGCCGATCGCGCTTGTATTGTCTGAGTAAAATACTATGTTTGACTTGTGAGTGCGCAGGTCGTTTTCGCGTGCCTCTTCCACCGATGCCCTCAGTCCCATCATTTCTGTGTCAAAGGCTTCTACCTAGCTGCCCATAGATCCATTCCTCTCAAATACTGTTTCTCCTGCTAAGTAGCCTGCTACTCCAAATCCTGTGTATTTTTGTCCTTGGATCCGTCGGAGTACACGACGATGTAAATACCTCTCGGATAGTACGCCATACTACCACTACAAAGGTGACCGCGGGGATAATAAAATAACACAGCAGCGGCCCGTGCGCTCTCGTGACTTGTCTCCAACACTGTGGAGAGTCGTTCTCGCTAATTGCCAAGGCTTGGCCGGCTTGAGTAACTCAAAGCTCAGACCCATGTATCTATGCTGGCCAAAATGCATCTGACGCTTCATCTGCAATCGTCATTTCCATATACTACACGTGTGCGTCCCATTCTTCGTGAAAGGGCGCTGCTGCATGGCTGTCTATGTGCGCATTCAAAAAAAACAAGTGGAAACGGGGGCTGCGAAAAACGGATAAGGTGCGAAGGCATAGATCAACACCGCGTCAATAACCATCATTGGCCTGTAGCTTCCATCAAAACTTCCCCCACAAGGACCTGGTGGCGACCCGTTTTGCAGAAATCATAAGAATGATAGAAAGCACAAGGGTGGAACCTACAAATCCCACACCACGATAACCGTCAACGAAACCTCTACCTCAGGACAAAGCAGAGAAAAGGACACTTACCCGCGTACGCCCCAACTGCCGCGTAGCCTCCCGTAGCGTCACGAATAACACCTGATATAGGTGCACCACACAGGACTCCAACACTGCCGCAAGTGAATAACATCCCTGTTCTTCGTCCCATGTCCCCTTGACCACCAAATTCAGGGTGCGACAATGGCGTGCTGAAAAGCCCGATGAAAGCACCCACTGCAATCCTATACAGATGGGAGGGATGTCATGGATTAATTTTCTTTCGGTTAGGATTCACGCTGTGGCCAAAAAGGCGGGATCTATGCGCACCCATATATAATCGACACAAAAATCAAGGATCCCAGATTCAAACTGTAAGGCCAAACGTATGTCATCACGGCCGCTATCACCATGAAGCACCCCAGCACGTTCACAGGTCCAATCCACCCGGCCAAAATAGCTGAAACAACCCTTCCAATACTCGAACAAGCATTGGCTAACGCAATGAGATAAAATGCCGTATCCACAGGTACTTTGGCTACTTCTATGGCGGCGATGTCCAGGTATGTTAACAAGGTGAACAGCCCTAGATGGATGCCTGTGCAAGAGACGTAGTAGAGTGTGAAGTGGAGTGACTTGAATGCCGGGAGATTGAAGAGACCACCCTTTACGTTGGTGGGGGGAAGACGACGTTTGAGGAAGAGATTTGCTGTACCAGTAGTGAGGAGGAAAATGAACCCTAGGACGCGTATTGTCCAGGTAAAGCTGGGGAGGATATATAAGCAGGTGCGTAGCGAAGGCAAAATGTGAGTTGAGAACACATACCCAACTTTTGGAATGAGGATGCGAGTTACGATGGGCAAAACTGTCCCGCCAATGCTAGATCCAATGGATATTAAACCAAATACCAATGGCCTCCTCTTATGGACTTGGAAGAGAGTGCTATTGTTAGGTACATAGGTACACATTCCGAAGAAACATGCCCACGTACAATAATTGGCTGCCACTGCAAACGTCGGACCGTTTAGGAAGCCCTGATGATATCTGTTCCCAAGTGCAAGGAGAGTACGTGTAGATAGGTCAACGTCAAGCCAAAGGGAGGTAGGTAAAGAAAATAATGAAAACAAAAGTACGCTACCCCAACAGCAAATCCCTGAGCTAGCATAAACTGCCAATACCTCTTACATTCCCCAACGACGAATGCCGAGATGATGAAGAGGCACGTAGCTAGAATATTTGTTTCGCGGTAATATCCAATGTCGAATAGTCGGCCGCTGATTATGCCAGGCATCATGTTCAGTGAGAACTGTGGGCAATCGAATGGTTCATGGAAAGAAATGAAGAGTGGGTGATTAGTGACGATGGGGTCGAGTGGGGGGGGTGGATACAACGAACCTGAACCGAGCCTATCCATGCTCTGTACCATAGAAATTGAACAAACGTCAACCCAGGCAAGCGGTTACGGCGGACTTACATGTTCGATGGACGACTGTTCGGAAAGAATCGTTCGTGAATAATACTCTTGAAAGACCTTTAGACGACATTGTCAGAAAGAACCCGAAATTTGATAAGGCTGAAAGCAAGAGGTTTACACCCTATTTGAATTGAGATCGAGGGGATTTTGGATCATCAGATCGTTGCTGATTTGTTACCTGGGTCGAGGAGAAAATATTGGTACGTACCCAAGTGTTGACCATGCCGAACCTGTTGATAGGGAATTGAGTTATTTCGATAATCACATATCAGGGAAATATCATACGTCGAGAACATTAAGAGATTACACTGACGAGGATGATCAGCGCGCACAATCGGGACAGTGGATTTTGGAAAGGGGGGTGTTGCTCCCATCGGGTGGGCGATTTCCGTAGCCGTTGAACACTCACCCCAAGGACGACAAGCCAAGCTCTAAGTCCCCCCTCAGGGTACTCAATTCCATCGGAAGACTCGAGAGTTCGAATACAACCAGTTCTTCCGTCGATCTCGTCCCGTTCATCGCCCCTTAAGTCGAAGCCCTTCACACAGTCTTTGTCTCCCGCGAGTGAACCTTTCTCATTATTGCTGTCAGCCTTAAATTCACCGGATGACGGCTCGACAACTTTTTCATCGTCTCTAGGATTGGATATCGCGTCAATGTCCGCCATGGTTTCGGTCGGTGAGTAAACCTCGCAGAGGTGCGTAGTAGGAGTTGGGGTGGTGATGGGGGTACTGGCAGAAGTAAGGGTCAAAACCGGTCTGAAGTCATGTGGAAAGCGTACGTAAAATGAGCAAATAAAGGGGGGCCAAGGGACGGGATGTATATACACATGACAGCTGACTGGACTCATTCACCACAGGTGAATGGATGAACCGAGGCGGAGGTCCCAGCAGTCTGTAGCTACTAACTTCTGTATCGTGCGTCGGGGCGAGGCAGGGGACACTCTCTTATTCAGTCCAGGAGTCAGGCCGTGATGTAGAGGTGCACGGTGCAAATGGGGATTTGGTTTATGTATCCCATGATCGATAAGGACATATTGGATATTTCGAACATATGAGCCTGTTGTTTATGATTGCCGCTCGTGAGGTGCAGTGACGTGCCGGTTATCAAGCCATTTGTGCAATGATTATTGACCAAGCTTGCGGGGCGGTTGTTGGGATAGGATTCTTAAAGCCATTTCGAGGATAAGCTAGGACTTCGGACCGAACCCGTTCCTGAGTCATGCACGAAGCTCTTCCAATTCAATCGCCTTATTTTGGCCTCTTCCCTTCAGCAGGCGCACAGCCATGACGGCCGAGACACCGCATGGATAACAAGATAACCAAGATCTCGCACAGTTGATATACGGTTGACCGCTGCACCAATCTGAACCCAAAACCCGATAATTTACTAGGCAGGTTCCCAGCCTGTACTAGAGTAGAATAATGACTTGCAAGGGGAGTATCGATCGCTTTCCAACATTGGACCGTCCTCCCTATCTTGTATCTGTCGATTCTCTCAATCGTGTCTACTACACTGTAAGATAGCCTCACTGCCACGTCGTCATGAGGGGTAACATTGGACTTTGCTCGCTACCTCTCACCTTATTCATGACGAAGCCCCCGGACTTCGGCACCCCGCCAGAAGCCTAAATTCTGCAGGTTGGATATCCCGGATAATCAAAAACAAGCAGAAAATCCGCATAGGTGACCAGTGAGAGGCACCAAACGTGTACTAGTTTGTTGGCACCCATATCATGATATGTGACTGACATTACTCCTCGTTCGAGCAAGCTCCATCTCCAGTAGATCGAGGCACCAGACAAGGATAGCAGCCCAAGTTGCAGAAACTTACGCTTCTATGACACTAGTTCTTCCGTTGCATGTGTGGCATGATCCTCAGCTAAACCGCATAGCAACAAACGCCCATACCCACCGTAACGGATAATTCCCAGCTCGGCCGCATAGTAAGCAGAAGGGGTAAAAATCTATAAAAAATCATTCAAGGGTCCCTGGAACATGGACAGCCATGACAATGCGAATTAACACTCCACCAAAGGCACCGAATCGTAGAAGCATCTCTGGGGCCGGATGCGTTGCAATTTGCTCGGTTGTCAACATAAGTACTCTGAAGAGGAATAATTCATCTAGATAAGACATTTCAAAAAACCGGAATCACAGGCAACCATAGGCGATGGTGACCACGGCCTCGTAACTACTTGACTCAGTAGTGAAGGAACGACAGTACATCGCCACCAATACAAGATAAACTGAATTTGCCAACACGCCAACCAAGGGTAGTAATGTCCGATCTCGCTAACAAGATTGTCATCCTCGTCACTGGTGGATCGGGACTGGTTGGATCGGCTATCAGATGGGTGATTGACAACGAGCCCCAAATTCGCGATTCGGGAAACACGATAATGAGGAATGGATATTTGCGCGTTCTAGTGAGGGTGATCTGAGGTGCACGGCTTGTCCACCAAGTCAAGCAAGACATAACCTCTCTTTTTTGCCACCAGGGACCCTGAAGCTGCTAAGAAGCTGTTCGAGAAGTATAAACCCACTCATGTTATTCACCTGGCTGCACTAGGTAACTTGTTTGGTATCGATCTAATTCTCGCTGACAATTCTGTAGTTGGCGGGCTCTTCAAGAACATGAAATATAAACTGACATTCCTCCGAGATAATACACTCATCAATGATAATGTCCTTCAAACGTCCCATGAAACGAAGGTTAAAAAGGTCATCTCCTGCTTGTCGACGTGCGTTTTCCCCGATAGGGTTCAGTATCCCCTCGATGAGACAAAGATTCATCTTGGCCCTCCACATGAGAGCAATTTTGGGTACGCGCATGCGAAGCGGATGGTGGACGTGACAAACCAGTGGGCGCATTCCGATCAGAGCAACGGAGGTGGTCCTGACTTCCTGCTGCACAGTGCCTATCATGAAGAATTCGGCAGTTCCTTTACATCTGCCATCCCAACGAATGTCTTCGGTCCCCACGATAACTTGTGTGTATCTCCATACCAGTTTGGAGTCGAATGATTGATCGACTCTCTCAGCGATCTGGAGGACTCCCATGTCATACCAGGACTCCTCCACAAGTGTTATTTGGCAAAAAGCAGAGTACTCAATTCGCTTCAATGTCGTATTTGCTGATCGGCAATCCTAGAGAACGGCACGCCCTTTACCGTAGCAGGAACTGGGAAACCCCTTCGACAATTCATTTACTCGCGAGACCTCGCAAAGCTATTCATCTGGCAGTTGAGGGAGTATGACGAGATTGATCCCGTCATTCTATCTGGTTCGTTTGAGCACAGTTTGCTCAATATAATGGTTTGATGAAGCTCACTTAGTCGGTGAGAACGAGGAGATCAGCATCAAGCAGGTCGCAGATGCTATAGTCAAAGCCATCGGCTTTGAAGGCGATTACAAGGTGAGGGAAGTTAATTGTGTTAGATGCTTAATTCCAGAACCCAGTGGCCTTTCTCCATCTCCAGTTCGATACGACTCGAGCAGATGGGCAGTTCCGCAAACCTGCTTCAAACGCAAAGCTTCTGAGGTTAATCGGCAATTTCACCTTCACGCCTTTTGATCAAGGTGAGGGGTTTCCTGTACGGAAACGGGCCCAACTTGACTGCGGTTGGTTTATCATCGTAGCTTTGGAGGAGACTGCAGCGTGGTTTGTGCAGAATTATGATAAGGCTAGAATCGGACAAGTGCCAAAAGCGAATGAACCAGAGTAGGAGTTGCATTCCATGTAGAACTCGGACCATTGTAATTTCAGCATTTAGATAGTATAAGTAGGATATCCGTACAAGGGCACACGATCCCTTTTCATGTTTCATTAGTCGGAAGCCAGCCAACGTAACTTAAAAATCGCCCCAATTACGGCGGAATTTGTACTGTACGAAGATTGTTAGAGAACCAACAGAGCATGTGCATGCGTGATGACAACGGACTTTGTACGGCGCATTCTTCCTCAACTTTTCAGCAGGAGTCTTGGGCGGTCGATACCCTTCTGCACCCTGACCCCATTCCGGCTTGTCTCGCGCTTCCTTGACGATGTTGAGGTAACCAGCCTTGGGATCCTTTTTGGGTCGAATAAACTTGGGCCCAGATTTTGAAGGCTGACCTGTCGTCTCACTGGACGCAGGCAATACTTTCGCTGAAGGTGGTTTGTCGTGGAGGGCTTTGGCTTCTTCTGGGCTTAGTGTCGGCAAACCTTGGAATTCGCGCTCTCGGTTCTCCTCCTCGAGTTCAATTCTCTCATGATGCTTGAAGTGTTCGCTGCAGTATCGTCAGGGTGGGAGGTCCAACAACGATACGAAGTGCTTACGTATCCTCAGGATGGTTGTAGGATTCATCCGTTTGTGTTTCCGGAGTGTTGTGGTATTGTTCTGATCACGTCTGTGAACAAGTCGCTTCAACGTATCTCAAGACGACACACCTTCGTGGTGCAAGAAGAACTCGCTCTCTTCATCGTAGTGATGTCCCTCAGCGCCAAGATTGCTATAGTCCGGAAGTGCGGCCAATCCAGCAGCTTCGAACTCTTCCAATGAGATGACCCCATCGCGGTTGGTGTCGATCTTGGCTAGAACCTCTCGGACAATTCGTTGAGCCTTGGCAGCATGGACGGCCTCGCTAGGAGATTTCTTCTGGGAGTCCGTGTGGTGGACACCGTAGATAGCCTCAATTTCAGCGGCGTCCAGCACACCATTCCGATCCAAGTCGTGCAGAGAAAAAAAAGCGCCAACGTCGAATGAATCACTAGAAAGCATAAATGCTATACCCCCAGCTCAGATTGTATGAATCTCACATGTGATGTTCGGACGCCATCTTAGGAAGAGTTTGAGTGGAATGATGGAAACCACAATCATAGGAGCGAAGGAAACATACGTGTTTTAGGGCATAATTCTGGGTAGTGTCACTGACACTCTCCTGCTGATCATGCTCCCCGGCATGCGCAGCTATTAACGGCGGGAATAGAAGTAGACACAATTTGTATAGTTTGAAGACAACCATTGTAAATGTGTGTGGTTGAGTAGTCCGGCGAATGCCGAGGTGGGGTTGCCATCCATGTCAGAGCTGCTTATTCATGTACAGTTCTATATATTATTACGAAGTCATAGAGGCTGGAGTCCTGCCTACATGTACAGTAACGTGGAGAACAGTGTCTCGGTTTTAATTACAAGTAAGAGAATAATAATTTTATGATATGGAAGTCATAACCCCTCGAACATTTCTTCTAAGAAATCCTGCTCTACTGCATCCCAATCAATCAAGCTCCTAGCGTAGGTACTTTCGTACGAAAGCATGCTGAGGGTGGAAAAGAAGGGGCCAAGCTGGGAGAGGCTAGAAATGCTGCGGATGGCATGCAGCAGAGGCCTCCGTAACTGCGTTGTCCCGGTACTTGACGGCAGGTGATTTCGCAAAACTGCATGGGCAGCTTGAGATGTGCCTGCACGTTCCTTCGGTATGGTATTAGTACATCATTCATGGGCATGGGGAGATGTATCTTGCCTTCAAGGATGTGCTCAGGGTAAGCTCAGAAAGACGGTCCATGAGGGCAGTAGGAGACCAGCCATCAGGCTGAAGGATTGCATCAATTGTATCTGTTGTAAAGATCCATTCATGCCTAATTGTTCAAGACTCAGACCCTGGCCCGTTAAAGAAATGCGGAGATACTCACACTTGAAACTCCTCCGTTTGGAGCACCAACAGTAAGTCGAGTAATTTGCATGCAGAGAGAACAAATGTGAGTTCTTCAGAGCCATCTGGAGGGGCAATAGATGTGAGGAGTTGTTCAAAGGTACGGTACTAGATATGTGCGTCAGCTTCGATAATCGACGAATAGGGAACACTGACCAGTTCTGTCAGGATGGTGGGCCAGAAGCTATTCATATTATGCGGTGACAAACGACAAATAAGAATTCGCATGCAAAGGAACACCTGTGGCAGTTTGAGTTAGTTCCAAATTCCCCCTGTAACAATAGTTCGTGCCTCGCTTTGAACGATGGGCGAAACAGATATCATGCGCAGCACATCAACGAGCTTTTCCTGAATCGTCGGAAGTTGCACCAGGAAATGGTTTTTTTCGCCAGAATACAACACAAACGAAAGGCGGCGCAGATTGAGGGACCGAAGCAACATCTCGGTCTCACGACTTGTGAAAATATTCGTTGATGGTGCTGCCGTAGTTCGCGCTAGAAGAGTCCTCAGCAACGAATTGATGATCCAAGTGGTAAGTCCTACCAATTAGATCAGACAGGCTTTGTTTGTCTGAATCTACCAGTGCCATAATAAGCGGTTTCCACTTCTGACCAACCGCAGGGCGGCTATTGAAGAACCGTGCATCGTTGAAACTGTCAAGAATTACAGGTTTCCAGGCTTTTGATGAGCCTGGGATCTTAACCATCTCAGACAAGAGATCGAGGATATAGTCGTCCAAATCCAATGTTTTGCTAGTTGATAGGGTTAGGGTTCTCCATAGCGTCACCGCGGCGTACCTTACCTAGACCTCGCTTTGGAAGCGTTGTTGACGATGTAGTACACAATGTTGCTGCACACCCCCAGCTGCTTGTCGGTATCCGCCAAAATCTTACGGAGATTCGGAAGACATGCTGTTGCCAGAAAGGCAACAATCTACTCAAAGAATCATTAGTATCATAGTATCTATGAACGTGAAGCATGAGATGTACTCGCCGGCTCTGCCACAACGGTCATCCCGGCTTTTGTCTCATTTGAGGCGGCTCCGAGCAATCTCTCATGTCCATTCACCCCATGTTCTAGATTTCGTAAGAAGACTCGTTCGATATGTTGATTGTAGATAACTACCTGGCATGGAAGGGGAAACTCTGCCACTTGATACTCCGGGTTCTTTGGTTGACCGACGTATCCAATTGCCTTGGTCAAAAGACTTCCCGGCAAGTAGCACACAGTTATCCACCGTTTTGACATAGAGATCCTAAATAAGATAGCTTATTCTTACACTTTAAGCTGTGACGGGATGATCGTGCGACTAACTTGAATATCTTTTCGAAGTTTGCGATCCTCCATTGCTGAGGTCTGGGCAATTTTCTCACACGCCACAGTCATACACCTGTTGTCAGGAATTCCAGGTCGATATTCCCTGTCAACGGAACGATGACACTTACCTTAAAACCGGGAACATCTGCGCTCTGTATACTTGAGGGGTAGCAACGACTTCCCTGACCGTTTGAGCAAGTCGTGGCCAGACCTGAACAGCGATCGGCCCCTCTAGATGCGAAAGATAATCTTCCAAGAAACCTAGCAGATGCAGATCGGTTCTATTCGAGATGAGTTAGCAGTTAGACGGTATTTCTTGATGGTCGACTTACATGTCCGGGTTGGGCAACGTTTTCTTGCCCCGATCAAGCTGCGTAACAACACGGTTCATGAAACCCTCGCAAGTCATCTGCACTACAGTGCGTGCGTCGTATACTAGGGCATCGACAACGTCGATAGTTCGCATATCTACAGGCATTCCCAGCTATGACTAAAAATCAGGGGAAGATAATCGATAGTATGGCTCTTCACAAACTTGGTTATTGGCTTGCTCGACCCAACACTCGACCAGAAACTCGAAAACTTCGTTGCTCAGGTGCTTGAAAAATCGTTCGAGGACCTTGGAGCACCGCAAACGTACTCTTCCAGATATCAGAGAAAGGGATTCGTTGATGGCGAGTGAAGATTCATGATTCAGTTCCGCCGTCGAAGACCAGATTGTGTGCAGTGTTCGAGTGGCCTCGCGGAGCGACCGGTACCCCGGGGACTTGGCCTGGGTAAATGTGAGCCATCCCAACGCAACGATTCGGCATGGTACCTCACCGTGATCTGATCATTCAAAACTTCCGGCGTTGGCTCGGAGCCAAACACAAACCCAAGAAGTCCGGGAGCTGATTCAGTTCCGCCCTTTTCCCCTTCCGACTCGTCCCCCAGTTGTTGCTTGTCGTTCTTCACAAGACTTGCCAGCACTAATCGCTCCAATGCGTTGAGAAGGGTGATAAATCCACTGTCAGTTGTTGACGAGAACGCCGTGGCTTTTCCCTTCGGGGAACTTCCGGAAGAAAATTGCAGTACCTCTGCCAGTCGCAGGCGCAACTGTCGACAGATACATTCGGACACGGAAAGGTTGAATTGAGACGGTGCATGCAGTTCAGCCAGGGTCATGAGAACAAAATCGATCCAGTGTTGAAGAATTGCTCTATTTGATGACACGCTCATAGCGTCCAGAATTGTGGGAAGTAATAATGGGTGAATGCTACGACGTGCTTCACCCCGATCAGGAGGAAAGGCATCAGGTACGAATGATCGCTGGGCACCACCTTGAGGATGGGACGAGGAAACGATGACGGAGTGAAGCGCATGCAACAGCTTGTTTTGTAAGTCCAGCTGTCTAGAGTGGACACTAATGTAAAGCTGGCTAATGAGGCTTGCCTCGATGTTGTCCAAACTCGTTGAATCTATTTCTCCCCGCGAAACTATAGATTGAATCAGGTCCACACAAGTAGATTTTATGCGGATATTGTGTGGTTGCATCCCAACGACCAATGGTGGGGCGGGATCCGTTTGCATAAACCTGCTCGATGTGTAAATGAGGCCGCACACCCAACTTGTCATTGGCTTACTGAAGAAGTAGCTCCACTAAACTGTCTATGTACGTCGACTCCGCATGTAAAACGTTCCCTTAGTGACTTTAGACCAACGCAATCAAGGTGGAAGACGCGGATGAATTACCTTTCTCGGCGGTGGAGACAAGAGTTGGGTGGTGCGTTCGCCTTAACGGGGTAGTATGCGCCGTCCGGATGAATCCTTGGCCACCAAACTTTGTCACCGCGAGTAATGTTTCTAACAAGTATTGGACATAGTTTTGGTCAAATGCACGCGGATACAGAAAGCATCGGATTTGACGGCCGTTGAAGGAAGCAGTGTGAGGAACACGGAGAATGTTGGGAGATAGTAGATCGTGCAAAATGGGATCCAGAATACTATCGTCAAGCAGTCAACGGGAATGCCAAGGCACGCTGAGATCGGTAAAATAAGGCGTACCGTAGGTAAGATTTCAAGGATGTCCGCATCCACGTCTCGCCTGTCCGCCGGAGAGATGGGTCCCCGCTTCGTAAACAATCGAGTACGATAAGCATAGGAATTTTGAGCCGAATTCCAGGAAGGAAAGTATCATCTACCCGGAGGAGTTCTTTATGAGACAGACTAAAAACGAGAAACACCAGACACACCCGTGTGTCGCCAGAGCACTCCAAACTCGTCGAAAGCGCTGGGATCGCATTTCATGTTCGCATCAGAGAGTCTCGAGGCGATAAGGGATTCCACGTGTGCATGACGAGTGCGGTCCTCCAGAGTCCAAATCCAGTGGACACTGCGAACGTGGTATGGGGCTTGATAAGGTTTAAGATAAAGGAATAACTGCGGGTCACGTTAGAATGCCGATACCTTAACGTGTCTACCAAACTTCACCTGTGAGAGGAGGGTTCCCATAACGGATCGTTGGTCAATTGAAACAGGCGGTTCCAAGAAGGGTGTGTCCGATAATGTTATAAGTAACTGAAGCAGAATATCGAGGAGTTCGAAGGGCAAATCTTGGGTGATACAAGGAAGAATAGCTTCCAGCCAAGAAGAGGGATCCCATGGAATAATTGGTGGGGTTTGAGTAATTTTGGCACTGCGTAGAACAAGTGCGTCCAGAAGCGAGAGCATGCTCCCCAGAGACGAGAAAAGCTCCTTTTTGTCACTTGTCGCTCCCGAGAGATCTGAAGCACATTCACGACTCAATTTCAACAATAATTGGAAAGATGAAGAGATTGGCGTAATCGGCATGAGGAGGTTGCCACCATCGTCTTCGTCTTCGCCTTCAATCCTGAGACCGTATAATTGCTTAGCCCTCGTTAGTGGAATAGGAGACAGTCCAGAATCCCCATTTTCCCATTCAACCAGAGACCTTGCCGACATATCTGAAAGAGCATGGACGAGCGTATCAAGCAGACCAGAAAGTTGCGCCACAGAAATCGCGTTCCTTCGCGTCTCAATCTAAATAGAGTTCAGTAGGCGAACCAACAGGCAGTAAAATGCACCCACAAACGCTATTTGAATGACCGCGGAAAGATAGAGGGGTAGGTGTACCCTCCTGGCTTCCTCATCATGACTTCGGAAGTCCATAACCACGAGCCGCAAGACGTCCAAGTCCTGTCGGACATTCAGCAAGAACCAAAAGAAGTCAATACACTGCACGGACCTGCTGCACAACAGAGCCTGAGTGAATGGACGATAACATGGAAGCAAGCAACTCTTTCCACACAATCAAGAGCTCCGCGCGTTCGTACACATCATTTGCTGCGGCGGCTAGCTGAAGCCGCTCAGATCAGAAGAAGTCTTGTTACTCCAGATACACCACACACCTCAGGATCTGGCCTTCCATCTACTTTCCCTGCAGCAAAGGGTGCTCGAAATGCGTCAAGGATAAGTTTTTCAGTCAGCAGATTTCCGATCTCCCATTTGTCCAAGAATGAAATGAAGATCTTATAAGATCTTACGGTATTTGAGTTCATTGGAGAACCATATATGTCTTTCTGAGTGAGATGATCAACGAAAGATTGCGGAAGGGATCAAGATATTTGGGACTCACCCTTAAGGTCGATGCGAGGAGATCCAAAGAATGAGTCTTTAGGTATGCCACTTGATTCTCGCTTGTCTCATCTTTGGACCCAACAAGCCAATGATAAACACGACGATTAAGAGTAAGATCTCTCCGTAGCACGACGCCTATGGTGGCCTTCATGAGGATCGTCTGGTCCTCCGAGGGTGCACTAGAGACAGGATGAGATACAGTCGGCCGGCGACAAACAACTCTCACCCCTTGAAAGCAGCACCATCAATCCGAAACGATTGGTCGAGAAGATCCAAAACACCGCGTTTGACCAAAAGATGCTCATCCTCGAGAGCAGCTGCAAAAGCACGAATCATAAGCCCGACGTCGGTGCCCTTAACAGGCTGATGCTCTAACAATAGTAGAAACGCCTATTAGCAGGACTCTCCTCTTACACGCAATAGACGCATACGCTGCAACATTGACAATCGCCTGGACAAGAAATTTAGAGCCGGGCCCCGAACTGTTGGCACGGTCAAAAGAATAAGCCAGATGTTTTCGAGGAAAAAGCTCTCCGAGACAGTTTCCGCTAGTTGGCCAAGAAGATTTAGGACCTGGGTGCTGGTCATTGAACCAACCAAACGGTAGACTTCACCGAAAGTGCATACCTTATCGAAGAACTCGCCAGTTTCTTCCTCAAGCCCAGGCAATAAAGCAACAATTAGACCTTTCATGGCGGGACGAAGCGCGCCTTGCAACGGGATGTAATGCATCGTGAATAGATTCAGGAGTGTCGGCTGTGCATATAAAATTCATTAATATTGAGCCGATTGGGCGGTGGAGAGTGCAGAACCTTGACGGAAGTTGCAGCATATTCAAAGAACGGAAATAACCCCAACGACCAAATAGCAAGATCGCGCTTCAAACCAGCAGGCTACGAAGACCCCAATATGGATTAGTGAAAACAATGACGTAGTTCAGGAAACATACACCGAGGAGAGCAAGAACGTGGGAGTATACGTCAAGCGCTCTTTGATGGACACCTGTGGGCAGCGCAGGATTGAGGCATTGGGCAAGCCGCTTTGCAACAATGACTTTCCGAGGGATCTCCTTAAACTGCATATACAGTTGCATCGTCTATTCACAGTCCATGTCAGGCTGGCCCATCCCTTCTCCAAGGACAGCAACTCACTTTCAAGAGTCGTGTCAGAAAGGAGATGAAGTCGGCCCATTCATGCACGTTGTCGAAGGACGTCAAACACTTCTCAATTGCTGTCGTGTACTTCTTAAACTTTGGGTCATTTTGCACTGACACCGAGTTAGAATCCCGGAAACAAAAGTGAATGTAGCTCCTACATGCTTCTAGCGACGGACTTGGCGAATGCAGAGCATTCCACGCCGTGGCCATGGAGTATAGACGTAACGATCCTTCCGTCAGATATCACGGTAAGTGACCACCCGAGCCTGTCAATAAGTTCGCAGGTCCTCCCGCACACAATGAAAGCGTATGGCGACGCTGCAGGCTCGCTGTAACTCTCGCAGCAAGATGAGCTGCCCGAACGCTTAAGGACAGTTATATCGGGATTCCCCGATTGAATGCCTTCCAACTTTTCCCACGTCCTTGACAGCTATCCAGATGAAAACGCGCTTATATGCTGTAAGCACATATTACCCCGGCTCCTCATCAGGTGAATGAGTTTCCCCAATTTCGCCCCGAGATGCTGCTGGATAGGGACAGTCATCGCCAAACAATGATGTGCTTCCGCACACAGTAACACTCTGGGGGAATTCGATTCTCCTGCCTTCGAGTCCGCTGGAGTCTGGTGCTTTTTCTGAGCCGCCTTGCTTCTATCGTCGGCTTGTGTGGCACTTCTACCACATCGTGTAGGCACCCATCAACTCGCCGGTTGGTCAAATCACTTAGAGCCTTTTGACTTCCCACTCAATTCTGCATGCGTAGCTTATTCTTGACTGGGACTCGCAGGATAATTATCTCTGTTCCCCTTCGGATTAAGCCTTTGGGCTCTGGGCTTCTATTCCCTTGAAGGTGGTGAGCTTTTGCGTCGATTTCACATCTCGGTCATCGTCTGAGATGCTCTAGCTTGTGAGGCTTCAGGACGCGTCTGACTTGATTCGACATGGACGAATACGACGTCTTTGGCCTTTATTATTTCGTTGCTACAAGCTCGAGGGATTTTTAAACTGGGCCATCCGCCCCGCCGCTACGAAGGCGACCCCATTCGCCATCCGGAACCCGATATTTGCCCAACATGCTCCGTGCGTGGACTAGGGCGAATGACTGGGGGCCTGATATATTTGAACCTAAGCTCTCACATACGTGGATCTATCACAACTCTTAGCTGTCGTGCATGATCTACTTCAACATCAAAAGCACAACTTTGAACTGGCGCCATCTCAGCGTCTACATCAACGCCCGCAGAGGACTTGATCCTCAATCCCTCGTTGCTATTGGCACTTGGCAGGTTGGCGCTTTCACTGCCTGGCATGAACCCATCATTCCGAACACATGATTTTTGTCGTTGCCTCCAGCAGGCCATTGAAGAGCCCTACAACACTTGGGATTGCGTTTGCTTCAGCGTCGAGCCGGCATCCAACTTCAAACACCGTGCAAGGTCAATCTCATACGCGCCTCCGCGTCCTTGAGGCCACCTCTTCTTGGACCACAAGTCGAACAGGAGGATCTGGCACTTTCGCACTACGCATTTTCCCGCATGGCTAGCTTTTGGTCCTCATGACTAACTTCGCCCGACCGGGAATCATTGCCGGGAACATGACGCCATGTTTTGGATTTGGAACTATAGACGTTCCATCAGTTGGACCAGAAGAAGCAGGAATGGACCGTTCACGTTCATCCCAAGCACCCCCGTGGCTGGGGACGGCTGGTGAGCTAACCTTGTCATTTCTTCAAATTCCCCATATCATTGTTTGTTGTGGAAACGACCTGTTTGTCTGCGACGCCTTCAGTTCGCGATTATCAAGCACACATCACAGCTCGCTCTCTACACCTTTCAAGGTCAGATGATGTGAATAATGGATTGTCATGAGCAGCAAACGACCAACTGCATTGGATCAGACTAACTGTCCAACCATCCCAATCAACCAAAGATCCTGGGAGGCACTCAGTCGATCCCGTCATAGGGCCTGGTTGAGATGATCTGAAATGCGTCCACGTTTAGGTGTCTCAACTGGCTCAATCGAGCTCGGAGGTTTCTAGACTTACTCCTCATCGGAGCAAAAGGCACAGATGCAGACATCGTGAAGCATTAGTCTGCTAGGGGCTTGTGTCACAAAGGTAGGCCCCATCACATTGCTAGCAGGCACCGTTGACACCACGCAACATGAAAATATCAGTGGCATACTCATCTATCGGGTTGATACAACACGGGTAAGGTGCAAGCAGAGTTCAACGAAACTCTGAATGAAATACAGAGTCAATTTGAAAGATTATCTACATCAAGCGGATGTGCGACCCCTTGGTAGCAGCTTATCAGTAGGCTTGCCGTTCGATGGGAGTCGTGATGAGTGGGATTCTTCAGGAGGCGCAGGAGTTAAAAGTGTCAAACTTGTGCCTTCCTCTCCGTCACTGAAGGACGGCGAAACGCTTCGAGGGGACGCTGGAGAAAGACTCCTCCTTCCATATCTGGGAGAAACATCGAGCCTATCACCTAGCGATCGCCAGGCCCCGTTACCTTCCGGGGAAGTCTCAGTGAGTTCACTGTCGGTCTGATATTGTAACTTGGGTGATTTTCCCCTCCGGGTGAGCTGGCCTTTATTGATAAGTTCCCTCTTCCATGCTTCGCCGTGAGTGGACACTTGGGGGACTTCTCTCGGGTCAGCATTCTTCTGGGTCTTGCCTGCGCTTGCTGCCGAAAGATATGGGTCAATTCGGGCCTTGCTTCTCGTGCCAGTCGCAGGCAGTCGGTCAGAAAGAAAAAGGCCATCAATCCTTCGTGATGACAACTCCAAGGATTCCACATTTCGGGCTAGTGGATTGTATCCCTTTAGTAGCACGAACTTCTCCAATAATCCCTTCGCTTGAAGCGCAAGGAATTCTCCTGCGTACACCTCGCTGTGACCACCTGGGGACGTTAGGTCAAAGAATGGCAGGCACGTCTCACGACCTCTTACCGCCAAGAAGGACCAGTTTCGTCTGATGAAGATGTGCGTGCAACTTCATTGTCTCTGGATATCCAACTTTCATAAGCAGCCGGCGCATCGTAGTGAACACGGCTTCCTACCCCTTATCTTAGTGTCTAGGGACTTCCTCCGTTGCCCGACATCTGTCATGGAAAAATGTGGAGCTCCATTGAAACCGACAATGAACTCCTCGAATTCGGTTCTTGAACATATGCCGTTTGCATATAACGCATCCGAAAGCCCCCTCTTATTGAAGTAAAGGATGGCTTGATGGAAAGGCAAGGGCCCAGCTACTTCGAGGAGTGCACGACGAAGGTCAGTGGCCGCTTCCTGGCCTCCATCTTTCCCTCTCTTCCAGTACTTCGCAGAGAAAATGAAATTATCCCCGTCGATAAGCGCCAATGACATGGTATCACGATCCTAAGCCACCGTACATGAGCCCTGCACAGGAATGGACTGTCCAAGACAATAACCTTCATCAACGAGTCTTGCAACACCTCGTAGTCCTGAGAGAGATTCTCCATCTTGCTGATCGTCGATGTGTATGCGATCTTCCAAGCGTTTTCCTAGGAGACATCTTTGAGTATCCACTTCTCACCCGTATACTGGTGATCGAGGTACATCACGCCTAGCGACCTTAACATCTTCTTCTAGTTCACGAACCCTCCACTCGAGACTTTCGTTTGTTGCTAATAGGTCCCCGAACAGCGCTAAATAATGTATTGTGTAGGTGAACTGCCCGCGCGATCAGCAGATTTTCGGGGCGTCTTACTCTCCAGCTTGTTTACCGGACCTTCCCAAAAACTGATCTTTTGGTCGTTATCACTGGTCATTTGCGAAAGAGGGACTTCCTGCGCTGACATTGGAGATCGATACGGACACCAGAAGACTGTTCAATGATGGGAGGTGGGGTAGGTGCTTGTCACACACAAGCTAGCTACCACTAAGAAGCATTTGCGAAGCATCGTTCACACCCACGCATGAGATGTCCGTGTGACAATTGAAGATGGGCTATGTCGTTTGATTGGTAATTCAATACTGTACCGGGTCGCCCGCGCGCAAGCAGATCCGGCCTCATGGCTTGTTTAATTAGCTTGAAACTCACTTCGAATGAGACAATCCCAAACTACAAACTTGTTATCAAATTCATAGTAAGCAGGGATATCAGGGAATTGAACCATGGATTAGACTCTAAGATGTTAGTAAAATCCAAGCAAGTCATCGAGGCCTCCCTGAAGGCTGGAGACTGCCAGAACGTTGGTTGACTACGGACATTGCCACCTGTTGTTACTGCCGTTTTCCATTCAATAGTCTACGTGACGAATTTCGGTTCCGCGCTCGCTCGTTGCGCGAAGGCAAGCCCGGCAAAGAACAGCTCATATCTCTGCAACCAGATGAGCTAGGGACTTGCGGTTTCTTTTAAAATGCATGTATTTTACTCCTACAGATTAATTAGCCACCGATAATCCTAATTCTCGTTTTTTATAAATTCACATTTGTCACAATCCCCCCATTTTTCTCAACAACGGCTGGATGGAAAGAGGTGAAAATTAGGCAGTAGGTAGTTCTTGTAAATATCTCGAACCCATTTTTTTTTCTAATTGATAGGACTTTTTCTTGTTTCTTAATCAGGTTATGTGCCATTCCGGTGACTCACACAGTCCCCACTTTCCTCAACAACTACTGAGTGAAACAGGATAAAAGTCGCGCAGTGAGTCGTTCTTCCATATGTCTCAAACACATTTTTTTTTCTAATTGATAAGATTTTTTTTCGTTTTTTAATTAGGGTGGGTGTTCAAGACCGTGCTCAATGTAGCTTGACACCGTCCCCCCTGATTTCCTCGACAACGGGAGGGTGCAGCGCAGTGAAAGTCAGACAGTAAGTTCTTCTGGTATTTATCTCAAACACATTTTTTTTTCTAATCGATAGGATTTTTTTTCGTTTTTTAATTGGGTTCTGTCTTCATCGCGGGCTCACCTCAGGTTTGATGGCTTTTCCTCAACAATGGATGGTGGAATGGGATGAAAGTTAAAAAACGAAAAAAAATCCTATCGATTAGAAAAAAAAATGGGTTTGAGATAAATACCAGAAGAACTTACTGTCTGACTTTCACTGCGCTGCACCCTCCCGTTGTCGAGGAAATCAGGGGGGACGGTGTCAAGCTACATCGAGCACGGTCTTGAACACCCACCCTAATTAAAAAACGAAAAAAAATCTTATCAATTAGAAAAAAAAATGTGTTTGAGACATATGGAAGAACTACTCACTGCGCGACTTTTATCCTGTTTCACTCAGTAGTTGTTGAGGAAAGTGGGGACTGTGTGAGTCACCGGAATGGCACATAACCTGATTAAGAAACAAGAAAAAGTCCTATCAATTAGAAAAAAAAATGGGTTCGAGATATTTACAAGAACTACCTACTGCCTAATTTTCACCTCTTTCCATCCAGCCGTTGTTGAGAAAAATGGGGGGGATTGTGACAAATGTGAATTTATAAAAAACGAGAATTAGGATTATCGGTGGCTAATTAATCTGTAGGAGTAAAATACATGCATTTTAAAAGAAACCGCAAGTCCCTAGCTCATCTGGTTGCAGAGATATGAGCTGTTCTTTGCCGGGCTTGCCTTCGCGCAACGAGCGAGCGCGGAACCGAAATTCGTCACGTAGACTATTGAATGGAAAACGGCAGTATTGCATTTGGACAGGTCAGCGTGCGTGTGCGCGCGCATACGAGCTTCTGAACTACAGCTTTTGGTTTGCTTTGATTTTGATCTCCTGCGGCCATGCGGCGGGAACGTGTCCTCCAGTTCAATATGGAACTTCTCAGCCAGAAACGCTGCCATTTTTGGCCGTGTTTGGGGGTTGTCCCAAGCTCCGCCCACGTCTGAATCCACAACTCCAACAAGAGTCGCTTTGCACAGCAGACTCCTTCCGCTAGCAGAATTAGTTTCGCGGATCGTCTCTGCGGGAAGCCCACTCGTGCATCTCAACGTTTATCATCACCTCCTGAGCTTCGATCATTGCTTTGATCAGTCAATCAGCCATGGATGCCGTTTCGGCAGTCCTGGTCGAAGGCTTAACTAGTGTTCAAGATGTGCAAAATCTTAGTCGCCAGATTGCCACGAAGGCTCTAGTCGCCCGAGGAGGTTATTCTGAAGTTTACCGAGCAGAATGGGTCTCGTACGGCGATGAAGCTCCAAAGCATGTATGTTTCATTTCACTGGCATGACGGCCAATTCATTTTACCACTGCTCCATCAAGGTCTGCTACAAAGTACTCAGACCGCCTATTAGTAACATGCCATCTGTCGTGGAGGAGATACGCAAAGCAATTAAGGTGAGTGACTTCCCTAGTCGGATTGATAATGTTGGAAGTGCTAGCCCCAATCTAGCACTTGAAGAGAGAAATGAAAATATGGAAAGACTTAGACCATTGCAATATTGTGAGATTCGTCGGTTTCGTGATTGAAGTCAGTGGTGCTGTGCCAGAGGCTGCGCTAGTGTCGGAATGGTGTTCAAACGGGAACCTTACTCAATATCTGCACCACAACCCCTCTTGCGATCGAGTGTCGCTGGTAGGTAATGGGATTGATGCCGACGTGTCTCTTTGGACTGACAGAGACCACATCGACTAGCTTCTTGATGTCACTCGAGGACTGACCTACCTCCACAATCACGACCCTGTTGTTATCCACGGTGATCTCAAACCTGTGGGTTACGATGTATGTTTGTGATCCCGACGTTAGCTAATAAATTCCAAATAGCTCAATATCCTAATCGATGATGCCGGTCGTGCAAAATTATGCGATTTCGGGTTATCTTTAGTGGCTGATGGACTGACGACGGGGCATACATCGTCAGAAACTGGGTTCACATTACGCTACTGTGCTCCAGAAGTCTTGGAAAGTGGTACCAATACACCATCCAGTGACATTTACTCTTTTGCATGTACTTGCATCAAGGTTAGATTTGTGGACTCTCCATCCCGACGCCTAGCTAAAGTTTAGGCAGATACTCTTTGACAATGAGCCCTTCCCTTCACTCAAGAATGACGCTAAATTGATGGATGCAATAAGACTCGGTCAATCGCCTTGGAACTGGGATCTGTCTCACCGCGAAGAGAAAGTGTTGTCGAGTTGTTGCGCCTTCTTCCCCCATATGCGGCCAGGGATGAGGGAGATCCTTCAATCACTCACGGATGCCACGGATGCCTACGCTAAGCCCAACCCATGCTCAGATGTCGAGATTTCCAAGCCACTCGTTCCTCGCGCTATGCCTTCCGCTGACATCAATGTCATTCCTGCAACGCCACCTCCCCATCCAATCACCTGGAACCCTGATCACGTCGTTAATCCACCGAAAGATGGACCTGCTGGGAGGGATCCTGTAGCCATGGCTCAAAGCTTAGCTCCCAAAGGGGGACGCGAACTTTTGGCCCGTGACTCTGACGATTACAGATCAAGATTTGGGCACATATTGGCGCAATTACGACAAACCGTTCCCGGTGCGTTAGGCTCAATGCCTCAAGGGCGGACGCCACAAACGCAGAACGAGTGGGCGGGGAGCACGGCTGAGACTTTGAAACTGAGATTCGACGCAATTATTACACAATTGGACCGTGGGATGCGCCAACACTTTGGTGTCGTTTCAGAAACAGAAACAGAGTCGGCGCCAGCCCTGATTGACCCATCTGTGGCTGGGAATTTGAAGGGCAAACGCCACCGTAAACGAAGATCTCGGAAGCCGTTGAAGGCGCAATGAGTGCAGCTCTTGAATACCACTCCCTTTGAATTTTTTGTCCCTGCTGGTAGTTACCCTTCAACGTCGTGTAGCCACCCGCACACACACGAAGTCAATGGGCGAGTCTATGCACAAACTGCCAGACAAATGGCCTGCATCCGTCGTATTGTACAAATCACTCTAGTAACGGATGGGTTAAGCTGCTCTCCACTGATGAGCGGCCCGGGATATAGTATATATCTATACTACTTTGTATATTCGCATTATCCTCTGGTAGTGATGCCGCTTGTCTACGATGCTTGCGCAGGTGTTGAAAATGAAACAATCGATGGCAGCACAAAAAAGCGGAAGAGCATTATCCTTCTACTTGATATATATATATTACACAACCTAGAGAGGGACCCGAAATTAAAAACTGTACTATGCCTAAATAGGAAGAGTCAATGACCTTTCTTCATTACGCCTCTGGTCCTTTAAAGTCGTTCGACGACTCGATCTTCACTGGCGGCACCTCTCGTTCGCCCACGTCTTGTAACGGAATAGGTTCGTATGCACCATTCGGCCTACCACTTAGTGAAGAGGGAAATCCCCTAGCGGAACCTCCTGACTCTTCGTCCTTTGGTGCTGAGCCATTGAACCTGCGCCGAGCTGCCGCCGTTTCTTCATTTTTGACCCATGTATAGTAGATCGATCCCCCAAGTATGATGACGATTGAAGCCCAACGGCCCCTAATAAACCCTTCACTTCAGTACGAATGCGAACAGGGGGATGAATAACCACCAACCTGGTGACAATGTCTTTGAACAAAGCAACGCTCAAGAACGTTTGCAGTACGCCGCGGACAGCAGCGGAAACCTGAGAACACAAAGTTTTCAGTTCGTAAGTCCATGCAAATGATTTCGAGAGGCCTGCCATATGAGTGATAGGGGAAGTGATTTTAATGCTTAGGAATCCTGCAATATTAATCAAAAATCCAACTCCTCCCTAATGTCACTAAGTAAGCTAGGCATTTAAAGACAATGAGTGCACCGACCGTTATAATTGAGCCCCATACAAACGTTGCGAGCGGACTGACTCCCTCACCGGCAGGAGTCAGACCCAACCAAAGTTCAAGAATAGCAGGGACTTCCCCAGCGACGAAAATGACAGGAATCATTACTAGCGCAGACACCAGGTTCGAGTACCAAGCAAGTTGCAAAGTACTTCCATTCACGGCTTCCAGGGAGCGTTTAATGACGACCGCGTGGAGAGCCGTGGTTGTTGATGAGAGGATCCCAAATGTCACCCCAATCAGAGATGGTGGCTTAACGACAGTTCCACCGAATGTCCACGGCGAGTCAATGAGAATACCGACAAAAAATCCGAGAGTCACGACCGCACACGAGCAAAGAATGCGAACGGGCGGGCGCGTGTGCAGGAACACATGGGAGAGAGCTACGGTGATGGGGAGAAGAAGTCCACGAGCGACCTGGTAGAATGATGCATCTACAAATTTAAGTGTCAAGTTGTTGAAGCTGTAACCATTGCACATAACATAAGTGGTCGTGTTTGAGAGCAAACAGGTCTGAGACGGTGATGGCTACGTACTTGAGTCCAAGGACATTAATGGAAATCATCGGGGCCAGAGCCTTAACGGTTGTCGGATCAAGTCTGAGAGTTAGGTGTATAAGCTTGAAGTAATGCGATATGACCAATAGTACGACAGCGATGGAAAGTTGCATGAAAAGGAAGAAACATGGAACGTCGGTTTTGTTAAGAACCCATTTGTTTCTGAAAAAAAGCCACTCAGATGCGTGCGGGAACCAAGAAAGAGATTCAGGCATTTACGCTAAGATCATCTAAGGAGTATAGAATTCAGTGCACAGCATAGTATTGCTACAATGAGCACCCTTACTGCGATAGCTGCAACCATGTAAAAGATCACAGTCCCAAACTATCCAATGACTTTGGATTGCATAGACGTTAGCATATGAATGACTTAGACGCACCACAACGAGTCGGGATGATGGAGGTTCATTTTGTGTAGACATCAGTAAGGAGCTGCAAAATATGATCTGTCGGCGTAAAAGGCGGCAATGACGTATCGTATTTGTAACCCTAGCTGAGAACGTACCGTGTAAGAAAGTCGAGTGATCAGCGCGAGTAAAACACACTCTAATAGCAAACCCTTGTAGCGCTTGGTCACAGTTTCAACAGCCCATTCAGTTCCCACGCACTGCCATCTGATCGGATTGCATATTCATTTCATGTGTCAGGAATATCTATCGGTGGCTTATTCCATAAAATGTCCCGCAATTCGGTTGAGTGTATCCAAGGTCCCAGTGCTCCGCAAGATATCCTTGAGCGCAAGAATTGTAAAATCTACGGGTAGATGTTAAAAAACACGCTAAGCAACACTAGGGTCCATAGATGTTTTTGTTTATTTATTTATATCGTACTCACAACCACGAATGCCTAGGGGTGCGGCATCCATGTCTACAGCAGGCTTTATGTTACTCGACTGTCGATACAGCTCTCAAGACAGCAGATCTATCCATCTCAGACTCTCCTCCTGAAGGCACCAACTTCCAATCCTGCGTTGATACGTCCCATTGGAATTCAATAGGTGAATGGTCTAATGGACTCCAATTCGGAGATGGTCCTTCCTTTATCCAGTTGAAATCTTGGAGCTCGTGGTGCTTGCTATCAGACTAATGGGATGCACTGTCAGCAAACGATAGTGGGAACCGCACAAGGCAACTGACAGCTGATGTGGGTAATGATGCTGGATAGGGACCAACTCGCAAATCTGAACAGTGCTCGATCACTGGTATTGTTGGAACATATAACAGAATGACCGTATTCGATGATGTATGCATTCGCATCTTAGAAAAGCCTCAGCCTGAGACATTGAAATTGCGGACGGTATCTACCTGCTGGCAATCGATGACTACAAGACTGTCATGGCAGTCGTGGAGCAATACGCTGCCGGAAATTTTGGGGAGGATAAGAACTGTTCGCCTTATATTGCGAACATGCACGATCGTGATGGGGAGTGACTCCGGAGCCGGCTCCACGTTGGTTGAAGCGCGAGGGAGTAAATTGATGATGCAAGAATCGATGTGTGAAATAAGCAAAGACGTTGGCCTTCCCCGATCCTCTCGAAGGCCGAGGGAATATAGAGAATGAAGGGTAATAATCTCATTCGTGCGTTCAGAAATGGTCATTTGCAATGTGTTCATGGGCATCACTTCAGCCATCTGCGGAATTGGAGTTGGGACCTCCCCTGCTCCTACGATGTCTTCTGGAGAAAGCTTGCTCGCCACAGCCGTTCGCTTGAACGCAAAGCGAGACTTCGAAGTTTCAGATGAGCGACGCTCGGTCACCCGCTTCTCAAGGTCGCTCACTTGCTATCATGAAAGCTCAGCATTTGAACAACTCCACGCTATGAGACGACACTGACAATCTCACATTGTCGCCGGTCGTATGGTGGTAGAAATGGAATAGCTTGTACTAGGTGTTTTCTGAGTTGAGAGATCTTCGAGCGGACATCGGTCGGACCCTCCAAGTCCTTCAAAATTTCTAGAAATCATCACCAATGGAAGCCAGCTCCCTTAAAGAGCAAGCAAACAAGGTCACCATTGCACTTTTCTCTGAACGACTGGAGAAACGCGGCCGCACGGTCTTGGTCTGTGAGGGCATCCATTCAATTTATTCAGAAACGTGACCCGCCAATTTCCCCTCGCGGTCGCGCTTACTCACAAGCACCGATCACCGAGAAAGATGGCCGCCATGGATGTTGACCCCATTGACTTGAACGACGAAAAGGAAGACAAGAAGGGAAAGGAGTCGAGCAAAAAGAGATTTGAAGTCAAAAAGGTGACGTTAGTCACTTGCCACCAGGCCATTCCATTTTGACATCTTGTGCTCCAGTGGAATGCGGTGGCATTATGGGCATGGGGTATCAGCGCCTTTGGTTTATAAGTTTGGGCAGCCTTCCCACTACTTTTCCTTTAGATATTGTGGTCGACAATTGTGCGATCTGCAGAAATCACATCATGGACCTTTGTCAGTCCGCCCCTTTTTTGCCAGTCACTTTATTCTCCTGACAATTGGGCGGTCAGGCATCGATTGCCAGGCCAATCAAGTGTCTGCTACTTCAGAAGAGTGCAATGCTGCATGGGGCATTTGTAACGTAAGCTCCAGTTAGATCCTCTTTCGTTCACGTATAGATCAATTATCCCAGCATGCATTTCACTTCCACTGCATTGCACGCTGGCTGAAGACGAGAAACGTGTGCCCTCTAGATAATAGGGAGTGGGAGATGCAGAAGTATGCTTTGGCTCCTTTCATCCTTCATGGCTTTCACCTCATGGTACTTGACTGAATAGGTACGGTCGATGATTGGAACAAGGCTCCGGCGCCTATTTCTTTCCTCCCTTACACACGTGTAACACCAGGCAATGTTCACCCCAGACTTCCATACGCATTCGTGCCAGATGTTCTATAACTCTAATTTAAAATATCCCTTTCTACGTTGGTCATACAGTCACCCACGTATAGTCGAAAATCCCTTGAGATTTTGTTTCCTTTGTCGCCTTACGCTTCCTCGGGACTTGCACGTTGGGGTTCCGAAACCTCATCATTTGACAATTTCGGCCAAACACTCAACTGACAGGTTGTAAGGAGTGACCGTCAACATAAACCTTTGCTTTTGCGGGAACCGATTATGAACCCGTCCCGACACCCGGGGGGGTCTGGGACATTCAAGTGGTAACCTGCCCGCTCCGATGGTAAGGTGATTAGTACTTCTCTATCGCTCTCACCTCCACCTCATGTCAGACGCGGCTCTAACTGGGATCCGAAAAAAAGAAAGTGTGTGGCTGAGAATAACCACTAATACGCGGCGCCAGTTACCGCAGACCGTGCTAGTACTCTCATCGCACCCGAGAAATTGAGAGGCGAGGGCTTTGGGACACTTATGAACTGTGATATGTCCCGGGCCCTATTGCTCAACATATTAGGGTGGCCCTCATACCAAGTGAGGCTCATGTCATTCCAGGTCCATAGTCCACTGCATTCATCCTGACCTTTGCATTATAATCATACAGCCGACTACTGTATTTCCGCTTAACGGGCATTCGTATTCACGCCTTTCAACGATGCACTCTCAGAGAGACGCAGCGTTCGGCCAAGTTCTAGCTGGCCGCTAGGCCTGATAGCCCTTTTTAAGGTGTCGACGGGGCCAGCGGGGTGTGTGGAAGGGGAGTTGATCCATTGCGTGCAAGTGGAGTGAAAGTGGGCTGGTTGTTGATCATCGCTTTCAAACCCACCTAGCAGCATCCGCGGCTAAAAGCTCCGATCCACGCGCGGACATACTCATCCTAACAAACGGTCGTCGACGTCAGTCCCCACCCTGAACCCACGACACAAGCCTGTAGAGCGGCCGACCACGGCTCAGCGCCTGCCCAGCAAATAATGACTGTGCAGCGAGCTGAAAAAGAAATAACGTCACCGCTCGCACTCCCCCGTTCGTACAGCAGGCTGTCGGACAGACTCGACAGCGTCAAAAGCCAGTGAAATGGCAAATGCTGCAACGATGTCGGTATGATAGCCAGCAAAACGCCACACAGATGTACAAGAGCCATTCTTAATGGAAGGGCCTCATGTTAGTACCTGTCAAAATCAATGAAGCAGAAAAGTGGAATCGCGACTGCTGGATCCATTGAGTCATGATGGCAACTCGGTCGACTCCTGACGACACTCGTCCTGATTTCCTGCACCCCAGAATTCTCATTCAGTCAGAAAAGAGGGTGCACTAGGCTTACCAGGAGCCAGGGAGTACGGCCTTCATTACTACGATGTGTCCGTGGATATGGTCGCTCAGTAGCCGTTTGGTCATGCAGGCCTCCAGGATCTATCGAGTCCGCCCCGGACGCAAGGGGGATAATGGAAAATGCTTAAGGCCTCCCAGGATGCTTAACATAGAACTGGGGATTGGTAACATGTTCAGCAGAGCCCGCCAACCCCTCCACAAGAAAAGAAAAACTTGCGGTAGGGTGTTATCATAAATTGACCATGCAATATCACGCATCCTGGTAATAATACACCTGAGTTCGTCAAACAGTGAGTCAGGAGGGACCATGGTGGGAAGATTGCAGTAAGACTCGGTGCAATGGCAGCGACGGAGTGCCGTAGCAAGCCGGATCTCCCCCCATCGACTAAACCCACCACCAGGTTCAAATCGCTGGTCCAGTTCCGCACCGGCCACGCACGCCTGGGCGAATACTACCACCGGTTCGGATCCACACAGAGAGCAGAGTGTGCACATGTGGAACAGCTAACCAGACGAGAGAACATATCCTCGTATGCCCACAGTTTAAGAAACATAGACACGTGCTGGGCCGCGGTCGTCAGAGCAGATTATAGGGAAGCCCAAAAGTATTCTTAGACTAGCAGACTTCATCAAGAAGTCGCGGGCCATCGGCAAAAAAGATGGAAGGAGAGCGACGCAAAGCGGGGGAACGAGAAACAGGAGCACCCGACCGTAACCCCCCGTAGAGAGAGAGTGAAATAGACACTACACCCCACGCATACCCAGACACGACGTAAAAGTGACCAAACATCACAATCCACCCCATCACCCCGACAAACAACCCTACCTTGTATTGACGAGTCCCCATGTACAGTCAGATGTAATTAGTCGGGCTAGTCGCACTGTCGCGTTTGTAGCGGGTAAAAAAATAGAGTGCAAAAAAAAGCCGGATCTTGGGATTCGAGAAGAACTCAGTCACTACTCCAGATTCACGCCCCGACTTGTTTCGATGGGTCATTTTACACGCTGGCACCAGTTTCGGGGCCACATTTACGGCTGAGCAGAGTTGATCTTGACACTTGAGCTTGAGCAGCAACACGAAAAGAGCAGCATCATTTTTTAAAGAATCTGCGAAGGTGGGATCCGAGTCAGCTGGCTTTGCCATTTAGCAAAGATAACGCGTTGTTTGAGCAACCCATGTATTTGAGTAGTAAGGTATTTGAAAAGCGTCACACTGGCAACAAGCACGTATTCGCATCCCTCAAGTCGCCCGCCGCAAGTACAATGACTAGGGAATGGCCAGGCATGCAGAGTGAACAACGAGACCACGGAGGACAGTACGAGCCGCGTTGAGATATCCACAGAGCCTACAGGGCAGAAGCACTGTCCAAAGGGACAATCATTTGGATTTAGCACGGCATTCAACGACAGATGTTAAGTACGGCCCCCATGCATGGTTGTTGTCGTTTATTCTGGATATCTATCCTGCATGCTCGGTCGAGGTAAATAAAGTGAAAAATAAAGAGATAAGTCCGATTTGGGTATGCTTGTCCGTTCTGTCCAAGAGATACCCCAACACGCCGTCCAGCGAGTACGCTCCATGGGTCGGAGCATGTAATTCGAACGGAGTTGACCGAATCCACAGAGCAACCCCATTCGCAGAGTTTTCTTCAGAATTGAGCTCAACCTAGACTCGTTCTGCACCGAGCGAGCTGTGCTCAATGTGCATGCGCTTGTTCTTTGTATAAATTACAGCTTCATCTTTACTCACGCTCGACGAGGTCAATCAAGGGGTTATTTAACCATTGGCCGAATTTCTATGCTTCGGGTTACGACCAGCGTTACTCTCGCTATCTCATTCGCGTGCGAGTCTAACGGTGTCTGCCCTGCAACTCACACTGTTGGTTAGCCTACGTCATCAGCTGAAGAGTTCTTATTGAACTCCAGCGCGAAACGTGCAGGCCAGGGTACAAGTAAGCAACGATGACTTGGGTTCGAGTCTGAGGCACAGAGCATCTAAACATTTTTACCAACTGTTGTCTGATTCCCTGATTCTTCGATTTATGTTGGAACAACATTGACACCGTGCCATGGAGCCGACATTGTTCCAAGTTCAGAAACAGCGCGCTGCCAAAGAACGAGGCAACCAGACAAGTGGTAAGTGGTTCCTACGTTGCAGAAGCTACTGCTTCTTAAATGGCCATGCGTTGATAGTTCTTCCATTGCATGAATGTATGAATATCCGCTAAACTGCATAACAGCAAACGCGCATACCATCATGAATGGATTGTCCCTCCAGTCCATAGCTCGCCGCCTAAGACAACGGTACGGAAGGGTAAAAATCATTCGATCCCTCCTGGAACATGGACAGCCAAGGCATTCCACCGCCAGCCGGGTCGCCCCGACCTTTGGGGAAGTGTCTCTAGAACTAGACACGTTGCAATGTGCTTCGTAGTCAACATATTCCTGAAGTTTAGTAAGGCCATGAGCGCATATCCATGCACTCGTTCAACTCTCTTTTTTAGGAGTCCTTTGGCAAGAATGAGCTGTGACATGAAATTGATCAGAACCAAGACCAAGTGAGACACGTCCACATCAGCTTCTTTCGCACTTCAATGCACTATCCACAGTCAATCTCTTGTTGATCTCAGTGGGTCTGGATGCGAGAGGTGACTGGAGAATTATGTGCTATCTCATGCAATGGCTTTTTACAGATGTCGACTCCGAGGACCAATGATTCAACACGTGTATCAGGGCCTGCACCACTTCACAAGAATATACGGGCTCTCTGAAGATGCATACTTCCCTCGGGTAACGATTTGCACGAGTTCCTTATGGCCAATCCTTAGAGCCAGCGGTAGACATCCTGCTGCGTGCTGGAAAATCACGGAAGGGTTGCACACGAAGTACTGAATATGTAAATCGCCATCGACGATCTCGCGATCTTTCGTCCGGGTTACAGTAAAGGCCTTGCCTTCCATGACTTCTGATATGCCTATCCAAGACGAGATGTAACCATAAAACTTGGATAGTTGCCATGACACTTCATACAGGACGCCGGGTCAATTCTGGACCCTTCTCGTGATACTCCTGGGTCTGGGAGGCGAATGTCATGATGACTATACCCTGGGAGGGCCAATGGTGCCATCCTCTGCCTGCGAGCGCCTCTCGCCTTTTCGCCCATTTTGAATCCGGCGTGCATGAGGCACAAGTGAACACTTCAGAAGCGTTTCGTATGATTTCAAATCTTCCTCTCGAATTTGCCTGAACGTTTTGGGCGAGAGGCCCGCAAGCTAGATACCGTAGGCGATGGCCTTGTCGGAAAGGTCGAAACGAGGCCGGCCCTTGGGCCGTTCCCCAAAGACTACGGCAGGCTCAGGAGAAGCCAAGGCGAACACCGTTCGGATAACCGGCTTCGGAGGCACCGTTTCCGGCTCCAGAGTCAGTTTCCTTTTCTTTTTCTTTGACTCAGTGGTCATAATAAATTAGAAGAGTGTGTCTGTGCAGTACATGTCCAATTGTATTCCAGCACTAGAAGCATCAGTCAAGAATCGATCCTGGTCTCGATCTTAAGATGTTCTTACATGTATCATTTAGCTTACAAGATCAGATCATTGGGGAGATCTAGATGAGACTGATCCTTTCTGAACACCCAGCATCGTCCGGATGTGATCCGCGCTCTTCAACACAAGTACCTCCTGTCATACCGAGTGAATTGACGTTCAATACCCTGGAAGAAGTCATATTGCGCATAATAGAGCCCGATCCACTCGAGCTCATTATGTGATGGATTCTATGGTTGGGTCAGGTTAGAGCCGCGCTCATTTGCACCTTATCAACAGCAGCCAAACTCGATGCATACCTTCACACTGAACGCTCGCCAACTTTCCACATTCGCGTGTATGCTTAACGGACCCCCCTAGTTACAACCCATTGTATCGCTGCAGCCCATTCGTCTTTTGAGAAACCTGGTTGTGATCGGGAGCGGCCCTCCGTGTCTAACCTATTATCCCTTGTTGAAAGTTGGTTCTTTCGTACCCAATCATCTGGCCTGCCACCCTCGTGGGATGGGGATTTCCTTCCATGTCGGGTCCTTTGTGGCGTCGGAATTTCGCGGTCTTCCTCATTGTCACCTACACTTCCTTCATGATTCGTGGGACCGATAATCTTAACTTCAAGATTTCTACGGGCATGTGAGTGATAGGATTCTGCTCGCCTGGAGGGATGCTATAAAAGAGTTTATGTTGGTGAGTGACTGCAACACTTGCTCGACGCTTAGGTATGAATCCAATTTATTCACCAGTTGCGAGAACAGTTTCCACACTTGGTACTCAGACTGACACTTCGGTCGCATCTTTGCATAAAATGCTTTCATTTGCCGTCCTTCATGGGGTGTGAAAGCTACTCGCTTTTTGTGGCGCTTGCTATTCTGGGCCACTGGGCACCCGGAAGGAAGCATTCGATTGATGTCGTGGTCCTTGTCAACTTTCGAGTCGGGGCCAATAGAGGGCATTCGAGGAGTTGGGTGACTCTTATTCCGGGTGTGGCCTGGAGCTGGTGCCGTCGCCTCGATTCCCGCTGGAAGCTTTCTGTGTTTCCCAAGGTATAGGCTTACTTCCCTGGAAAAATAGTCGCCGAATTTTTGGTGGTACTTCAAGTAGGTGAATGGCGACCTGTCGGGGTTCTACACAGAGATAGAATCCAACCTACTCCTAACGTCAGAATACAACATACCTTTTCATGGAAGACTCTCCACAACGTGAACGGGCGGAGTCCGGGATTCAGTGCGATGTGCGACACCATCGCGTCCCGTAATTTCTCGGAGCAACCTCTTGGGAATTTGCTGAATTTCTTTTTCGTCACAGTGGGAGGTTCATTTGACTTCCTCCTCAGTGGTGTACGAAAATAGTAGGGATCACGAACCCCATCCACAATCTTTTGAAGTGACTTCTGACTAATTAATTTTTTCCAATAATTCTCTGAACGATGGTTCCGCTTATAACAGAATATCAGAAATTCGAAAAGTAGCGAAACAACACAAGCACAAATCACACGGACTTTATTTGCGCACCAACGGTAGAAGGTCTCCAAGGTCGCTCCGGGCGAGGTGGAGAAGAAGTCTTGCGCTGCTTGAACCACCCAGTCACTATCCGGCAATTCCCCGTTGGAAGAGCGATCGAGATCCGAGTCGTTGTCGTCACCTCCGTCAACCTCCATGACGGCTCCTGCTCTGAGTTCGTTCCCAGGCGAGCTTTCTATTCCCGGTGTGTCCTCTTCGATATCGGTAGGATGAGCTACCACCAAATAATCATCAAAGTCTTGAATCTTGCACGCATCAATCGAGTCCTGAACCCATTGCGGCATCAGTCCTATTGTGCGGAGAGGATATTCGCGTAGTTCTTTATTGTCACAGAACTCGTCGTCTGTGATGGCCAAATAAGCAGGGCGAAGGTTATCCACTACTTTTCCACCATGGCGCTAAGAAAATGGATGACCGATCAGGAGGGACGAATGAGTATAAGGCAAATCTGATCGTAAAAATCTGTCTAACGGAAATACCTTGATTAGATCAGTGATATCTGGCCTTTCAGGGAGGCTTGGATGGACCCAGAATTTTAAGCCTCCCTTCTCATCCATAAACACCAAATTCGGGTCGCGTGGCTTGCGCGAATCGATGCCCGTATCTCAAGCCAAAAGGCTGTCAATGAAGGTATATCGATCGATCAGCGGTTCTACTTACAAGAACCTGGTTCAGCGTTGTCTTCAGCCATATCGAAAAGCAGGAAAATGGATTGTTTGATTGGCGGATGAATGTCGGAGCGCAAATTTGAATTGCTGTCGGGTCTGATCGGGCACTTGAGTCAAACTCCCATGAAGCATCATGATTGACGTCTCAAATCATAAAAGCATACAAGGCGTAACTAATGACTCTGGCTGTTTTGCTACCGATTAGGGAGAAAGCCAATGACGGAGCCAATGTCTTGCCTTCCAATTCCTCGGAGAGGAAGCAAAGATCGCAAGAACCTCACCACCCATAGTCCGCCAACTGGCCGGTGATGCATTCGACAACCTTAGCTGGCTTCCCGGATACCACTCGCGCTTCGAGCCGCTACCTCCGAACGAACAAACTCTATTTCGGGTATCCCAGTTATGCGGCTCTCCATTTCAAACCGGTAGGTTGTTCCTCTGCTCGTCGGGTTCCCGCCATCGTGATCGCAGAAACTGATCCGCACATTCTTCTTCACCAGACCCATCACTGTTTACTCCAAAACCTCCATCATCATCACGTTCGGCTCCGAGCTGATATGTGAGGCGCTGCAATAGAACACACGTTCAGGTGAAAGGGGCAGAAACCATAAGGGCCGCGATTATGTTGCGTGCTGGAGTAAGTAGTTCCCCTGTCCAGTAAAATTGGCATTCAGGTTACCACTTTTGAATCGTTGATTTCACACTGCTTTCAGGATACGCGGAGAAGCTGGGTTTCTCAAATGCACGACACGTGCATGATGATGTGCGATGGCAGCAACCATTGAGCACGAGGCCTGAATCGTAAGTCAAGGCTAGACTTCTGGAGCATTGGCGAGATGAGGCGTTGGGACGGAAGTAAGGGAACCATTCTGCTAACCCATCCCGAGGGACTGCTTCGGGGAAGTCTGAGCCAATGTCGCCGTGTGCTGCCGTCAAGTCATCTGCGACGCGTTACGTCAATTCGTTTGTCCTGAGTACCATCAAAGTAGCCGTAGTAAGCTGGGAGTCCCTGACGCGAAGTGGTAGTGCGGGAAGTAGATTTGAATAATCGATTCTGTTCTTTCATGGACCCGTCCCCAGACTGTCGTATCAAATTCCGAACGGATTGTTCATCGTCGGTGACAACACAGTTGATAATTTGGACTCAAATGTCCTTCCTCGGGTGACTTGGACATGCTGCAAGGCGACCGGAAAACCGTTCGTCGAGCCTCGCTACCGTCTGAGTTGTGCGCTGCAGGGTGATGAAAAGCGGGGAAAGAAGAATCAGAGATCGCGCTGGCATCATGGGGTGTGTAAATGAATAGATTAGTAGATGGATGCAACTTGAGCTTAAGATGAGTTCGCATGGCATGCACTCGGTGCACACTTAAAACACTCGAGTATCCATCACCATCAAGGTGAAGTGTCTGATCAAACCGGTTCTTCTGATGAACCGCCCCGCCGCCAGGGAAGGTGCTGTCACCGCAAGAGAAAAGGGTTAAGTTCCTTTGTTAGGAGCGATCGCAGGATGAACGAGGTATGAGCGCTTGTCAAAACAACCAGTCAGGAGGATTGAAAAAGGGGAACATATTCTACAATAGTCAATCGTAAATCAGGGTAGTGCAAAAAAGTTAGAGGGTCAGGGGAACTAGCTACTGAAAAAATTATGCAGGGTGGATAGTTGAGGAATAATACACAAGTACTTTTGGGAATGTCAGGGTCTCGACAGCGAAGTGTGAGGGAGTGAACATGAAGATGCAAAACGCGGAAAATGCTAGACCAGGATTTCGTCGTCATCCCGACCAGTCAATCCGGAAACTTCGTCGCTTTTTTCCTGATCCATTCTTAGCTGTGTGACTGCAATGCAGGATTCTAGCTGGGCGCGCGTTAATTGGCTCTGATGTGTCTTCCAATCCCGGGGTCTCATCAAAAGGAGCAATCCAGCGAGCATGACATCAATGTCTTCTCGCAGGAAAGCATTTGGGAAAAGTCGAAACTCGCAAGTGATCTCTTTCCATGACAGTATACCCCGTTTCTGGCGCACTACGGTCGCTCTGAGCACGCGGTCGGTGTCAACTTCGGTGGCTAGCCGCTCGTAGACGTCCTTTCTCGGCGAGATTGTAGTATGATACCAATGAGCCGTATGAGCTGATGCAGATATGTGACGCACACTGGGGGAAATATGAACAGATGTGAGATCACCGTTGCTGAGAATGACTCACGCAGAGGTTGAGCCATCTGGCATCTTTCGTGCCTCGAGGGCTGTTATCATTGGCTCGTTCTCCTCGCAATCGGGCCATGATATGATTGCCACAGGATAGAGGGTCTTGATTGCGGACTCTACACTGAGTAGTTCCGTAGTGCAACCTCTTGTCTGGGTGGCGAAAACGGGATCCCCATAGCCATTGGTGAAAATGGCATCCGCGAGCGAAGGCGCAGTTGTGTTTAGTATCCTGGAAGGATCTTTTGACTCGTGGTATACCACTGGCATGGGATGCGTGCGGACGTGAACAGTTAGGTACGAAAGAGACGAGGCGTAATACGGGGCGGTGAAACACCCAGAAGCAGGCTGCCATTCTTATACAATAGCATACACCACATCCTGATTCCCAGAACACACGATCGGTATATGCAGCCCTGATGGACCATGGCGGGGGAGAAGAAACACGTTTGAGCCGCGCATCCGTCCAGACCGCAAGCGCCGCTCCAAACCTGAACGTGAGAGTTCGACCCAGAGCTTATGTAAGCAGTGCAAATGATACACGTCTATTCTTTCGGGGGCGGAATGGAAAGCAACGGTGCCCGTCGAGAAATCAAAGCTAATCAATTAGCGGTTAGTGGACGAGGCATTGTTAAAGTGCCCAGGTATATGACTTAGTGGCCAGTGCAGGGCATTGTTCCCCGTCGTTTCATTCACTGATGCCCAATACCTTTTATTACCCAATGTTTTACCTTGAATCGTGCTTTGCCTTTTCCCTGAGCTCTCACGATTCTCTGCTTCCAGACTGGTGTGGCAGCTCAGTGATTCCTGTCGGCTGAAAAATTAGGTGTGGCTGAGGTCAACTTGCCTCACAACAGCAAGAACGTTTCGCTCAAGCCTTAGCGTCCCGGTTACGGACCGGACCCACACCTCGCAGGTCATCTGCATGCATTTACCAACCATCGTCTGACCATCTCATTCTTCGACGTGTACGACTCGGAAGCCACATTCTCTTCATGTGTGGCTGGCATTGCTCCAAGTTCGGAAGCAGCATACTTCCCAGTGGAATGAGGCAACCAAACAAGTAGTCTCTGAGTTGCAGAACCCAAGTGGTTTTCCTCCAGCCGCGGGGTGGTGGCTCTTCTATCTTATGAGTGGCACGATTCTTTAAACTGCGACCCATCAACGATGGATTCTTCCCTCAGGCCCATAGCTCGCCCCCTAATATCATAAGGGTAAAAATCATTCAGAATCCTCCTGAAACGTGGATAGCATGAATGTTCCGCTGAAACGCCAGATCGTGGAGCATCTCTGGAACCAGGCGCCTCACAATTTCCCTGGGAGTCAATATGTTTCTGAAGTTTAGCTAAAGGAGTGATTACCCAAGGTTGTTCCCCTGCTGTTCAACCCTTCTTTTCTTTCTTTGGCGAAATTGGCTTACCAGATGCAATCGGTGCGAAATGTGGTCGCGATTGGGTCGGACTTAGGAGTGAGATATGCCATACCTACTTCACACTTTAGCACAAGGTAAGGTTCCAGAGTCGGTCTTCGTTAAGTGGGTTTGGACATGAAAGGTGAATTGAGCAAATTATGAACACAGTGACTGCCACTGATTAGGCTTAACGTCCCAGAAGTACAAGGGATGCATATTACATAACCGTAATGCATTGCAGCGAGATCCCCGCCTCGCCGACTCCGACAAGAAACATCTAGGGTGTTACTAGACGCACTTCACCTGAGCCAGCAATTGACAGCCTATTACCAATCAACTCGAAGGAGATCACTACGCCAGGAAGATCGCCTTCAAGATGGAGCAAAGGCTCCAATCCACAACATACCACCCAAATTTGTGCTCTCCTTTTTGTAACCAAAGCTCTCATTTTCCGTGTCGTTCAATATGGTTTTTCCATTTCCAATCCATTTCTTGAACTCTTCACAAAACACGGCCCCCGCAGCGTTCCACTCATCAAACCGTGTTCGTCCATGTATTGGGTCCTGGTTAAGATGGAGCAAGATTCACATTGGCACTGATGCTAGACCTTGCCCCAATTCCAGGCTTGCAATTTCCATGGATGGCAGGAGAGAATGGTGGTAGCGAGTTGCGGAGCTAGCTCTGGGTGATTTGCCTCTAGCCATTCATGTTGACGGCCCTTCACGGAGTCTCCCGCTAAGACTGCATAAACAGTCTTTTCGCTGGTTGAGTGGTCCGGATGCACCATTCACCCAGTCAGGACATCAGGCCAGAAGCCATAGATGTCGTGCCGGGACAGGTGTACTCATCATTCGGCGTCCCCCCTAAAACGTCGACACCAGACGCGTCGCCATCTGCAAGGTCGTCGAGGGGTTCAGCAAGGCTCGAGTGCAATTCCAGAGCTTTCCCGCTCGAAGGAGAGAGGTGCGCTCTCCTTCAACTCTCTCTCTTTTGTTTTTGTATCTCCTTAGACAGGGTCCCTTGTTGAATACAATTTCGTGGATCCAGAGACCAAGTAAGACACGTCCACATGAGCTTCATTCGCACTTTAGTGTTTTACAGCCAGACTCTTACCAGTCCGTTTCAGTAAGTTTGCGTACGAAAGCTAGAGTAGGGAAATGGTGAGCGCAGCTGATGTCCGTATGTTGTCAGACAGATCAAAGGCCAATAACAAAATCTGAGAACGAGACTTCAACAAGTGTCAAACAAGCCCATACTCGTGCTCTCTCTTTTGTAACCCAGGCTCTTTTGGGCACGAAAGATAAGAGCCGGTTACAATGTTATGCCCAGAGATCTTTCCCCGCTTGGGTATCCCCACGTAACAACTATAACAGTCCTCTAATTTTTTAGGCCGTCAATGTCACAATTAGAAAATCAGGGTCAATCAAGCTTTAGAAACCGCGAAACGGTGTACAGCTGTTAATCGCATGACGATGCGAACGTTCCACTTGACTTGGTGCCAGAAACCGAATAAGACACGTCCACATGAACTTCGTTCATGCTTTGGTGCATGTGAGGCAGCACAGTGGTTTATATTTACAAGTTAGTCTTTTACTACTCCGTTTCATTGAGTTGGGGAACGAAAGACAAAGAGATAAACTAGGAAAGGTCCACAAGGACCAATGACGGAATTTAAGAAAGGGACTTCAACATGTATCAAACAAATTTGAGATCAAGACCAAAGTCCAACGCTGTTCCCGTCCCCTCCGGGATCGTTACGGCTACGAGATAATGAATACCGCACAAAAAACAATGAAGGGGCCAAGAGCTGTATTTGATCGATCGTGCAAGAACTGTCCAAAGAGGATCTTGTGGATCAGGGGCCATGCATGGTAGCTCTTACGTGTGGTTTTGAGATTGCCTGTAGCTGACAACATCCGTCACACCAACATCAGCAAAAGGTCCTCAGGGTTTCACTTCAAATGGTTTGAAAACAATTGAGTTCACTTCTGAACTGAATTGAAACGTGACACCTTTACTAAAATGCTTTGGGAAATTGGTCAATTCGGCCAGTTTCATTGTATTAGAAGCAACAGGATCATCAGAAGTGTCCAAAGTTGACCGCGACAATTTCCTGATGAACATGATAGCATTGCGATAGCCTGGTGATGTGCTCATGCAAGCTACACGCCTTGGCTGCAGAAAATATTTCGGGAGGCTGATGTTGGAGGAAGGGATCAAGTGATCTCCCAAACCATCAGGGAAGGGGTACCCCCCCCCTGGCATAACGGGCGAGTAGTGTATGGATGCACGCTAGAAGTCCTGGGTTCGATACCAGGCTTGTCCATTTTATGTCATTTGTCCAGTCACGCTGGTTTACGTCATAAGAATTTGGAGCTCCGGATAAGTCCAGTAGTCGCACCGGATACAAATTTCCTCAGCTGATGCCTTGTAACGGGCTGGAGCAGCAAACTAGGCATGGCTCGAAAATACCTACCATTCTCCCGATCTCAGGTTGGGCTCTAGATCTGATTTGTGGCCATTTTCCCAGTTGGGTATACAAGTTCGGCTCTAGTGGTCCATTTACTGCTCTGTTACCAAGATGTCGTAGCTAGAGTGCGTGCGTAGGTATCCCCGTTGAAGCGAGGCTGGTTGCCTGCCTAGTGCGTAGGCAGGTTACCAGTACTTGTAAATACCCCTTAGGAAATGCCCATTTCATGTGCCAAAGGCCAATGACTGGAAGGACTCATTTGTGGGAGGCAGCGCCGAGTCGACGTTTGGGTGATCGCCGGATACCGGAAATTGCCTTCACCGTTACAGCTTATTCCTGACGGATGGACTCATCAAGGATCGCGTGCGGTTCCTCCCGGGTGTACGACTCATTATGGCCCGAAAACTCCAGCGGATGGTATTCTTTTCTTGTATTGCACCAATTATTATTTGATTCCATTACGTTTGAGGCTCACCTACGGTGACCTAGCTAGCTAGCTCGGCGCAGGGCAGTAGTACATCATGAAGATCGCACCAACGGAGGAGACTTTAAAAAAAAAGGGGGGGTTCCCCTAAATTTAAAATTCTTTACTCGTCCGACACGACGACAACAGTCTTCCCGAAATTCTGCCCTTTAAACATTGCCAAGAAAGCTTCGGGAGTTTTTTCAAGCCCTTGATACCTAGTTTCCTGGTATTTGATCTGCCCTTTCTCCACAAGCGGTCGATATTCTTTTTCGAACGCATCGAGCCCTTCTTTATCGGTAATGTCGGAGATGACGAACCCGTTGATCGAGAGTGTCTTGGATATAGTTTGGGATGAGAGGTTCTGTGTTGTTGGAAAACCATTGTAAGCCGTTGTCTGCAGTGGGAAGATAGATAGACTTACCTTGATGCCATAACTAGGTCTATCACCCTTGTTGTACTCGCTAGCGAATCCGCAAAGCTGCGCAGAAACGGTCATATGTCAGGAAATGGTCGTGGTGACCTAAAGGAAGGGAAAAACTAACAATGACTCTACCAAACTTGTTTATATGCTGAAAGGCTACATCCAAAGTCTCTCCGCCAACATTATCATAGTAGATGTCTATAGGACCATGTTCCCTCAGGACGTCCGCCACCTTGGTTGTCTTGTAGTTGAATGCAACATCCAACTTGAGCTCTTCTTTAAGCCATTCAACTTTACTGTCATCACCGGTGGAACCAATAACTTTCAGTCCCGCGAGCTTGGCGAGTTGTGCTACCACACTGTACACAACTTACTACGCTCAGAGCCCCAAACCAATAACACGTTCGGGAACATACCTTCCAACAACTCCAGCGGCCGTAGAAACGAAGAGAGTTTCACCAGCTTTCAACCTACCGAATGCGCGGAGACTGAGAAATGCTGTTAAACCGGGCATTCCCAGAACGCCGGCGTAAGTTGATAATGACGCATTAGTCGGCTTCTGGAGTTTGCTGAGACCGTTTGCCTTAGTCAGAACAGCGTGCAGCGACCAGTCTGGATAAACGCCAAAGTGAGTCACCGCTGCAAATATCATTAGGCAATCTCATAGAGGGGTGAATGCTTACCGCTACTTAGCGATAGCACATAGTCTCCTGACTTGAAATCAGGGTCTTCAGAGCGAATAACTTTGGATATGGTCCTGCTTTTCATTCTGCATCCATAGAAATCATATCCATCAGTACCACAGAGTCAGGTAATCCGGATGGAACGTACGGTTTTCCGAGGGGATTAGCGGCTCTATAACTCTGGACAGAGGGATCCCTCAAGGTACCCCGCAAGTAGGGATCGAGGGATATGTAAACGGTCCTCACTAAGGCACCGCCATGGAGGTCCACATTGTCAAGGTCGATGGACTAGAGGTTGCCCGCCGAAGCGCTTATTAATGTGCGATTCAATCATTCGCTAAGAGCCGGACAAACTTACTGCGCTGTCCGACTCGTATACCAAATGCTCTCCAGGGATAGGATATTCCTTTGGGACTGCTTTATAGATAACACGGGGGTTAGGAGTGGGAGCCATGGGTAGCGAATCCTTTGTCCTAGTCAGCGGTGACTTGGGGAAACGACTCGGGGAGACTTAAATACCTTTTCGTTTGTATTCGATCATGGACCCCTGTGGCGCGACCATGTTAAATTCCCTCCTTTGGGAGGAATGATAGGAATACTCCATGCCATGCGTTGTTAAAGCTATGCATGGTATTCATCAGGCTCTCGGTATTACGAAAGCAGTACAGTACCAGCCTTACAAAGGTGAGTGATATATGATAAACACGGTGCCCCAAGCAAAAGCACGTGGAAGCTATGTGGAGGACTATATGGAGCAGGATTGATTAAACTTCGGATTGGTGGCCGTAGTTTACTAGCAATATTCTTATTTGGCCATCTAGCCATAGTGGAGCCTTAATTCCGAAGCGCAAGGGGAGGCTTTCTGCACATGAACAAATCGAAACCCCATGATGCGCGGAGTTCACTGACATGCCACACTGTCCGGTGCATGGATACGCCTTTATCAGGCGGTGCTACACACTACTTTTCTTTCAGATAAGAATACAAGCTGTCACTATGGAGGACGAGAGAACGTATCCTTTAGGAATGTCCACGGGACGGCGACTAAGTAGACCTACTTCTAGACTAAGGTTCTGAGCTTCGTGAACCTCCTGTGGAAGGAACATGGGACCACGCGCGTAGCAGGATTCTTAGAAGCAACACAGCGTATGATCAGAGAACGTCAAGAGACGAGATTACTCCAAGAGATGACACTCGCTGGGTGGCAGAGCCTTTCCCATTTTCGATACCTGCAATACAGGATCCAATTGTTTGTAAGCAATGACTCGCTAGAGGGATATGGTCTGGGCTTTGCTTTGGCGAAGGTGGGTGAACATTCTCAGATCTTCAATCCGAAGACGCCTGGCGCTGATGAACAGCCTAGAGTTCAAACAAACAAACAAACAAACAAACACAACAAAACAGAATTGTGCAAGTGCAATATTTGGGAATCGATTCTGCAATTCGGTGACAATGTTGAACCGAACCGAACTCGGAACTTTTGGTTCTCTCACGGTTCAGATTGCCTCTGGTACTTACGCTGCTGGTTACCATCTGACATGTAACTCGGCTTCATTATCGGAGATCTATCCGTCCTTAAAGGTCGCAACAGGGGTCTCAGAGCGTTCAGTTGGAGATCGCTTTCAACACCCCAGCCACGACTGACACCAAGATTTTGTACGATCTCTGTAGGCTTCAATCAAATATCTTAGGAACGCTTCCCTCGCATTTCATCTATGCCACACAAAGGCTGGCCTAGAGAATCAAAACTGAACCATCATATGAAACTGAACCGTCGTTCGGCTCCACCGCAGCTCAGTTCCTGGTTCTCAGGTCGGTTACCTGTGGACCTCGATACCTTTAATTGAAAGTGTTCGATGAGAGCTAATAGCTATATTGTACTCCACGCGAGACTTCAATGACGTTGTTCTTGAAACTTACCGTCGGCCTGGACTCTAGGCACAAATCTGACTTGTATTTTTCCTTATCGGACCGTGGTTGTTGCCAATCGTTTTATACGTGCTCCTATCCGCGGTCGGGAATGCTGTCAACGAGCCCAAGGGCGGACAAAAGTGCTACCACGAGTTATCCTATTGCATTTGAAGCCCACTTACAGGAACCTCTGCACAAATCACTGGTTGAAACATCAGGGAGACCGCAATGGAAACAGATAAATCCCCTAATTCTAAATCTTCACTCCTCAGACACGGCGACAACGGTCTTCCCTAAATTTTCCCCATTGAACATTGCCAAGAAAGCTTCAGGGATTATTTCAAACCCTTGATACCTGGTTTCCTGATATTTGATCTGTCCTTGCTCCACAAGCGGTCGGTATTCTTCTTGGAACGCATCGAGACCTTCTTTATCGACAATGTCCCAAATGACGAACCCGTTGATTGAGAGTGTCTTGGATACAGCTTTGGATGACAAGTTCTGTGTTGTGTAAACATCGTGAGCAGTGTCCGCAGTGGTTGCATGGGGGGTTGGGACGGGAATGACTTGCCTTAACACCATAGCTGGACCTTTCTCCTTTGTTGTACTCCGTAACGAATCCGCAAAGCTGTGCAGAAGAGCGTGTGTCAGATAACATACAGGGTACGACCCGGATTACCAAAAAAAACTGACAATGATTCTGCCATGCTTGTTTATATGTTCAAAAGCCACATCCAAAGTCTCTCCGCCAACATTATCATAGTAGATGTCGATAGGCCCATGCTCCTTCAGGACGTCCGCCACCTTAGTTGTTTTGTAGTTGAATGCAACATCCAACTTGAGCTCTTCTTTAAGCCATTCAACTTTCCTGTCATCACCGGTGGAACCAATAACTTTCAGCCCAGCAAGCTTGGCGAGTTGTGCTACTATGCTGCATATAAAACATAGTTCAGAACCCAAATCACTATTTCCGAGTTGACGATATCTTTGTCACGTACCTTCCGACAACTCCAGCAGCTGTGGAAACGAAGAGAGTTTCGCCTGCTTTCATCCTCCCAAATGCACGAAGACTGAGAAATGCCGTCAAACCGGGCATTCCCAGAACGCCGGCGTAAGTCGATAATGATACATTTGCAGGTTTCTGAAGTTTGGTGAGACCATCTGCCTTGGTAAAGACAGCATGCAACGACCAATCTAGATACATGCCGAAGTATGTCACCATCGTGAATATCATTGACCATCTCATAAGAGGGGCGAAGAACTTGCCGCCATTAGGTGCCAAGACATAGTCTCCTGGATTGAAATCAGGGTCTTCGGAGCGAATAACTTTGCATATGGTCCTGCTTTTCATTCTGCATCCATAGAAACCGCGTTTGTCAGTAGCCCTGAGTCTGGAAACCCGAACTTAAACGTACGGCTCTCCGACTTGATTGGCAGCTGCATAACTCTGGATGGAGGGATCTCTCATAGTGCCGCGCAAGTAGGGGTCCAGGGATATATACACGGTCCTCACTAAGGCACCGCCATGGAGGCGCGCATTATCGATGTCGATGGACTGACGATAAGTGCTTGTTAATATGAGATCCACTTAGTAGCTATGGGCCCGATACGCTTACTGCGCTGTTCGACTCATAGACCAGATGCTCGCCAGGGACCGGAAACCCCTTGGGCACTGCCTTGTAGATAATGCGAGAATTGGGAATAGGAGTCATGGTCAATGAATTCTTTAAGATGTGGGGTCTATAAGTTAGCAGCCTAAGAATCGACTTAAATACTTTTCTGTTCGTATCAGATCATTATGGTACGACCATGTCGAATTGGACAAATGATAGGATTACCCCACGCTCAGGAAAACGCCACGCGCCGTTAACGCTATGCACGGTATTCATCGGGAATCATGGTACTCCGTATTAAGAAGGCATTGCCGGCTTTACAAGAAATGAGCGATATATGACCTCGGCAAAAGCACCTGAGGACTATGTGAAGGGCTATAGATTGATTCGCCCCCGAATCGGACAGAAGTAAACCATGAGACTTGCATGGCCGCAATCAAATTTGAAATCGCATTGGAAGTTGTTCTTAGGCCCCATTTAGCCATGGTGAGACTCTAGCATCTTCTGCTGAAGCACTTCCGATCTCTCAAGCGAGCGAAGAGGTTTAGCATCACACTAGTGAAAGGGTGCCTGGGGATAGCTGGCATGTGGCACAGGTGCGGTGTAATGAACGCATTCAGTACCATTGCTTGAATTCACGCATATAAAATGGCCCAAGGCTATCTATCTAGGGGGTTCTGGACCCTGTCGGTGGATGCGGAGATCAAGGAGAAACGAGTATCCGAGGTAACTAGGTCGATCGGTGCAACGTGAGCACCCCGGTAATTATTGCTGATGGGCGCGAGAAGCGGGAGCACACTGGATAGATCTTGCTTCAACAGTAAGGGAAACAGCGAATGTAGAGGCGAAGGCTCATGTGTCATTACTCTTGAGGCGCTGGTAGCCAAATCGAGAAACGAAGTGACGTCATCTTGTCATCACATTAGGCCATTAGGCAGAGGGCTTTTGATAGCCTACACTCGGGAAGATGAACGCCGGCATCGGTAGACCGGTGAATATACCCTGGACGCCTTGCGAAGCTAAGCTATGAATGTAGCTATTGTGTGCTCTTCCCAACTAGCAAAGTCGGCTCCGATGGTAGGGTTTGAAAGACCTGGTTCCAGAGGTATCTGATGCTCCAGAATCTTTTCGATGCAACTGGGGAGCCTTGCTGTGAGCTATGGTGTTAGGGTGCATACAGCCAGAACATACTGACAATAATGTTATAAGAACAATCGGACGGCCACGACTCGACTACTCCCCTTCTCCCAAATCGTCATCCTCAACCTCTTCGCGCTTTCCTTCATGTTTTGGAGCAGACACATAGAGCACTTAGCCAAAAAAATACCTTTGATCATCGTACTCCAGCTTACTTTTCTTTACTCTTCTTTTTTCCCGTACGTGAACGTCTACGATATTGAACAAATCCCACGAAGCGGCATCCACCCGAACCGAACGGGGCATAGGGATCCTGGCCGACGGAGAACTAGCAGTTTCAGAAGGATTTGACAAGGGCCCATTTTCTGGGTATCCTTCTCCGAGGTGGGGCGGACGTCGTGGATCATCAGGAAATCTCTGTTCCAAACGCCTACGTGTTTCTTCTAGTACGCTTTTTTTTGGGTGGAATCAGTAAAAAAAAACTCGAGCAAGTTAGGGGAAAAGGCCCAGCATACGTCGGACTGACAATGTTGCTTCCAGTCAGCATATCAAGAATCGCCCTCCCGTCGAATGGTTTGAGGTGTCGATAGTATGCGGGACGGTGGGAGGTTATCAAAGCAAATGTTCTAGTCAAAACATCTGACACTTGAGAGGTGAGAGCGTCGATAAAAGGTGCAGGGACTCTGGAAAGGCTTTCATTGGAGTCATCGCTTTCTTCACCTTCGTCTTCGACTCCGATTTTCTGTCCGTCTTCAACGCCTTCATTGCCTTCGTCATCGGAGTTTTCATCACTCTCGCTGCTATCGGCCTCCTCTTCATCATTAGCGTCCCCAACCGCCTCAGTGATCCGCCCACGTTCATCAACAGGTGACGGTTTCTCGCCCGAATGGGAATCACCTGGGCCTATTTCAGCATCGTGATCACCGGCCTCTAGAATTGTTACCACAACATCTTCTATCGCGTCTCGGAGTGCCCACGGGGGCTGTTGGGATATCTCTGGTAGCAGGGGCCAGGATTTATAAGGTTTTAGAAGTGTTTCCGAGATGTTTTGGCTTCTTTTCGTCTCGCTGTTATCAAACTCTAAAGCTTTGAGTATAGCCGCGTAGTAATGAAGTTCTTCACGCCTCTTCCTGGCAGTCTGTGACATGGCTGTTTAGGTGTAGGAGTCGCTAATTCTGGATCGGTCACATGCAAGTCTTCGCCTTAAAAAGGCAAGCCTCGCACGCAACTCTCAGCGCCTAGATCAAAAAAAATGAGCTACAAAGCGTTGATCAACAAGGTTAGGACGCGTTTTTTCAGTTCATCGCGACGCGTCCTTACATGTCTAGGACAGGTTTTTACGCGAAAATACCAGTTTGCCCTTCAGCCGAATTCTGTCGAGTTTCTCGAAGAAGTCCTCAGTGAACATGAGATAGCGCCCGACCAAGTCCAGGATGCGCTGGAAGCCATAGCAAAGGAATGCCAGAAACAGGGAGGCATGCATTAACCCCATCATTGGTCCTCCAAGTTTATCGCTCAACCTTTTCGGATTTATTGCACAGATTGTACCACCATCGTCACGAGAGACATCTTGGTCAGGGTGTACGAGCTCATGAGGGAGGCAGGAGAAGATGGACCAAGCGTTAACCCACTAGATGCGGACCTCTTAGACCCCGAGAACCATCTATTTATAATTGACGCCTTCGACATGCCAAGTTGGTACTACTCTGCCGACCGAAAGGCATTCGAGAGGTGCGTGGGTCCCTTCCTCCCTTCAATCATGTGCGATTGACTTTAATTGAAGAACGCCATGGAAATCTGCTGTAGGCGGTACGGCTCAATCAAGGACACAACTAATGCGAAGTCGGCACGATCTGATCAAACAGTTTGTCCTTCGGAACGAGAATTTTTCACCTCCGATATCGGGAAGGGATAGAGCTAGCTACCTCAAGGCGCGGGCTTGCAATGATGCAAATTATCTTGACACTGACCATTCCCTAGATAACATCAACCAAAAACCTACTGGGGCGAATAGGGGAACGGTTCCTTCTGTTCGGTATGCTATCGCATGACTCTGCTGGAAAGCTTTGTCTGGAAGATACGGAGGGGAAGGTAATGTTGGACATCACCGACACAGTGAGTAGAAAGCAACACACACACGACAAGTACATCAACGATTGGACTAGGCACCAAGCGAGGGCTTCTTCACAGAGGGGTGCTTCGTCCTTGTAGAGGGTGATTATACTGCGAATGAAAGTTTTGCTGTGATTGCGATTGGACATCCTCCTAGCGAACGGCGTGCAGTAGCAAGGCAAGAGATGAGTGTTTGGTTGACGGTGCTAGTGACTAACGCGCAGAGTAGGTCGATTTTTGGTCATATTGATATGCTTGGAAATGGGGCTACCACCGTATTGGAAGATGTATGTACGCACATATCGCCTCTTCCGCCTGCTTGTGAGGAGTTCAAACCACTGTCCGACTCAGGCCAGCTATCAGGAACGTCTTGAGTTGGAATATTCAAGACTGTCCTTTCTAGTCATGTCAGACTTGTGGCTCGACCACCGTCGCACTCTGGAAGGATTGAGCAAGGTGTTCGAAGGATGTGTTGAGAATGATTTCATCCCTCTCATCTTCATCCTATGTGGTAATTTCACCAGCGGCTCACTCGATTTGACGTCTGGCGATGGATTAGCGAAATATCAAGGTGATTTTTTTTCTTTCACACCATCCAAGCTTCGTGGACACGTTTTCAAGTCACACCTTCCAACGGACAGACAATCTGGACAGTTTGGCGGACCTCATTGCCGGGTTTCCGGCGATATCTCGGAATTCACACTTTGTGTTCGTGCCCGGTCCACTCGATCCATGGGGTTCCTCGACGCTTCCTCGCCGCCCACTTCCATCCTCTTTCACCTCGCGTATACGAAGCAGGGTCCCTAAATCCCACTTTCCGAGCAATCCTGCCCGGATCAAGTTCTTCGGACTAGAAGTTGTCATCTTTAGGGAAGATCTAATGGCGAAGATGCTGCGCAATTTGATTGGTGTGAAACCAGACCTCCAGGGCTCAGACCTCAAGCGTTTTGTAAGTGGGTTCTCTATAAGTCATCCCTGGATCATTCGCGGATTATCGTACTCTTGAAAGCTGGTGCAAACTATTGTGGACCAATGCAATCTTTCGCCTCTTCCATTTCCCGTCTCGCCGATACTGTGGGATTTCGACCATGCGCTACGCTTGTACCCAATGCCTTCTGCGGTTCGTTCTTCCAGCACTCTATGGAGTGACCTTAGTCATTCCTTTCGGGCTTCACAGGTAATTCTAGCGGACAGTTACGAACGATACGATCTTACCTATGAAGGCTGTCACGTCTTCAATCCCGGTAATTTTGTCGGGAATGAATTTGGGTTCTCAATATACTTTCCTGCTACGGGGCGGTCAGAGGCTTCGTATGTATTCTTTGAGTCTGTTGGCGAAATTACTTGACTAAATCTCGATTAGATCTATTGACACCGAAAATGTTGAATAACCCATTCAAGATTCATGTCAAGATTATCCCTCGGAGCATTCATCTTCAACTTTGCCTCCTTTTGTATGTTGCATGTACGTTCTCCTTCCATCATCCATATATCGCCAACCATGAATGGTTGATGTCCAACGTCAACTCATGATAGACGCCGCTCAATTAGGTTGTCACCGGCCCCCTCCCCCTTCCCCAATATGTGAAGCCTTTATCGGAGTTCGCCCCGAGAGTAGACCAAGCCAAATCATTCACCGCAACCGCTGAGCAAAGCAATATATTTGCTCGCGGTAATCCCTTCCCGTCATTGAAACGGCTCCACTATTAGCCTCTTGGGCGGCGTTGTCTAGCCTGTATCCAATGTACCGCATCAGAAAACGCGCTGTATCTCGATGAGAACGTTCCTTGATAGAACTACCCAATTGGATCCCTGTTCGCGTGCAATTCAGCTTGCCAATCGGGCCTATAACATTTTAGGGGTAAAAGCCACTACCCCTTCTTTGGCGATTGCCCAGGGACTTGGCATGGTTATTGTTTGAATCAGGTAATGTACTGGAACCTGTTCGACCTGTTCGACCTGTTTACCTAGTGGTAAACACGCGGTGATGGTTGAAGCGAATCGCCGATTTGTGCTTGAGGATGAAATGTAGTGAGTATGTAATAGCGTTATCTGAATTGGTCAATGCAAAAAGAACCAGAACCCCCATGGGATTTCAATCAACACTTCAGATGCGGGGTTGATGTTTTATGAAATAGAAAACGCAAGCGACGATAACTGAGAATTACAGATGTTCACATATATACGTATGTACGGCAGTTGTGCATGTGTGCATGTCCGTCTCGCTGCGAGGGCACAACGCGCACATACGAATATCGACAATATTCAATGAGGTTGGGGGCGAACAAGCGACCTAAGCGTTGCAAAATGGATGAAATGAAATCTGCTACCCGAAATGAAAAAGCTGCCATACACAGCATATGACGCAATCATACGACGTCAACCATGATGACCAATCGCGCGGTGCCAAGTGAGCAAGAGCGGTCATGAGGATGAGAGAGAGAGAGGAGAGGAGAGTCTAGCTGCAAGGAAGTTGAGGGAGGAAATTGGAAATTAAAAGGAAGGGATGTTCTTTCAAGCATTCAATGAAGTCTCAAGACAGGAGGCGAGTAAGCACATTCCAAGAGTTGTACGGGTAAGTTTTTCTCCGCCATGAGTGTATGCGGATACTGATACCCGTTGACATCGTGCGAAGGTCCGCCTCCCAACGGAGGTGGGGACGTCGGATCAGCAACCGGCGAAGGGGCGAGAGATAACGAAAGGCCAGACAATGCACCACTACCATGTGCCCAGAGGAAGCGCGGAGGAATAAAGGATGGATCGAACGTTCGCTTGTTCACGTACAAGACGTGAATACACCGCTGAACTGCACGTGCGAGCTTGATCGAATGGATATTGAGCTGAAGCCATTTGCATTACGTTTGCCCAATTGTTCAATGTGGATGTATAGATCGCTGTGTCCTCGCAAATGTACGAGCTGAGCGTTGGATGGTAGAGGATCTATGGAGAAGAGGGGCATTTATTATTCCGAAAACCGACTTGAAAAGGAACAAGCCTACTTCTATCATCAGCAATGCAGCGGCTGTTGTTTGTCCCAAGATACGTTCAGGTAAGAACTCGATCGCTGCACGGGGTGGGAAACTATCGCAGATGAATTGCAACATGGCCTGGGCTCTCGAGATACACTGATACCATTCCAGCGTCAAATGCAAGCTCCAACGCTTGGATGGAAAGTGGGACGCACCACTGGAACGAGCACTTCACGACTCTTCGAAGCATACGAAGGCCGACTCGTCTTTGTACGAGGACGAGGCTTCGCCTTGGCAGCCTTATCCGAACGTGATGAGGACGAATTTGACTCCTCCATCACAGCCTGCAGTTCGAACGTATATAGCACGAGGCGATAATACCATACGTCCAGCTGGATATTGTTCAAGTAAATTGAGGGCCTCCGTGCCCTACCCAAAAAAAAAAAAAAGCAATCAGAATACATTTGTCAGAACCAATCCTTGCAGCAGAAGCAATCACACCAACACTCACCGGTAGCCCTAGATCTCAGTCCACTAACTTCATCCTCTAAATGATCCAATATACTGCCACACTTTTGAACAAATTTGAGATGCCCATTCTTATTCCCACCATTTCCGCTCCAACATGCACCCTAAACGAGGCTGCACTCTTCTCGTTATCAGCCGGTCCGAGCGCATCGCTCAAAAAGCCCGTCATAACATTAACTATCTGGGACTGAAGTTGTTTCGCTCGTTTGAGCGGAGAGGTGTATTGTGGGTGAGTGGTAGCGAAGGGGGATGAAGGAGATTGAAGTTGTCGAAAATCAGACGACGGATCGACGTCTTGATCCGCAGCTGTCCGACGCGCCAGAACCGTTGTACTTAGTGTCGTCTGGAGAGCGGTCGTGGAAGAACTACCTTTAGGAGTGGCAACCGCAGCACTGGCAGCCGCGGTAGCAGAACTTCCAAGCGCCCCAGAGGAGGGATCCGTACCAGGAATGATAGCCTTAATCGATGATGGTCGTAAAATGATAAACGTCCTATCCACTGTCGTACAGATGTTAAGCACCGAGCTGCATTCAGCGAGTTCACCCTGTGAATCAACCGCGCCATTCAGTTTCTGTTGTCGATAAAGATGGTGTGACTCTGCGAGACGCATGGCAATTCCCGTCCAAACCCATCGTTTGTCTGCGCCAGTGTTCGTCACACCTTCCAAGGAGGTCCGAACGGGCTGCATCCATGTCACCCACAAGATGAGCGCCAGACATACATCGAGTGGTGAGTCTCGGCCGGATCTCGCTCCTGTTATGGGATCCTCAGTCGAGAAGCACGCGAGAGCTAGCGCTTCTTTTGTGATGGAGAGGGACTCTGGATAGAGATCTGGACGTGAACCTAGGAAGCGTGACGCAATCGTGCAGACTGTTTCCGACGAATGGTCACCGCCATGCATGTGCAAGCGGGCAGGGGAAGTTGTTGATTGAGCAAAACTGTCTCATCCATAAAGGATACTCAAAACAAAAAACAAAAAAAGAACTAAACACACCTATAGTAAACACTAAAGGAAACCTAGAGAGTACCAAAGGGATAGTGTGATAATCCGGATCCAAGATCTCCGCATGGGGATTCAAATGAGTATAGAATCTACAACCAGGGGGTTAGATCCATTCCGCCGAGTGATGAAGGAGGGGTTGGGGGTCCAGAATCCAGATCCCAAGAACGGTTAGAGAGCGACCAATTGACCCATTATCCATATATTCAGTGCGTGCCGAACATGAATGGATGCCGAATTTCAAATGATTGGAGTAGGTGAACGTGGGTGATGCAACAGTCAATCCAATGGTTCAAAGTCAGTTCATATCAAATGTAATGGTCAAGCAAGGGTAATGATTCGGGTATACCCACATGGAGAAAAGCTGCTGGACTTCTTCAGGGGAAACGATGCCTCGCACAATCAAGGTCGGAGGGAAGTATTGCTCATTAATCATACGTTGGACTTCGGGGTCTTCTTCGAATTGTTGCTGTTGTTGCTGTTGTTGTTGCTGCGGCTGGTGTTGAGGATGCGCCACCTGGTGATGTGAATGTGAATGCGAATGTGGGGGTCGAGGTTGAGATTGTTGCGGTGGGGGCTGCGATGGTGGATGATAAATCTGGTTGTATGCTAAGGAAGGGTTGGCAAGTTGCTGGGGTGGCGAAGTCATAACAAGTGTGGAAGCATCGGAGAGGTAAGGGGACAGTTGATCGCTGGTCATCACGGCCATCAGCCGTGGTGTCGTTTCGTCGTCTGCGTTCGTAGTCGTGTTGGGGTCGGGTGGGGGTAATCGAGTACTATTAGGCGTAGTTGAAAGAAGGAAAAAAAAAAGGTATTATGAGACGGGGATTAGACAGAGAGTAAAGTTGTTTTTTTATAGAGTAAAAGAGAGAGAGAGGACACGCACTAAGGTGTGCCACTGGGGAGGCAACATCTCTTTCCTTGCTTGCAATTTAAGCATTTCGTCGTGCCAGGTAAATACGTACAGTGGATCTACCGGAAGCGCATGAAACAAGTGGTTAGAATTCAGGGACAACCGCTGTTCGGCTGAACAAGATGGCGCGGGGGAAGGGAGTGGGTAAAAGGGAAAGGAAGTGCAATATGAAAAGGAATGGTGGATTTTTTTTTTTTGGTTCGAGAAGGCTTACTTACCTTGGATTTTTTGCATCTAACGCAAGGAGGTCGGCTGTATTCGTGCTTCGTTTGATCGTTTTTACCCGGAGGTGCAAGTTGATGATAAATAATGGTAGAAGCATTGATAGATAAAGGAGATGCTGTGGGGGATACAGTTGGCGGAGATTGTTGAATTTCTTCCACTTCCGTAATAGTAGTAGTCGACGGCGGAAATATTGAAAGAGACTCTTTTGGGTTGGAGATTGTCAATGGATCGAGGTGTTGTTGCAAGTCCGAGAGCGACGACGGGGAGCCAGCAAGAAGAAAATCAGTTACAGATACATGATTCAAGGGCGGTGGCGTCGTTGGTGTTTGGGGCGATGAGGCGATGCTGTTTGAAATATCGAGCGACGCGGATTGGATGTGTTTGAGTGCTTCTTCGAAGATATGCGCAGGCAAGGGTAGCTGCTCAGAACCAGGCAATGCGTCATCACACAGGCTGGAAGCAGTGATCGGGGACGCAGTGGTGGAAGAAGCGGCAGTGGAATCTCCCGCGGCCATCGCTGAGAGCATGGGTGGAGATGAATCAACCTCAGGGACTGTGACAGTTTCAGTTGATGAGGAGGATCCCCTATCTGCGGTTGATGCTGGAAGGTGAGGACAAAGAGGGACATTCGGGTTGTCTAGCGGAGCGATGGCGGTGATTGAGGGATGGGTTCGCGCCTCGTCGTCGTTCCATCGGGTCTTGCCATCATCAGCAGGGTCGGGCACACCAGAGGCAGCACGCTGAAGGACAAGGAGAGGATGCATCGCTGAACGAGGAAAGCACACGGAGGAACAAACAACCCAGAGTTGAAAGCAAGGGGTTCGCCTCCGAGCTTTCAACTTAACGGCTGATACCAACATAAAAAAAAAGAAGACAAATCGAATTTTAGAATTAGATCAGCAGATAGAATGTCTTCATCGGAAGCTCGCAAGTTGATTACGGGTGTTCTCTGTTGGGAACGGAAAAGGCAAGATCTTTTGGAGAATTCAGGTCACAACCGTAATCGGTTCTTGTCCAAATGTGCAATTCTTCGCTGCCTCGTGTTGGGGGAGGGAACATGTAGATAATCGAGGCGCAAGCGGAGGAATTGAGACGCTGTGATCTTGAATCCATATCTGGTCAAAATCGTTAAACCTAGATTTCTTCGTCGCGGTTGCCATTCGCAGCGGTAAAGGAATATTAATTCCGTTGGCGCTTTAGACAGACCGAACCTAATACGGAAACTAAAAATACAAACGGCCCGTGCTCAAACACAGCCACCTTTTATTACTGCCCTCCTCATGCCTGGCGCCCGTCGGTCACGATCTCGCTCACCCTCATCGCACCATCGCCATCACCATCAGGGTGACATCGTTCTAGCTGACTATGGCATCGAGAAAATAAGTGAAGATGATTATTTCCTCAAGAGTGACAACTTTCGTCTATGGCTCAGACAGGACAAGGATAAAGTCAGGATAAGCATTCCTCTCTGACCCCCCGCGTAAGGCACAACTCATGGTCATGCCTGTTTGATGTGTTTGGCTATCCCGGAACTGGAAATGTCGGACCAGTACTTTGACGAGCTGTCTGGTGACCAAGCCCGGTACTATTTTGCCAAGTTTGTCAAGGTGCGTTTCCAACCGGCCAGTCATTTCCTTTCGCAATACAACCTCCCGTCGAAAAAAAAAATTGTCATAGCGTGCTTACAAACCACTTCTCCTCTTTAGCGATGGAACAGAGGCCAACTTAAACGTACGGCTGAAATACTCCTGAGAACCCAAGAACTGGGTTTCAACGTTGCCTATTCATACACATCTAATTCCCGTCCCCGAATTTTTCAGTACCTCTCTACCAGGTCGACAACAGCGCCTCTCCTGCACCAGCGTCTTCTCAAACCGCCTACAGATGGTCTTTCGCATCGAAAACTTCCAAAGCTGACCGAAAAGCCCTGGAAAATGTTCGTGAACAGATTGCTTCGGATACGTCCAATTCTCGGAAAACTTCCTTCGGCAAGCCTGCCTCATCTTCGATGACTCCACATGAGCATGCAACCGCGGGAATTCGCTCTCCTATCTCCACCAACAGGCGTAAGCTGATAGGCCCCAGCATGCCACAAGGTTCGGATGCCCAACTCCTCGCTGAAGAGCAATCGGAGTCTGCCACACTCCATTTCAAAATGTCGCGAAAACGTGCCCGTCAAGAAGAATCTGAGCGTTTAGATGATGCTGTGCTGATGGGTGGAGGTGCTGCTAAAGGTGAACTACGAGGACGGGACGGTCAATTGGAAGCCAAGAAAGCCAGGAGGGAAACTGACCGATCCTTTCGGGATGCAAGAGGCGACGACAGTGCGGGGTTTGATATGCGCGATGATGTCCTCATGGGTAGTGGTAGTGCTGACAGTTTCAAAGCCGCGTGAGTACGATGTTTCCGCTTAGGGTCTACCTGCTTTCGATCCACCATTCCTACCTTGGCTACACCCGCTATCGCCTCGTGGTAGTGGCGACCCATGTTGCTGTCAAAGCACGCCTTTTTTACTCTCCTCCACACTTTTTATCACGTCATTTTCCATAACTGGACTCCTGTCATCAACTTGGGGGTTCGGACTTTTGCGCTCCGATTCGCACAGTGCCCCAGTTCTCGTGTCAGGTTTGACTTTTTGAGTTATATCGCCTCCCCCTTATGGTGACTCGATATCATCACAAAAAAGCCTCCTCAAACTATCGAACCCCCTCCCCCCCTGATCGGCTCATTCAGTTGACCCACTTTGCACTCTCTGATCTTGGACTTACAGGATCGCAAGAAGGGACGCAGCTCGTGCCCGCGCCGAAGCAAGATGGCAAGCCACACAGGATGAACGTAGGGGAGGAAGTGGAAGTGGTGGTGGTGGTGGTGGGACTTCTGAAGAACGTCGGAATGCGATACGTGAGAAGGATAAGCAGACGATGGAGATGCTGAAGAACTTGGCGAAGCAGCGGTTTGGATGACTCAGCAGCGGCCCTTGCCGGGTCACGACCGACTTGCTGGATAAAGCCGCGGTATTACATATATGGTATCATTTTTGACGTGAATTGATTTCGACGCACGGGCTTCAACGTAATTCAGCCGGACGAGGAACGGTCTTTTTCAAAGCGGCATTTCTCACGCGCCCTGTAGGAGCAAGGAGGAGTCACCTCAGGAACATTATATCGGGTGGCACAATGTGCGCATGCTCTCTGGCTCTCTCATCGATGCCCAATCGTCGTAAGCCTCCATTGCAGGCGTTATCAATGAGGACTATAGCTAAGCGGTAACAGCTGAGAAAGCAACGTTAAGAAGATCTATGCTGAGGTAATTCAACGATCTCTGATCAGGGCAGATGACCATTTCTATGCATTTCTTGCTCGGCTATGCATGCATCGCATCGTGCATGCAACGATTCCATCACTTCTATGTGTCTTGTCAGTTTGGCTGGCTTGTCAATGAACACTGGGTTCATCTCGACTGGCTCTTGGTATTAAGGGCTTAGCTAGGGTCTTAATTCCTCGGTCACCAGTAAGCTTTTTCTTTTTCTACATTAGGAGAGATTGCCACAACCGATGATCATCGACTCCCGTTACAGAAGAAACAGTTTGAATATGTGTCTGTGTGGGATGATTTCCACGGTACTTTATCTAGACGAAAAGCCCAACCCTTGCCAAGAGAGGTTGTGCAACCCTTCTTCCTCTCATCATCACCATCACACAACGGCATACGGACCGTAAAACGAGAACAAAGGTTAGCTAGCGCGAGCACTTCGCGATGATCACAATATGACAATCATTGTATCACACACTTATGGGGGCGGCAAAGAACTTCCAAGCTGATCAGGCGACAGAAGTACCTCAGTATCCACAACCAGTCAGGGCCCACAGCCAGATCAACCCGGTTGAAGAACGACGCCACCATCGAAAAGCCTCAATGAAGAAAACATGGCGGAGACAGATTGTCGTGTTGGCGGCGGTTGCGGCTCAACAACAACTAGCATACATAAGGCAACTTGTAAACAGTGCTGCAGACTTGTTGTGCCGTTCCCCCCGCGGATGCATTGATCTACTAGAGAAGATTTGGCGGTCAGGAACTCAATGTACAGGTTTATTTAAACGGTTTACTGAATACCAAGCGGTTGTGACAACACTTACATAGACCAGGCAGTTGTCAACCCAGATCCAATTGTTAATCCTCGGAATCCTCAGACTGAATGATAACGCCTTTTAATTCTGTGGCGACCTGTTCAAGGAAGGGAAATCGCCCAGCCAAATGGCGAGAGGGAAGGAGTTAAATTTGCGAGACAAACACACAAGTCAGACGTGGTCCGAGAACCAAGTTGGCGGAGACAGAGCTAGAGAGATACTCACCTCCTCTCCGAGTCTCCTAAGCCTTTCAACATCCTTCCCCACGAGGGAGACTGTAACGTTCTTCCGAAACTCAGGGTATGAACCAATTCGAATCCCTTCTGGCTTAACACGAATCGACAAGTCCGTTAAGAACGGTGCGATAAGAGATTCAGCCATCCTATTTCAAAATAGGAATCAAAATCACCCATCAGCGCGCGGGCTCCAACAAGGGTCCAAGGATCACATAGCGGTGTGACTCTTCCTCAACAAATCGCCTTAACCGCCAGTACACTAGTGTCTGCGGCGGCGCGTTCCTTGCGGCGATGTGTTGGGACGGCCACCGAATAAAGGAAAAATAACGGTAGAATAACCACAAACACACTTACTCCGTGCGAACAAGCAGTCGGAAGAGTTTATCAGCAGAGTCAGGTAAGAGAGCATACGGTTTGAGTCCTTCGAGCAATCGTTTGAAGATGCTAGGAACGCCAGGTAATATGCAGAGCTTCTTCTCTAGACGTACGACTGGCTGAGTATATGCCCGGTGGGGGGGGAGGGGGATTGGAGTGGAATTATTAAGACGTAAGTTCAACCATGCACATTGTCTTGAATCTCATTTTTGGCATGCACGAGGATAGACTTACCACCCATAAATCTTCAGCAACGAATAACACTTCAGCGTCAGCAGGGAAGAGAGTCATTCGCAATCGAGCTATATTCTGCGCTTCGGTTTGGTTATCGAGATCCGATCGATGTTTGCTCATCTCCCCCATTCGATGCTGAGTTTCTTCGTGATACTTCAATTCCTGTCCAAAGGCTTTGGCCAATGATTCATAGGTGATGTCTTAATGTCCCAAGGGCAGCCATGAGTGGAAAAGTCATAGTTTTAGAGCAACAAGGGGGTACTGAAGAGCCAATATTACACTCATACCATCATGCGTTGGCCCGATGCCTCCAGACGTGACGACCAAGTCGAATTGGGACACAAGCCGCCGACTTGCTTCGATGCTGAAGGTTATGAGCGGGGGTCAGTCTCTAACGCGAAAGCCTAGAGGCCGGTCGCGTGGCCTCGTTGTAACTGCAGTAATATACGAACATCTCTTTTTCGTCATCAGCTATGACCTCGATACGCTTCAGATCGATCCCAAGGCCAAAACAAAATTTGGCGAAATAGTGTGAGTTTGTATCTTGAGTCTTTCCATTCAAAATTTCGTCTCTAGTTGACGAGCACCAAAGATCCCGTCGGGTATATCCCCAAAATCATAGTCAGCGCTGCAGGCCCCACCAATTGTCAAGCCAAGTACAACAATCAAGCCATTTACCCAATAATTAAACATGCTGCGGTACGAATCGTTCGAGATTGAGGAGTCCTTTCTGGGAATGGTGACACTGCGAACCTCGTTGCAGGGGCGGACATAATAGTCTTTCTTATTGGTGACAGTTGGGATCGAAGAGCACGGAGCCGTGTAGTTGCAGATGGTGGGAGCATCGAGGGCTCCCGTTTACTAATTTTAGTCAAGAGCTCAAAAACGGAGAACAATCACAAATTGCCAAATTCGGGTAAGTACATATATCAATAACGTACTTTGGCGCCACCAACTTCGACTTGGAGGCAAATCGACAAAGCTGGAGACTGAGGTACTAAACACTTTGACTAGGCAGAATTATAAGTATAAACATTCGGAATTGGGTGAATCGCATGTTGAATATTACGGATCGATTGGCATCAGCCTATTCTCGTCCAAGTCAAACCACTCCCCGAGATAGCTGCACATTCCAGGGTCAACTCCACCTCCTTTCTCCCTCTCATCACAAAAGTCGAAATGAGGACACGTCCCACATGGAGTCTGGGTCCATCCAATTCCGATAGTGGTATTGCGACGAACGGCCCTGTAAACGACACCCGAGTTGGATGCATTCAGTGGCAGCGCTGCTGCACTGGGGATCGAAACATCTGCAAAACTCCAGTCAAACTCTTCATCTTCATCGCCCGATTTTTTCGTCTTGGGTTCATCGTCGCCAAGTCCCTCTTCCTCTTCTGAGTGCTCCTCAAGCTTGGCTTTTCCTACAGGACGGATCTCATAAGCCTCCTTGAGAGCGATAAACAACTCAATCTAGTTACCTATTTTCTGGCGTTTCATCCTGTTCGACATTATTTCGTCCTCATCAGAATCCAGGGAATCCTTACGACTTTTCCGTTTACCGGACGTTCTGCGTTTAGAAGGCGACCCGCTTTCCATATCCGAGAGATCCATGCCATACTCAGGGTCGTCATCGTCTTCAAATGAACCATGTGTACCAAGGGCCGGGAGTGCCTCTATTTCCCCCGAATACACCAACGCATCAAGAAGCATCTTAACATGTTCCTGTCTGAGTTCCGTGTCGGATATTTTGGCATTTTTTAGCCACCGAGTAATTTGAGCTGCAGTTGGGTAAATTGATTTTGACATTCTTGTCGGATAAATCATGTTCGAGCATTCCTCGGTTGGTGGAGGAAGGCTCTGTAACGTTGTGCAATCGTTAAAGACAGAATCGTCAGAGTAAGCATGAACTTACTAGATCCTGGATGTGCATAAGTATGGCTTTCATATTGTTCTCCACATATGCAGTGTCCCACGCATTATCAGTGTACCATGGGCCGCCAGTAAGCTCGATCGCAGGCTCGATACCTTTCAACATATACGTCTTGCGCGTTGGGTATTGCACGTTCGTTACACGCTTAATGAGCTGACTCTGCTCCAGCTTCTTTAGCCATCGATTGATGACAACGGCGGCTAAACCTGTCCTGGCTTTGAGATATCTTATCCATGCACCTTTTCGGGAACTAAGGTCGGTTATTTACTCTGGCGTGTAAAAAAAAAGACTGAGGCTTTACCGATGTTCCCTTGAGCCTCGATTGCCGAATAGACGAGATACTCATCAGGATGCATATTGGCTTTCCTGTTAAAACAACGTGGTGCCCGGTTACTGATGAACCTGGTGGAAAAGGCGCCTACACACGAACGCTGTAGCGGTGGCCCGGTCAACTCCTCGATACCCAGGTTCACCATCCTCCATCATCACCACAACGAGCAAGTTCTGTCCTGTTGATAAGTACCCATGAATTGCGTGGATCTCTACCAACTTACTTTTGAGAGGAGATCATTGATAGCACGGAGACATTGTGCCTCACTCTCACTGACTTGCGAGAGCAAGTCCCTAGTTGAAAGTGTCTGACGACCCCCACAAGATTAGCATGTTACGAACGTCATTAAAGCGTTGTGTTGCTCACCCTATCCTCAGCTCTTAGGCACGCTTGCCATATCCGTTTGGGCAGATCCGACATCAGGGAATTTAGGCGCCGATTATGTTTTGGGATGGCAAACTCCGTATTTTCACCAGACTTGACTATAAGAACTAGCAAATTTGCTTCCGGTTTTAGCTCCTGATTACTGCATCCATTGTGAACCCCCAGTGACAGTAAGTCTTTCAGACATTCCTTTAGCCCGGCAGCTTAACATATTCCATTCTTCTAGATGCGTGATAAGTGGAAGGTATGACGAAGTGCATTCACTCTCTGCTTAATCTAAGACCAAATCGTTCCCTCCGTAGAAAAAGAGATCTCGCAGGCTCCGCCGTAAGAGAAGAAAGATGCGCGCTCGTTCCAGTGAGTGTGCCCGCTTCTTTGGACAGGACGTACATGCTTAAACCGCCTTTAGAGTAATTGCCATCCGAGAACGTGAAGAGCCTCGTTCCAGCCAGCACCTGCAATGACCACATCGCTAATGTGAACATGTCCATCCACTTGCTTATGCGTAATTGGCCCGAACCTCATAAGCGACGATGTATTCGTTGCCGTGTGCCATCGAAGCTCCATGTCGAACAGCCAGTCCTTTCGTTTCTCTCGCGAGCGGCTGTTTTAGGATGACGGTTCTTGTGTAATTTTTTTCGTGTGCATCTATGCTATGATAATTGCATCATTTACATGCATGCATATTTCATTATTTGGTCGAAGATTGATAAGTTAATCACGGAATAAAGTTACTGATACTGCTCGACGTCCAAGTGTGAGGTACTGAATCACGTCGGAGTTTCCATCACTGCATCAACTTTCAGTACTCCCCATGCAAGCCCACCAACACGCCTTCCACCTAATATTGATGGTTCCCCTATTACTTGCTCCATTCGAGCTTTTGTGGGCTGCGTATCTGCACGGTCTGAGTGGGAGCTTTTAACTGACTGGGATTCAAACACACAAGAAACGAACTCACATAGGAACATGTCGGTATGAGGCTCGTACATCCCAAGCCCAACGTTCTCCCCGTCAAGTCGTTGACGTTTCCTCGCAAGATGTTGAACGATCTGTGGATCAGCATCCACCATTTCAGTTTCCCCAAAATGATCAATCTCCCGAGCTGCTTGAATTGTCTCCTCCAATCCACCGTCCACGACCGCAAGCTGTGCTTCGCCAAAGGAATCTTCCCTCTGGGGTGGAGGATCTAAACTCAGGGCAGCCCCCCGAAGACGCGAACGTCGAAGAGCGCCGTATTGATCATTGGACTCGTGTACCATAAGTGCCACCTTCCAAATCCAGTTCTCCTCACCCACTCCTTCACGCAGGAGAGTGGATCTCCTGGCGGCGCCCCCAGTCGTACCCAGCCCCGAAGTGGACGCCCCCACCATACTCGTGTTAGCGGAGAGGCTCAAATAATATCGATCATCAAAAGGTCCAAGACCAGCCCCTCCGAAGTGTGTTGTCGGGCCACCAGTGCGATATACACCAGTTGAGCCGTACGCGTTTTGAGTGTTGGCATTCGCTGCACCTTGTGCGAACTGTTGTGCATGTGTGCGAATAGGTTGGTTGATGTCGCCCATTGGGTAAAGGTTAGGGTCTGGCAGGTCGCCAACCGGATCCCCGGGAGTGATGCCTTTGGCAGTGCAGTCCTCTCGTGCAGCATCCTCGTAGTAGTCGTCAGTAACCCAGCGTCCATCTGTATGATATCATGAGTGGATTTACCGCAGGTAAGGGATACATACTCGCCCTTAATCATTTTTGATCCATGCACTTTGAATGCACTTCGCACAGCTATCATAGTGACACTTCTGGACTTGAGGTTGTTGGACAAACGTCCAAGAGAAATGAGATGCTCTTTTTCGGCTTGGGAGAGGGTGAGTTTTACAACAGTCGGATTCCGTCTGAAGTAGTACAATGAATCCCGGAAGCCAGAAGTTCGGGCAGCGTCGATAGACAGCATGTACTGTTTCTCGGGATTTGACCGCCATGGGCTCTTGAATGCTGGTGCTTTGAAAATGCGACCTGGGGTTCGGAACTAAGTTAGCGAATGGCTGGGGCAGGTAAGGAGACAAAGGAGCATGCCTCCTAAAAGATTCCCCAATTTATCAATTTTTGTATCTCCTTTGGGGTCATCTTCTGTCATTAATTCATCCTCCTCGAAAATGTAGTATTTTCCCTTGACCTTTCGGTATGATGTTCCGACGGGAAAATTGGGCACTGAGGAGCCATAAGAAGAAGAAACGTAGAAGCAAGTAAGCAAAGTTTCTCTGACTCACCATCATCATCTCCTGCAGCACTGTCCTCACCAACGTCTGGATCCGGATCGTCATCATCGGCAGCTTTGGTTGTTGGGCGTGTGTTTTTCAAAACAACAGTAAGACCAGAAGGAGGGCCAATCCTCCCACGCCCTCTGCCTCTGCCACGCCCTCTACCACGTCCTCTTCCTCTCGATGTCGACGTGCCACTAAGACCCCGACCCCGACCTCTGCGTTTAATCACAATAGTCGGTCCACGACGAGGCGCTTCTTCATCAACACCATCAACATCAGCCCCCTCCTCTCGATCATCCTCGCCTTCGCCATGCTCGCTCTCGTTTGCGAGGTCCTCGTCATCTTGTTCGGCGTCTTCACCCTGGTCTTGGTCTTCATCCACTTCTGCATCTTCCTCAGCATGTGACCCCTCTTCTCCCTCCTCCACCTCATCATAAGTTTCATCGGCTTCATCCTCATCTTGAACTGGTGTCGCGGATACCTTATGACGCGGCATCACAGTTCTCAATCACTGAATTGTCGAATAGTCCATGTTGTGTTCCCACGCCCACGTGAGATGGGACTGGTGGGCTTGCTAGTCTTGTAGCGGAGTTGTCCGAATTTATTGTTATATTGTTACATTCTTGAGCGTTTCAAGATCCACTCCATCGCGTCTGACCAATTACAGCCCCGGATTATCAGGCTACGCGTCAGGGTTTATCCCCGCTATATACTCCCGCACTGGAGCCGCCCACACACCTTTACACAAGTGTTATTTAGAGCTAACGGGACTGCCATAGTTGATTGTGAATTGGCCTGACGGCGGTTGCTTAACCACCGTCTAGATGGCTAAAACGAACGTAAGAACCGGGAGGAACTCAAAATGTTGGTGGGCCTTATGTCCATACTCTGTGGCCTACCATCCCATCCGCCAAAATTATGGATATCGGCTTTAAATAAAGTTCTCGATGCGGGTCACATCGTCCCATATAAAGATATTGATCTAATAGTAATAAGACCTTCTTGGTGATCTGTTGCACAGTCAGAAAGTGCTTTCGAGACTGCACCAAAAACCGTTCGTGGATCCACCGGAAGGGTGTAGGGGCATGGTAGTCCGTAATTGAGGCGCTGGGGGGCTTGAATGAGCTATTCTACCTGTTGTTTAGAAGGCTTCTCAGCCGCTCCCTTTTTCCACCTCCTAAACAATACTGAGCTCTCATACCGTTAAATATAAATATAAGAGGATCGTCTGATATGATGAGGAGCTATCTGCGAGTTGATGCCCAAGGGAGAGGATAACTGCTCAGTAGGATTAAATCTTGTTCCCGCTCGGTGCTCATCCTAAAAGGATGACGCTGCCAAGACACACCGTTTCTCCAGAGTGGATGCGACACTCATAGATATTGCGTCGATCTTCCCAATACAAATCCCTTCTTAGTTTCTTTCCATACTCAAAGATGGATTATTGCATTCCGACTCATAAGAATGTTTGGCAGGCACCCGTCAGGTCTCGAGTGCATCGAAACCGAAAATTGAATGGAGGTCCAAGTCATAGCCCGCATCTAGTATCAGTGTATTCGATCCGCCAGCGTCCAACGCTGTGAAAGCTAAATAAGCAAATTAATCCAGAACAAGCTAGGCGACATAATCCCGGTCCAATCTTGAAGCTCATCTGAAAGCGACGATGAGAAGGGGTCTTAATATGCAGTACTGCAGTGCGGCAAAGCGTACAATTACGGTACAAAGATTCCGGCTTCACCATTTGTTCTTCACATTACATTGTCCTCCGTTAATGCCACGTACTTCGAAATGATCACAGCCGAACAACCAAACTACCAGTAGTCACATTTCAACACTAACGTGTGCCACAAGCAAAGATGGTCAGTTTGGGTTTCGTTGTTGTTGAACGTTGTTGTTGTACTCTATTTTGTTACCCTCGTGTCAACGTGGCAGTGCGGCCATCCCAGCTCATTACAGCGTGTGTACATGAGGGGATCATCCTTACATGGTATGGGTGTCTGGGTGGCGTCTTCGGGCGAGTGGGATCCTCGGGAGTTGTGTCGTCAGGGGGGTTGTCGGGGTGATGTGTGTATGTTACATATATAGAAATAAATAGTTGTCGGTCAACTGCTGCGTCACTCTACTCCGCGTCCATTTCTGCCTCCTTCTCCGTTCGGGGCCTCGGATCTGCTCCTGTTTCCTCTCTTCTCCAGTGCTCGTGATTTCCTGACGAACTCCGCTAATCTGAGAATGCCTTTCGTTGAGGCGGACAATTCCAGTTACTCATCCTGAGATCGAATTTTCCCAGTCGGAACACAGGATCCAGTCACGAAAGAGCAGCTTGTTGATTGGGATGGACCAGGCACGGGCCACGCCTTCATCGGCTACATAATACTACAAACGATTCCTCCCAATCGAGGACCTAAGCTGCGGTTGCAGAGAACACGCGACCGCATCCTGACAGACTATACACCGCGCTGCGAGATTCAGGTAAAAGGTTAGGCTCTTACACTTAGTTTCCACCCACACGCCTTCGCTGGGGCATTATGAAAGAAAAGTGTATCATTCTTATTCTTCAAAACGAATATGAAACAGGGTGAGAACATGAAGTTGATTGTGTGTGCCATAACAACGAGGATGAGAGTCCAAATTCCAACTTGCCACATCCGGTGTCAGCCCAACCCAGGATAGGAAACAGACCCACGGTGTCAGTAGCTCACCGGCAAGGGAATGCAGTTCGGCTTACCTATTGCCTCTTAGAGCGCTTCCGAGCCGACATTCCAGCGTTCGCGACATTGCGCTTCCTTTTCTTTCTAGGAAGCTGCGCCCCTCCGTTGAGCTTGCCCAGCCCCTCTTCCAGCTGGCCCGCAGTAGGAAGGTGGACCTGAAGTAATGATTCCAACTGAAGAAAGTATATCAGACTTCAAAACAGGGCGAGTCGATGAATATTAGCCGCTGACCTGAGCCAAGGTTGCTATTCCATTCCTGTATGCTTTCGCCTGTGCGGCATGTTGAGTTGGGCCACAACCAGCCGAAATCAATTCTTTTCTGCAATGAATGGTTACCCTGAATCGGCGATCCAAAGTTTGCTCTCCAGTGTCCCTAACGCGCAAATGCGGCAGAATCCCAAGTTCGTGGCATCCAGTCTCAAAAGCGAGCTTCTCTCGTTCGGGTTTGTCGCCAGATCCATCTTCTACGCCGGACATCTCTGTTGCCAGATCATCAAGACCATCGCTAATGGGCAAGGGTCGAGGAACGTAGGAGTAGATGCCGAGAGTTTGGGCGGCACAAGTGAGAATGGGCAGGAAAACAGCGTTGAGGAAATTTCTGAAAGCGGAGTCCCCACAAATGAGACTCATTGCACCGATATACGCTTCGAATAGATTTGCTATGGAAGGTGTTAGCAAGTGGATCAAATAGTGGAAATTATTTGATCTCTCACCATGGCATTTGGCGTCAGGCGCCTTGCAAAGGTCTATTCCACTTATACCTTTGTACAATCGGTGCAAACCATAGCGCTGTGAAAGCAGCCCCAACGTCTTGTTACACTCCAAAGAACTCCTCAACAAGTGAAACATAGAGATGTCAGACTTATTGCTGAAATTCTGAAGGATAAGTCGCGTAGCAAAACTGTGGATCTCCGTGTCCCCTCTCCACTCCAGAAGTCGATTTTTCCCGTTCGTGAAGATCCGAGCTTGGAAGTCCTTATCATGTACAATGGGCAGAAGAGGGAGTTGATCACTTGCGATTAGAGCTCTCAGGGACAGGAAGAGCGCGTCCTCGACACGGAGCGGTCGCGGTAGTTCAGGCTCAGCTGACAGCAGCGGGAACAGCGGTGTTGCAGTCAACCCAGACAATTCTTCGTGAGCACGACGCGTTGTTCCTGGCTGGATGGAAGATGTACCCATATTCATGTTCAAAAAACGAAGGGGTTAAACGTGAGATGATTGGAATGAGATATGACCGTGTTGGGAGCGCGTCTTGATAGAACGTGTGAAATAACGCGTGCTCTCTGGGTGGCTACTAGTGAAGTCCTCCCCCCAAGAATAGTATCACGCTGTGATGTCCTTGTTGTTGTTCTTGATGGTGTTCTTGCTGGTGGCGCCCTGTGATATTGTCGGTGTGCGTTAAAGAGTGGCGCAGGGTAGGCTCTTCAATTTAGTTCGGCATTCTCCTTCCGAGTCTGCCAGCACTGTACATTAAGATCACACATGCCGTCATAGAAATGAGAAACCTGAACTAGACTGCGTGCATTGCTACGCCCAGACCTGCGTAGCGTACATGTGGTGACCGTACATAATATAAAGGCTGAATGATACATTGAATTTGAAGTCCAATCCCTCTTTTTCAAGCTCTGAGCACGTAGCCATGCATGACGGATCCCAGATTCCCTACTATAACACCCCATATTTTAGCGATGTGTTCAGAATCGCCGGCTCAATGGAAGAGTGCATGGTATTCTGGATATGAATCAAACATCAGCTTTGACAACGAAGCACCTGAGTACGCTAGGTTGATTGTTCTCCACGGAGTTGTTTTTGCGCACAAGTCAAATGAAGAACAAAACTCTAATTCGACTGATGGACGATGTGATTTTGCAACGAAAGGTCCTAGCTTTGAGAGAATCGCCAGCACCGGTCCTGGAAAGGAGACACCCAAGCACCTGAAGGTGGCATTTAATGTTTGAGATGCCAGGAAGCCATTTACGCCGTTCAAGAAGACATGGTAGCTGTCAAAGAAGCCACACTGGGTGTGAAACGCGAGCCCAAGTCCAGTGGCAGCCGAGCCCAACGCAAGCCGGGTGCCTGAAGGGAGCGTGAAGCTCAGGCTAAAAGGCTGAGGCGTAGCAAATTTCAGCGACATGGATGATGATCCTTATGCGAGGGAGAACGAGCATTTGTTTGACTGAGACCCGCTGAGTGCCGCATCGAGCGATTTCGTAGGCAGGTGACCAGCCTCTCTTTAACGGGAAGAGAGGCTGGGGTTGCTGAATGTCGCGTCTACTTGCAGACTCGTCATGGCCCACACGCAATTTCAAAATTTGCGATTGTTTGCATTGAATACATAAAGTCATATGCAGCGGAAATAAACTTAAATCCGAACTTGGCACGATCGGCTACATAATACTATAAACGATTCCCCCAATCGAGGACCCAAGCTGCGACCACATCCTGACGGACTATACACCGCGCACAGTGAACTCCTTCGAGACAATGACTAGCAGACCTTCTCGGTGAGGAAGATGGTGGTTTAACAGTAAGCGAGTTCCCTTAGCGCGAGTGGCGCATATGAGATGAAAACCCCAACCAAATAGACCCCCGACGTCCGCCCCGAAAGGCGGAATCCTCTTCGAAAACTGGCAGCAACCACATGTAAGCGGAGACTCCCCAGACCGAATGCATCCCATTATTTTCGTGTATTTATCCCGAGATCCCTGCCCTTGGGCGCTCTCACGAGCTATGCACACATACCCTTTGACGGCACACACATATCTACTTCATGTTCTCGTTGTTTCGTATCTGTCTTCCAAGCATGGTACACTTTGTCATATCCCAGCGAATAATATATGAATGAAAACTGGGCTATCCTTGTCTTCAATTCGCTAGGGCCATGTCCATTTTGCGTCCATTTTGCAGCTGAACACTAATTAAACGAGCACGTTGAACCGTAGAGACTTCGTACCGAGTCATTCATATGCCCTTTCTAGCAGCCCCCCAACGGTCCACAGTCCCCTCCATTCATAGTGCCTCCGCATGCAACTCCGACGTGCACGCATAGTTGCAAATATGACACCCACGCCCCCGTCGGAGCCATTTTCAATGTGGTCTCCAAGTTCAAGCTGACCGATAGGAGATGGTCAGTTCCCTGTGGGGTACTGTTAAATCCAGTAATGCCTTGGACAGCATTTCTTACTCTTAGTCAACGGTGTGGAGATTTGCTGTGGAGAAATTGACGCGGTGGTAGCTTATAATTCCACAGTCATCTCCCACATCCAGATCAACAAGCAATAAATTTACTCTGGAAGGGTGCATTGAAGTGCGAAAGAAGCTGATGTGGACGTGTCTCACTTGGTCTTGGTTCTGATCAATTTCATGTCACAGCTCATTCTTGCCAAAGGACTCCTAAAAAAGAGAGTTGAACGAGTGCATGGATAAGCGCTCATGGCCTTACTGAACTTCAGGAATATGTTGACTACGAAGCACATTGCAACGTGTCTGGTTCTAGAGACACTTCCCCAAAGGTCGGGGCGACCCGGCTGGCGGTGGAATGCCTTGGCTGTCCATGTTCCAGGAGGGATTGAATGATTTTTACCCTTCCGTACCGTTGTCTTAGGCGGCGAGCTATGGACTGGAGGGACAATCCATTCATGATGGTATGCGCGTTTGCTGTTATGCAGTTTAGCGGATATTCATACATTCATGCAATGGAAGAACTATCAACACATGGCCATTAAAGAGGCAGTAGCTTCTGCAACTCAGGAACCACTTACCGCTTGTCTGGTTGCCTCGTTCTTTGGCAGCGTGCGCTGTTTCTGAACTTGGAGCAATGTCGGCCCCACACGGTGTCAATGTTGTTCCAACACAAATTGAAGGATCAGACAATCAGACAGCAGTTGGTAGGAATGTTCAGATGCTCTGTGCCTCAGACTCAGACTCGAACCTAGTCATTGTTGCTTGTGGACCCCGCAATATTGTTGTTGAAATTAATGTGGACGCGCGAAAACTACCTTTCGAATTACAAACGTAAAGCCACACTCCGCTTCCATCCGTGACAACTGATGGACACGACAGCGCCCGCTACTCTCATGCTTTGGAAATACTCGTACCTCAATCGGATCCACACACATCCGATTGGATCGTGTGGCAATTTGATGCTCGTCCTTGACAGCCTTCTTGAGACACGGACGCTTATTCCCCCGATTCGCGCAAGCTACCCAGCTCGAATTTATTGTTTATGGATGAGGGAGGTTTAAGATTCTGGGTCCATCCAAGCCTCCCTGAAAGGCTGGAAATCACTGATCGAATCCCGGTATTCCAGATATCAGATTTGTCTTATAGTCATATCATCCATCTTCTTAGCGCCATGGTGGAAAAGTAGTTCCATCAACCTTCATGACAGCTCCAGTTTCAAGTTCGTTTTCAGGCGAGCTTTCGGTGCATCCTCAATATCGGTTCGATGATCTACCACCAAATAATCCTCAAAGTGCTGAATCTTGCACGCATCAATCAAGTCGTAAATGTTGAAGTTAGCAGTCCAACACCACAGGCGGTCAGGGGCGGTAATCCACCCGGCACGTCGCCGCCGGATTGGAGGAGCTCGGAGCGGACAAGTTGAGCTTTGGGAGAGGCGTCGGGGCGGTCCCTGCAACTTGGCACTGAACCACAAAGCGTCCAGTTACTTTTGTAGTTAGCCTTATTCCCTTTGTCTTTCGCGTATCACTGTTGCCACTCACGCATGTATTTAAGGGCGAAGCCTGCAGATGCGGATACCCAACTAATAGACAGTATCCGACATCTCAGTGGGGCGCATCAACAGTAAACCCATCAGCGCTATTGTGCAGAGGATATTCACGTGGTTATTGATTATTACAGAACTCGCCTTCTCTGATGACCAGCAGATATGATCCGTGACGACAAAGTCTGTCAGCGATGAATCGCATTTCCAGCTTGGCTCTTCAACAATTGCCGATTGAGATTGATCCCAACGAGTCGACGTCTTCCATCTACCATGCCATGCATCAAATTGCCACACGATCCAATCGGATGTGTGTGGATCCGATTGAGGTACGAGTATTTCCAAAGCATGAGAGTAGCGGGCGCTGTCGTGTCCATCAGTTGTCACGGATGGAAGCGGAGTGTGGCTTTACGTTTGTAATTCGAAAGGTAGTTTTCGCGCGTCCACATTAATTTCAACAACAATATTGCGGGGTCCACAAGCAACAATGACTAGGTTCGAGTCTGAGTCTGAGGCACAGAGCATCTGAACATTCCTACCAACTGCTGTCTGATTGTCTGATCCTTCAATTTGTGTTGGAACAACATTGACACCGTGTGGGGCCGACATTGCTCCAAGTTCAGAAACAGCGCACGCTGCCAAAGAACGAGGCAACCAGACAAGCGGTAAGTGGTTCCTGAGTTGCAGAAGCTACTGCCTCTTTAATGGCCATGTGTTGATAGTTCTTCCATTGCATGAATGTATGAATATCCGCTAAACTGCATAACAGCAAACGCGCATACCATCATGAATGGATTGTCCCTCCAGTCCATAGCTCGCCGCCTAAGACAACGGTACGGAAGGGTAAAAATCATTCAATCCCTCCTGGAACATGGACAGCCAAGGCATTCCACCGCCAGCCGGGTCGCCCCGACCTTTGGGGAAGTGTCTCTAGAACCAGACACGTTGCAATGTGCTTCGTAGTCAACATATTCCTGAAGTTCAGTAAGGCCATGAGCGCTTATCCATGCACTCGTTCAACTCTCTTTTTTAGGAGTCCTTTGGCAAGAATGAGCTGTGACATGAAATTGATCAGAACCAAGACCAAGTGAGACACGTCCACATCAGCTTCTTTCGCACTTCAATGCACCCTTCCAGAGTAAATTTATTGCTTGTTGATCTGGATGTGGGAGATGACTGTGGAATTATAAGCTACCACCGCGTCAATTTCTCCACAGCAAATCTCCACACCGTTGACTAAGAGTAAGAAATGCTGTCCAAGGCATTACTGGATTTAACAGTACCCCACAGGGAACTGACCATCTCCTATCGGTCAGCTTGAACTTGGAGACCACATTGAAAATGGCTCCGACGGGGGCGTGGGTGTCATATTTGCAACTATGCGTGCACGTCGGAGTTGCATGCGGAGGCACTATGAATGGAGGGGACTGTGGACCGTTGGGGGGCTGCTAGAAAGGGCATATGAATGACTCGGTACGAAGTCTCTACGGTTCAACGTGCTCGTTTAATTAGTGTTCAGCTGCAAAATGGACGCAAAATGGACATGGCCCTAGCGAATTGAAGACAAGGATAGCCCAGTTTTCATTCATATATTATTCGCTGGGATATGACAAAGTGTACCATGCTTGGAAGACAGATACGAAACAACGAGAACATGAAGTAGATATGTGTGTGCCGTCAAAGGGTATGTGTGCATAGCTCGTGAGAGCGCCCAAGGGCAGGGATCTCGGGATAAATACACGAAAATAATGGGATGCATTCGGTCTGGGGAGTCTCCGCTTACATGTGGTTGCTGCCAGTTTTCGAAGAGGATTCCGCCTTTCGGGGCGGACGTCGGGGGTCTATTTGGTTGGGGTTTTCATCTCATATGCGCCACTCGCGCTAAGGGAACTCGCTTACTGTTAAACCACCATCTTCCTCACCGAGAAGGTCTGCTAGTCATTGTCTCGAAGGAGTTCACTGTGCGCGGTGTATAGTCCGTCAGGATGTGGTCGCAGCTTGGGTCCTCGATTGGGGGAATCGTTTATAGTATTATGTAGCCGATCGTGCCAAGTTCGGATTTAAGTTTATTTCCGCTGCATATGACTTTATGTATTCAATGCAAACAATCGCAAATTTTGAAATTGCGTGTGGGCCATGACGAGTCTGCAAGTAGACGCGACATTCAGCAACCCCAGCCTCTCTTCCCGTTAAAGAGAGGCTGGTCACCTGCCTACGAAATCGCTCGATGCGGCACTCAGCGGGTCTCAGTCAAACAAATGCTCGTTCTCCCTCGCATAAGGATCATCATCCATGTCGCTGAAATTTGCTACGCCTCAGCCTTTTAGCCTGAGCTTCACGCTCCCTTCAGGCACCCGGCTTGCGTTGGGCTCGGCTGCCACTGGACTTGGGCTCGCGTTTCACACCCAGTGTGGCTTCTTTGACAGCTACCATGTCTTCTTGAACGGCGTAAATGGCTTCCTGGCATCTCAAACATTAAATGCCACCTTCAGGTGCTTGGGTGTCTCCTTTCCAGGACCGGTGCTGGCGATTCTCTCAAAGCTAGGACCTTTCGTTGCAAAATCACATCGTCCATCAGTCGAATTAGAGTTTTGTTCTTCATTTGACTTGTGCGCAAAAACAACTCCGTGGAGAACAATCAACCTAGCGTACTCAGGTGCTTCGTTGTCAAAGCTGATGTTTGATTCATATCCAGAATACCATGCACTCTTCCATTGAGCCGGCGATTCTGAACACATCGCTAAAATATGGGGTGTTATAGTAGGGAATCTGGGATCCGTCATGCATGGCTACGTGCTCAGAGCTTGAAAAAGAGGGATTGGACTTCAAATTCAATGTATCATTCAGCCTTTATATTATGTACGGTCACCACATGTACGCTACGCAGGTCTGGGCGTAGCAATGCACGCAGTCTAGTTCAGGTTTCTCATTTCTATGACGGCATGTGTGATCTTAATGTACAGTGCTGGCAGACTCGGAAGGAGAATGCCGAACTAAATTGAAGAGCCTACCCTGCGCCACTCTTTAACGCACACCGACAATATCACAGGGCGCCACCAGCAAGAACACCATCAAGAACAACAACAAGGACATCACAGCGTGATACTATTCTTGGGGGGAGGACTTCACTAGTAGCCACCCAGAGAGCACGCGTTATTTCACACGTTCTATCAAGACGCGCTCCCAACACGGTCATATCTCATTCCAATCATCTCACGTTTAACCCCTTCGTTTTTTGAACATGAATATGGGTACATCTTCCATCCAGCCAGGAACAACGCGTCGTGCTCACGAAGAATTGTCTGGGTTGACTGCAACACCGCTGTTCCCGCTGCTGTCAGCTGAGCCTGAACTACCGCGACCGCTCCGTGTCGAGGACGCGCTCTTCCTGTCCCTGAGAGCTCTAATCGCAAGTGATCAACTCCCTCTTCTGCCCATTGTACATGATAAGGACTTCCAAGCTCGGATCTTCACGAACGGGAAAAATCGACTTCTGGAGTGGAGAGGGGACACGGAGATCCACAGTTTTGCTACGCGACTTATCCTTCAGAATTTCAGCAATAAGTCTGACATCTCTATGTTTCACTTGTTGAGGAGTTCTTTGGAGTGTAACAAGACGTTGGGGCTGCTTTCACAGCGCTATGGTTTGCACCGATTGTACAAAGGTATAAGTGGAATAGACCTTTGCAAGGCGCCTGACGCCAAATGCCATGGTGAGAGATCAAATAATTTCCACTATTTGATCCACTTGCTAACACCTTCCATAGCAAATCTATTCGAAGCGTATATCGGTGCAATGAGTCTCATTTGTGGGGACTCCGCTTTCAGAAATTTCCTCAACGCTGTTTTCCTGCCCATTCTCACTTGTGCCGCCCAAACTCTCGGCATCTACTCCTACGTTCCTCGACCCTTGCCCATTAGCGATGGTCTTGATGATCTGGCAACAGAGATGTCCGGCGTAGAAGATGGATCTGGCGACAAACCCGAACGAGAGAAGCTCGCTTTTGAGACTGGATGCCACGAACTTGGGATTCTGCCGCATTTGCGCGTTAGGGACACTGGAGAGCAAACTTTGGATCGCCGATTCAGGGTAACCATTCATTGCAGAAAAGAATTGATTTCGGCTGGTTGTGGCCCAACTCAACATGCCGCACAGGCGAAAGCATACAGGAATGGAATAGCAACCTTGGCTCAGGTCAGCGGCTAATATTCATCGACTCGCCCTGTTTTGAAGTCTGATATACTTTCTTCAGTTGGAATCATTACTTCAGGTCCACCTTCCTACTGCGGGCCAGCTGGAAGAGGGGCTGGGCAAGCTCAACGGAGGGGCGCAGCTTCCTAGAAAGAAAAGGAAGCGCAATGTCGCGAACGCTGGAATGTCGGCTCGGAAGCGCTCTAAGAGGCAATAGGTAAGCCGAACTGCATTCCCTTGCCGGTGAGCTACTGACACCGTGGGTCTGTTTCCTATCCTGGGTTGGGCTGACACCGGATGTGGCAAGTTGGAATTTGGACTCTCATCCTCGTTGTTATGGCACACACAATCAACTTCATGTTCTCACCCTGTTTCATATTCGTTTTGAAGAATAAGAATGATACACTTTTCTTTCATAATGCCCCAGCGAAGGCGTGTGGGTGGAAACTAAGTGTAAGAGCCTAACCTTTTACCTGAATCTCGCAGCGCTACACAGTGATCTTTGGGATTCCCTCACATGCACTTGCCTCGTGGAGCCATGTCAGAATGAACTCTAGAATCCAATCACGATATAGAACAGGAGAAAGAGGATTCGAGATCCCGCTTTGTGGTGCCGACCATTGCATCCTTTCTGTCATCGGCAGTACCCACCGGCTGCGACGACGTTGGGTACGATGACTCAGGCGCACTCATATCTATGGATCACGCCGTGATGGTACATGGAGGCTCGTGCTCGGTTCGTAGATGCTCTGTGCACTGGACGTTGAATAAAGATTGTTACTGCACCCTGGCAGATTCGTACGGCGGTGATAACTCCGAGCCTTCAGGGACGACGTTGGCATAGACTCTGGAATCTGGTGCACTCGGCTGGTTGGAATCAGGATACCCGAGAAAGGCCTCATACATCGCCTTAAGACCTTGCCCTGAAACCCTGGGATGGCCAAAAGATCGCAAAGTGGTCGTAGTCCCTTGAGGCTCATCATCCTGATCGCGACCAGTGTCATCATGGGGCTGGGCCATCCGAGCTCTGACGACACGAACCACAGGGACTCGAGGTGAAGAAGTGGAGGGCTCAGACAGCTGCTGGCCGCTATACTGCGCAGAAACTACATGCCGAGAGGGACATTGCGACTTTCTTTTGCGAGTCCCGGACCCAAAAGTACTACTGTGTCATCGCAGCTATCCGAGTTTCTAAGAATTGAATGTACTTTGTACTTTTGTTACGATGTTCTCGTTCTCTGATATGTAGAACCTATGGTGTGCGTGCTTGCACCTGCACGTGTATGGTGGCATCCCGTCCTGGATGGGTGATGTGTGTCAGGAAATCATGGAAGGCAAGCCCTTTACTGTAACTCGAATGCAAGTTGCACGGATGGCCACTGTCGAGATCGTCAACGACGATTTGCATATATACATGATTTTACGGCAGGCAGCAGGTTGTTCCGCCGTCGGCTCTAACGATTAGCCGCAAGGAATCCATGGAAACCAACACCCGAGCGAAGTACACGTCATTAGAGAGCCCGTATTTTGTCGTGCATGTCATGAAGCGGTGCAACATGGCCCTGATGCGCTGCGTGAGTATAGTTGGCAGTTATAGCATTACCCGCAAGGTCAACTTGAATTCCAAGTCGTACTACCAGAAGCAGCCGCAAACTGAGCAGAAGCCGCTGGGAATGGGAAACTTCCCACTGCACTTCCGTAGTAAGCGAAGGTTGTTGTGCCAAAAACGGAGAAGTTGATCAATAGGCGGGTTCTAAGGAATTTCACCCAAGCGACCACGTCCTGAGCCAAATGTGCTGTATGCGGGCCCGCCGTCAAACTCGGAGGCAACTGGGCACGAGAATTCCTGGTTTCCCCCTGTAGCTTGCCAATGTGGCGACGCATGGAGCTTCCTGGGTATGGCTGGTTTGGGTCGGAAGAATTGGTGTGCGGTCCAATCGTAGCAAGGACACGGATAGTTTGACACACAGGGACGGTATAAGCAGGAGAGTCTGGGCTCACGGGGCTCTGAAAGGAGGAGGAGTGACAGAACGTTGGGGACTGGGCTAATTGAGTCCAATTCGAGCTGAGCTGCAATAGGGTACGATCTCCGTAAGGGGATTGCCAGACTAAATTGAAACCAGCTACAAGCACCAACCAGAACACCACAGCACTAACACTCGTACACTCTTGGGCCACAGTAGCCACTATCTCTATAAGGCATGTACTAGAGGCTGGGATCTTAGGATGTGCTGGCACTTAATGCGTTTTGAACGCGCCCTGGAACACGCTCCCATCGCGTCTCGCATGCAGCTTCCTTCTAATGCCTCAACAATCGATAACAAAACTGTTCCCTCTATTGCCAGCTCAACCTGTGCTATCGCAGCCACTTCGTGCCCGTGACGCAGTTCACTTGTCTCTAAGAGCTCTAATTGGAAGCCATCAACTCCCCGCTCTGCCACCCATACACGATGACGACTTGTATGCTCAGGTCGTTACAGCAAAAGAAAGTGGACGTCTAGTGTGGAGAGGAAATATGGAAATTCATTGCTATACAGGGAAACTTATACTTCACAATTTCCCGAATGAGGATATATCGCTGTGCGACCAATTAAGGGGGTTTCTCCACAGTAAAAGAACACTGGGTATGCTATCTCAACGCTACGGCCTCTACCGTGTCAGCGGAATGGACCTCAGTAATAAGTCGGATGACATGTATCATGGTGAGCGATACGATAATTTTTTTAGCCTCTCGCTAACAACTTCCCTCAGCTAATCTTTTTAAAGCATATGTTGGTGGAATGAGACTTGCCCTCGGAGATCACATTTTTCAGCAATTCCTCAATGATCTTTTTCTGGCGCTCTTATCTTGTGCTGTTCAAACTCTTGGTGTCCTTCCCCGAGCTGATCTTTGCACTTTGCCTATCAACGCCGGTCGCAACTTTCCGGGAACTTCATCTGGCAACAAAGGAGATTCCGGTGAAGAGAAGGTGTCTTCTTTCAAGAATGAATGTACAAAACTAGGCTTCCTACCAGAGTGGTGCTTCAGGGACTCCGGGGAGCGGATTACTTCAGATTACCGTTTCAGAGTGACAACTTACTATGGGAAACATCTGATTTCCATTGGTTATGGCCCAACTAGATATGCTGCAATGGTGATGGCGTGTAGAGATGGAATCGAGACCTTATTGCAGGTCAGTGGCAGTGGCTAATTTTCATTGGCTTGTCCTGAATTCTGACGTCCTTTCTCATCCAGTTGGCATCTTTACTCCACGTTAGCCAGCCTACCCCTAGCCAGCTGAAAGAGGGGTTGGAGGAGCTCAATGGGGCACCGCAGCTTCCCGGAAAAAAAAGGAAAAGTGACATGATGATGCCTGCTGGGATACTACAGCCAAAGAAGCGCTCGAAGAAACAATAGGTAATCATACTATACTCCCTTGCCGGTAAGCTACTAACGCTGTGGGCCCACTTTCTGTGCTAGGCCGATACTACTAGCTAGATGCAGCGAGATAGAATTCCGATTCATAACCCTTTCTTATAATGGCACACACATATCTACTCTATTGTTCTGTAATTGTCTTCTAAGCATGGAGCACTTTGTCACATCCCAGCGAAATGAAAACTGGGCTATTCTTGTCTTCAATTCGCTAGGGCCATGTCCATTTTGCAGCTGAACACTTCTGGGAACTCAAGGCGGTGGGCACCTTTCCGTGGACGTTCCACTGGACTGTTTCAAAGTCGTGGACCCAATCAAACAAGCGCATTGAACCGTAGAGACTTCGTGCCAAGTCCACCAACCCCCAAACGGTGTCGCCATTCATGGTCCCAACGCAACCCTCCGCATGCAGCTGCGATGTGCATGTATGGTTGCAAATGTGACACCCTTCAACCCGTCGGAGCATTTTTCGATGTGGTCTCCAAGTTCAAGAAATAGTCAGTTCCCTGTGAGGCACTGTAATAAATCCAGAAATGCCTTGGACAACATTCCTTACTCCTAGTCAACGGTATGGAGATCTGCTGTAGAGAACGTTGCCTATGTAATGTGTACGCGACCCAGTAAAATTAATGGTGGCAGCTTATAATTCCACAGTCACCCGGACCTACTGAGACCAACAAGCAATAGATTGACTGTGGATAGTGCATTAAAGTGCGAAAGAAGTTGTTGTGGACGTGTCTCACTCGGTGTTGGTTTCGATTAATTTTATGTGACAGCTCATTCTTGCTAAAGGACTTCTAGAAAACAAGAGTTGAACGAGCGCATGGATAAGCGCTCATGGTCTTACTGAACTTCAGGAATATGTTGACTACGAAGCACATTGCAACGTGTCTGGTTCTAGAGACACTTCCCCAAAGGTCGGGGCGACCCGGCTGGCGGTGGAATGCCTTGGCTGTCCATGTTCCAGGAGGGATCGAATGATTTTTACCCTTCCGTACCGTTGTCTTAGGCGGCGAGCTATGGACTGGAGGGACAATCCATTCATGATGGTATGCGCGTTTGCTGTTATGCAGTTTAGCGGATATTCATACATTCATGCAATGGAAGAACTATCAACACATGGCCATTAAAGAAGCGGTGGCTTCTGCAACTTAGGAACCACTTACCACTTGTCTGGTTGCCTCGTTCTTTGGCGGCCCACTGGGGAATATGCTGTTTCTGAACTTGGAGCAATGTCGGCCCCACACGGTGTCAATGTTGTTCCAACATGAATCGAAGAATCAGACAACTTCAACAGAGCTTAATTTTGGTACATCCTCGATATCGGTTCGATGATCTACCACCAAATAATCCTCAAGATCCTGAATCTTGTACGCATCAATCGAGTCATAAACCCATGCGCATTGCCCTATCGTGTGGAGGTGTAGTTCTTGATTATCACAGGACTCGTCTTCTGTGATCACCAGCGGATGTTATCCACTACTTTTCTACTATGGCGCTGAGGAAATAGATGACAGACAAGAGGGCGAATGACTATAAGGAAAATCTGATCGTGGGTATCTAAACATTGTATTTGAGTCGGGTAGCACGTCTATATACTAATGGAGGCTGGTAACCGACCTAGCTAGGTAGCATGCGCGAATCGGGGGAATAAGCGTGTCTCAAAAAGGTGTATCGTATCGATCAATCACCGGAACTACTTACGAGGGCCTGATTTAACGCTGCGTTCAGCCATATCGAAAAACAGGGAAATGGATGAACCCCGGATCGAGCGCAAATTTGAACTGCAGTCGCCCAAATCATAAAATTCATCCTACAAGAGTGCAACTACCCCTACCGACTCAGACTGTTGGGCTACCGATGAGATTCGGGGGTGGGAGAAAGCCGAGCCCTAAGTGTCATTTATGAATAATGTATGTAGGCATTCGTATTTTGCTTTACAGTAATTTTGTTTCGCAATTTAGTCTCTACTCTACGTTTCCTTCACAGCATTGCGCGGGTCCACAAGCAACGATGACTGGGTTCGAGTCTGAGGCACAGAGCATCTAAACATTCTTACCAACTGTTGTCTGGTTGTCTGATTCTTCGATTCATGTTGGAACAACATTGACACCGTGTGGGGCCGACATTGCTCCAAGTTCAGAAACAGCATATTCCCCAGTGGGCCGCCAAAGAACGAGGCAACCAGACAAGTGGTAAGTGGTTCCTAAGTTGCAGAAGCCACCGCTTCTTTAATGGCCATGTGTTGATAGTTCTTCCATTGCATGAATGTATGAATATCCGCTAAACTGCATAACAGCAAACGCGCATACCATCATGAATGGATTGTCCCTCCAGTCCATAGCTCGCCGCCTAAGACAACGGTACGGAAGGGTAAAAATCATTCGATCCCTCCTGGAACATGGACAGCCAAGGCATTCCACCGCCAGCCGGGTCGCCCCGACCTTTGGGGAAGTGTCTCTAGAACCAGACACGTTGCAATGTGCTTCGTAGTCAACATATTCCTGAAGTTCAGTAAGACCATGAGCGCTTATCCATGCGCTCGTTCAACTCTTGTTTTCTAGAAGTCCTTTAGCAAGAATGAGCTGTCACATAAAATTAATCGAAACCAACACCGAGTGAGACACGTCCACAACAACTTCTTTCGCACTTTAATGCACTATCCACAGTCAATTTGTTGCTTGTTGGTCTCAGTAGGTCCGGATGCGAGAGGTGACTGGGGAGTTATGCGCTATCCAATGCAATGGCTCCTTACAGATAGATCTCGAGGCTGACTCCGAGGACCAACGATTCAACACGTGTATCAGGGCCTGCACCACTTCATGACAAGAATATACAGGATCTCTGAAGACGCATGCTTCGCTCGGGTAACGATTTGCATGAGTTCCTTGTTGAAAAACGAGGTTACGCCAGCGAGGGGAGATTATGGAAGTAGACCGCTAAGTCTATTAACTTGATGTAAACAACTGTAAATACATGATTCGAGCTTGACTTCCAACATTCCTTATGGCCAATCCTTAGAGCCAGCGGTAGACATCCTGCTGCCTGCTGGAAAATCACGGAAGGGTTGCAAAAGAAGTACTGAATATGTAATTTTTACATGATAACTATCTTACTATCGACTTAAGGGTACCCACTGCCGGCTGATTATATACGGCAGGTTCAGGAGAAGCCAAGGGGAACACCATTCACGCAATGTCATCAAAACTGATTTCGGAGATCAGATCCAGGGGGCGGTTGTCAGGTTCCCTGACCCGAGCTGAAGGATCTGGAAGATTCCGTGGGGGCCATTTATCAAAGCATGCCGCTGTCGAAATGAACAGCCAAAATATTGGGAGCATTTGGAGTTGTCGTAGGTATTGACGCAGCACCATGAATAGATCCCGGCGTTGCTCTGGTAGGTTATCAGTGAGGACATGAGCCTCATCGAGAGCGAGGATGACCAGAGGCCGTCGTGGACCTTGGTGCGATTCCAAAACCTTGTGTTCATCGATGAAGCGACAGAGCCTTTCGCCTGCCTCTACCAGGTTCCAGCTTTCGCAACCATACTGTCCATGTTCAGGCATATTTTCATGATCTACTTGTCCGCTGTTTTCCACAAACTCGAGGAAATCGTCATTGTCACAAACGTAGAGAAGGACAGGAAATTCACCTTGTGGTAGAAAATCTCTCGATTGGAATTCGAGGTGTAATATGATTGACCTGCGGTCATATGCTCGCGGAAGGCGGATGCCAGCCTCTTTTGGAGCTCTATGACCAATGGCACATAGTCTTCCGGCTTTTCCTTGCACAATTTTCTAGCAGACTCCTCATCGTGACGGGGTAACTCAGGTATATCTGTAACATCATTGACGAGTAATTTGGGGAGCAGTTGGAAGATAATCACCTTGTTTCTCTGAGATAATCTTCAGTTCCCTGAGCGTTACCACTAAGAGGGAGTACGCGAATCCACATAGCCTGTTGTGAACAGTCTGCCAATCGGTCGTCTCAGAAAAGAGAAGCCAATTACGCAGAGTCCTATCAGGGAACCCTATGGAGGGTTCGGATTGTAACTATGCCATATGTATAAAGAAAAGGCACAACGGAAAACCTTGGCTGTCCCACAAACGTAGGTACATGGGCACTGTTATGATTTCCTTGCCAAGTTGATCCACCATGCGAGATTTGCCGGTTCCAGATGAATTCACGAGGCCGGTTAGCCTGGCATAGGGAGATCTTTCCAGGGAAAGGAAATCCGCGATAGTCTCAAGAAGCACACCCGCGGGGTTGCCTTTGAATGCACTGTCCCATGCGAGTGTGGTAGCTGTTAACAGAGGAAATCGGTAAAAAGTGGAGAAGCTTCGAATTCACTGCGTGCCAAGAACTGTGGTCGAATCGGTTGCTTCTGGATCAGGTTTGAGAAACGCCTCTAGAGACAGAATATGACGATGAGAGTGCTTGGCGTTAAAAGGCAGAAGGCAATATAGCATTGTTGAATAATTTGCTCCAGGGCACCTGATTGTTTGCCATATCGTCCCTAAGCCGTTCCTTTATTTTTAAATCCCCGGCACTGTTGAGAGCACCGTAGACGGCGATCCAGGGATAATGCAGGCTCCGCACATCATTACCGGATCGAAAGAACTGTCCAAGAGACACACAAGCACGACCAATAGCGTTCTCTAAGATTATCTTTGCCATATGGTACTCGGGGGGGTGCAGATGAATATTTGTTGAAGGTTCAGGTCAGAGGATCTACTAGCCTCGGATATCGCTGTTCAAGCTCTATCTTCCTGCCTAATTCCAAGCAATGCGAAGCACAGTGTGCTACCACGCGAAGAGAGTGGCGAAGGGACAGCCCCGATGACCTGAGATTCCAAAGCGACCTGGTACAAATATGTTCACAAATGAAACGCAATGAGAACGGCAGTGAGTAACGCTGAACGAAAATACCAGAGAAAGATTACAACCAACAGGAACCTGCCGAAGAATGAAGAGGAAGCCTTGGCATGAGATCCAGCTTACGTAACCGATGTTACAACAAACCTCCACCCTGCTACAAAACTAAAAGAGAAAAAGCACACACAGAGAATGGAACTGCATAAGTGGTAGTCAAAGAAATGCACGGCAGCTAGGATCATGTCAAAAAATGGGTGTGACAAGCGATACATCGAAGCGCAAATGGACGCATAGGCTTATCCCACAACTCATGCATTCTTTTATATGGTAACATTCCCTTCAATTGTTAGGCTTGCTTCTCGATCCATTTCTGATGTAAATCGACCAATTTCTCAATGATAAGCTCCTCTATCTCAGAAACTGTTGCAGAATGCGAAGCTTCAGCCCCAGGTTTCTTGAGTCGTATCCATTCTTCACTGAACGTCCTTTCCCCCGATGGCGATTGCTCTCCAGATGACACAAAAACAACTTCGTACTTGCGCGTGTGAAGCATATTTCCGATAACCACTTGGTGCCCATAGCGTTCGAGAGACTGCTGTGCCTTCGGTATCAACAGCGAGCCATCAGTTTCAAGCTAGGGAATGATTTTTAATCCGAGTTGAATGTGAATCATCGGATTTTAAGCAGTGGCGTACCTTGAAGGACACAATAAAACCATGGGGTGTCCAATCTTCCCGCAATGGCTTCAGAATCTTGGGCACCTGGTCCATCTCAATTAACAAGCTGCCCTTTCGTGACTGAATCTTATGCTCCGACTGGGCAAGTTCGATCTCAGGATGAGTGACCAAAATCGTCCACCTCAACAAAACCCAAACTGACCATTTTCTCTCGTGGTAGATAAAAGTCGCTGACGGCTGCTGCGAGATAAAACAAGGCATTCCTCTTCATGACCGCCAGCTCCTCGCTCATCGCCCTTAGCAAGAATAGGTACTCATTGACCGTTACGAACGTCAGAGTATGCAACATGCCTCTGCTAAGCGCATCCTTTCGTGCACGCAAGACTTGAATAAGGAATTCTCTTCCTTCCGGCCTGACTAACACCTCTGGCGAGGACGAGAAAGAAGGCGAAGAAGATTCGCTAACATCTAAGAAGTCAAGGAAGGGGTTGGTGCTGTGGGAATAGTGACGGCTAAACGGCTGCAATGAGAATTGCCGGTGCATGAAAATGACCGCATATCCAGCCCGAAGGAAATACTCTGCCGATGTTGCGCCTCTCGTCCCTGAAACAGAACATACACATCTCAAAAGAGGAAATTATAGAACGGCTCCGTCACTGACCCGCACTAAAATTATCGAGAAACCGCACACTTTCGATGCCATTATTAACATATTTGACTCAGATGGGCGAAGTGATGCAACGAACGCTCACACATTAAGCTCGAGTGGTACTGTAGTCCCACCACTCTAAAGTAGCACATCCCAATCGGCCTCATTCAGCATTGTCGTTGTTGCTACAGCATAAACGATCGAACCGTGATGAGAACTACTTTCCGATCTTCAGCCATATGCCGATGGATGAACTCCCGGGTGCTCTCCACATCATTGAAAAGAGTGCTGGGTTTCGGTTGAGATTGAAAATACTCTTCAGCAGAAAACTCTTTCGACATTGAGACGGGGAAAAACCGAAAAGGAAACGCCGCAAGCGGCAATCCCCGACAGGGTTGAGATTGCAACACGCACAAAGTTTTCGATCTTCTAAAGACCCTCTGATCCGCTCTGAGAGTTATGCTCTTCTGGCGCGTAGCACTCATGTTCGGCAGGATTTTCGTAGGTGGTGTCAGTGTGCTCCGTAATTTGAAATCATCTTCTGACCGACACCGAACAGTGGCCCCCGACTATAGTACATTGAGATCAACCCTGGAGACGTCGGGCAATTGAAGATGCGGAAATTGTTAAGCAGCGACGTGATCGGGCCCTTGTAGCTTCAACTAAATTACCGCCAATTTGCTCAGTCGAAGCACTTCGATGTGTCCACGTTTACCTTGGCATGACACTGTCGACGACAATCGCTGCAGTCAGGGATTTTATCTTCAGCTCGCGGAACTCATCCCAAACCATCGGTTGCTGGCGTGCGCTATCGTTAAATCTTGTTCATGGACGAAGTTATGTTGTCTTTTGTCGACAGCATCACGATTGACCTTGTTGGGCCTACCACCAGAAGGTAGGCTTGTATATCCACTTGATGGCTAATAAAAATAATTTGTCATCTCGATTCTGAGAATTCGGGTTGTGCGTGCGTGTTAGTCGTCTTGACCGACGCCTGCCATTAACATGTGTTCTGACAATAGCGTATAGACAAAGCCATTGATCAGTCAACCCGAGATGCCATTGACTAATGACAAGGCGTGTTGGGCTCAAATGGCTTCAGACATGATTAACACAAGTCTTCAAGGTCATGGTGTTGGAGCGGAATCCAATGGCTCAACGTGAGATTCTTGATGAGATGAATAACCTAATTTGGCACTTTTCCCCATTTCTCTGCCATAGGTGAATCCGGGATTCTAACTCGGCATTCCATGCCTTCTGCATCTCAGCAGAGTCAAAAGACTTTGCAAGGTTCGAGTTGCAGTCGGTGAACAAATGTCCACCAGATGAAGAGAGGTTTGCAGCTGTGACTCAATGGTAATTGTGTCAGTTGGAATAAAGGATTCTGTGTTCTTTTGCTTGCAATGTTTGTTCTCATGCCATGTAACGCAATACACACGAACATTGCTACGGCTCAAAACTTCATAAGGGCGTCCAGTAAAAGGGCCTGAGCCCTCTGCTGCAGCCGCCGGAAACGCTATCGTGACGATCTCCACCCGAGCCCCGGAAGCAAATCTGACAATCTCCCCTCTTCGTTCAAGTTCACCACCCTCTCTTCCAACAACTCGCGATGAGTAAGGCCGAATCTGTTACCCCTCCGCCCGATAACAGCAACCCAGCCTCCCCATCCCCTACTGAGCCTCAAAACAATGGCCATGGGATTTACTCCAAGAGCAGAAACGCCCGTGCTCAAGCGCGTCATCGCGCAAAGAGAAAGGCTTACATTGAACAGGTGATATATCCCCCCCCTCTAAAACTGGGCGCCCTGTTTCGCTAATGGCGTAAAAACTTTGCAATCTTCTAGTTAGAAGAGTCAGTTACCATGCTGCAATCAACTTTAGCTGCCCAGGAATGCAGTGCGGCGGGACTATCAACTTACCGCATGGTTGAGCTCGAGAAAGAGAATGCTGCCCTCCGTCAGGAGATTCTTCATCTCCGTAATCAGATAGCCGACCTCACTCGAGTTACCCCTCAGTCTCACCAGCAAGGATCACAACATTTTCCAAATGATGACTCAACTTCTTTGCACGATTCGAAAAGGAGGAAGCGATCTATTGAAGAATACTTGGCGAGTGCCTCGGTTTCCTAATTTCTTCCCTCCGTTCATCCAATATGGGCCCGTTTGGTACCAGTCAGTGCGTTGGAGGAGACCACTTCCCCCCCCCTCCCCCGCCCTACTTCTCCCACTTTTACTAACCTTCCTCGCATCGAAGAGCTTCCGATCCTAGTTTAATGTTTTTTTAAACAGGGGGCTGACCCGTCTGTGACCCTCAGTGGACGCGATGGGAACATCATCAATCCTGGTGGTTTCCGCGATGATGCTCGCTCTGGTCATTCCATCACTTCTCCGATGTGCTCCCCAGGGCCTCGGCCTCAGCTGCAACTATGTGTGCCTCAAGGCGGCTACTCCCCGGAGGGATCATACACACCCAACAGTGTAAGCTCATTGATTAATCGGATTGGTTCCCGATTTATTCTTGCATGCGAATAATCCATCTGTTATCAAGGGCCATCATTTCTCTGGAACGAACACTATGGCTTATACATCTTACCACGCACAGAAATCCCTGGACCCTTCTGTCAATGTGCGTACCAGGTCGTACTCATGTCCCACCACAGACTAATCCATCCCCTCGTAACAGTCGTACCAAAACGTGACTTCACCACCTGCGTATGATTATCGACAACCGTCCTCTTCCGCATCGTCGGCGCCTTACTCCTTATTACCTTCCCCTATTTCTGCCAACAGTCAGGGCAACAGCCCGGATCTTTGGTCAAATGCGTGTACGACGTCGGGCGGTATAGGTTCTGGGCATCAGTATCAACTAGCTCCAATACCCACACTCAATAACCCACTTCATTACTCGACATCGCCTCCTTCAGGGCACTGGAGCACTCGTTCTCACGTTCGTTCTCCTTACATCGCCAATGCGTCCTGAATTTGTGTCACTGAATAGGTTCCTTGAATTCGTTGTTAAATTATGTGGGACAAAGATTGATGAGTGTTAGATAGCATGTTATCTGGAAGTTTGTTCGCCGCTCCCTGCTCTCTTTTCGTCTTCCGCCACCTTCCTAACCCCCCCAAAACCAAAACAGCGTTCTCATGTCTAAACCAGGCGCGTCCCCCCCTTCTCATCTGGTATATTTATCTTTATGGGATACCCACATAAATGCCGGCCCCCTGTATCTTGTGGTTTTCTATATTTGTTGGTCGCCTCTGCGTACGTGCAGTTTGCTTTTATATGATTGAATCCGGAGCGGCGTCTCGATGTCAAACCTTCCTGTTTTGTACAATTAACGTGCAGCCCCTCAGGGCATTAATAAATATATATTCCCATATGATTATTTAATTAACGTGCCTTGCCGACGCCATCCCTAACGACCAGGCTATCGGGTTCCAGATGGGCCGGGGACGAACAGATGTCAATCCCCTTTCTCCTACCTGCAAGTCACAGGCCAGGCTTCTACTGATTTGGTGGCGGAGCGAACCGTATCCTCGCGCGATGCACCAGGAAAGCGTGGCTGTTTTGTAGAAAGCTTGTTACACAACAATAACTGTCCCTGCTCTTTTCACCTTTGGATTGAAATTTTGGTGAGGGGGGGGGTGTTGGTGACGACTTGTACACGTTTGTTCCTTAGTACCTCATTTACCATCACATACATCATAGTCTTGATCCCACACGTCTATCCTTGTTTGTGAAGGCATAACATATTGTATTACTAAGCTGATTTCGCCTCAATCCCCAGGCTCCCGAATAGTGGTACTTACACTTTAGTAGAGGCTGGGATCCTGCCTAGGTACTTACCACGATCCAGTTACAGTGGAGCCTCGTTATCATTCTTCTGAAGCCATGCAGACCAGGATGCCGAGGGGATTCCATGGAGAGAATGAAGAGGTAGAAAGATAAGAGAGTTCGGAAAGGGATTAAAATGAAGAAGTGATGTGGATCACGCGGCATAAGTGGAGGAAATTACATGGTGATGGAGGACCTTGTGGTATGGGGAATCGGGACCTAGCCATCAACAAATTCAATCAGGTCGAGTAGCGGGAATTTTAATTGATTTTTGCATTTGTTGCTTGGGAAGCCCACTGTTACAGTGTAGTTCAAAAGTCAAATGCCTGGTCGAGATCCTTATGCAAATGCTCGCGCATGCCAGGAGGCATTAGTGGCTCCCCATTGATCTTAATATACCCTACGCGACACACGGATTTAAAATAGTATGAAACGATGCGCCGAGAAAGCGGAATGGGGGAGGAAAAACTCATGATGTCAGTAAAACTTGTCTCGTGATGGGGTGAATTCTGTGATCCACTCACGGAAGGGCATTTCGACGCTTTCTTTTGCATTGAAGTAGATAGTTGGATGGTCCTAAATGAGGGAATAGGAAAGGATTTAAGCGAGAATCCAGAACCGAACAGGGGAGTGGAAAGAAATCGGCCGGAAAAAGCAGAGTGGCAAATCCCCTGATTATCATCGGTCTTACGATGGAGCGACCAAAGGGTGCCAACCCCCCAACCAAATGGCCGCTTCTCCCAAGTTCTGTCTCACTTACTAAAAATTCAATTTCTCGCATGAGTCCTGAGTAAGTGCGCATTGAGTTGTTTGTTTTCGGTGAGCGGTCATTGAATCGGTTAAACCACCGGTTAGGATCAGTAGTTCTCAACGATGTGGCCGCATGCCTCAGTGAAATTAGCACTTACTTTTATCAACCACAATCATTTTTGTGACGCCGAGAGCAGTATCGGTGGTCATTTGCAGGCTACCGAGGTGACGGGAGGGAAAACCAAGTACTCGTAGCTCAGAAGTTCGATCTCGAGGGGGGTCATCACCTTCAAAATAAATGTCATTACGGTGAAGGAAGCGAACAACGAACAGATGCAATTTGCGATTTGCAATATGCTAATCGTGACATAGGACAAACGTTGAAAGGCGCCAATAACGTACCTAATATTCCCTACCAGGAGTGAACAACTGGGTTAGAAACGACGTCACCAAGAATCAAACTACTCTTACCCCAAATAAGAAATAATCGAAGGCACCTCCGTCTTCAGGAGAAAGCTCTTGTGTCGCTTTGGGATCCAAGAGACACACACGCTCGATGGGAATGTCCCTCTGTCTCATGAGATCTAAGATGCTAGTTGTGGTGGCTTCAAGGGAAGTCACTTCATTCGCAGTCCCCCCTGGTGCAATACTACCCGGAACGGCCCCCAAAGACTCTCGGAGAAAACAGCTAGAGTTTGTGGACAGATTCGTAAAGTATACGGTGGAGCCCGCGCCCGCAAGTGTCAGGATATGCTATCGGATCGCGTGAATACCTAGCTTGGTAAATGTCCTATTTGTAGGCAAGCGATGTGCTGCAAAGAACATACGCGATATTCGAGAGCCACCCATGGGGGAAGAGATTTTGTCTCCTCATCGTCATCCTCCATGTGTTCTAAAACCATGATCTGAGCGCTATCCAAACCATCCCTTTCTGGCACTTCCTAACCGATTACGAAGGAAATGGCCATCGCGAGCCAATGAGGTGACGTCCGAGCGTGAGGGTTCTTGAGTCAAGTGATCAAGTACACAGCCACCTTATGACTGGCCATGTGCAAAGCAACGGCCGCCGTGGTCCAAATCACATCTACACCTTCTGTGGCGAGGAATGTCCAAACTGTCACCAGGTTACTCACGCAAGCGGCCAGTCGGGGTGCGGGGATGGTTTTCCTCCCAGAAGCTGCAGATTTGTAATTCTCTTTCCACTTGCGTTTCTCGTTTAATCACTAGAAACTTTTTAGCATGTCGCCTGCTTCTTCGGTCTTTGAGCTGAGCCAGCCACTAGAGAGGCACTCATTTCTGAATGCAATCCGTGAATCGGCTCGGAGTTTGGGACTTTTTGTCAATGTCGGAATACATGAGCGTCCACCATCATCGGTCTCAATGGAGAAGGGTTATAACACCAACGTAGTTATCGCGAAGGATGGTTCCATAATTTCGAAGTATAGGAAGGTATCAAATATGATATTTTCGTTATGTAACTGGCAGCGATGATTATCGTGCCCTTTGTAGGTCCACCTCTTCGACGTAGATCTATCGCCGACAGGGCCTAAGATCCTGGAGAGCGCAACCACGATCCCTGGCACGGAAATCGTGGCCCCTGTTTCAACGCCGATCGGCAAACTCGGAGTATGCCATGTCTGCTCATCCCAGATGAAATACCCCCTTTTACTTGCTTCCTCAAAAGTTACAAACCTGTTATGACATTCGATTTGCCGAGCCATCAAACTCGCTTACGCGGCAAGGCGCGGAATTGTTAGCGTATCCATCAGCCTTCGCCCCACATACGGGGGCTGCGCACTGGGAGACGCTGCTGAAAGCTAGAGCAATTGAGAACCAGTGTTATGTCCTCGGAAGTGCTCAGAGGTAAGTAATTGGCCTCGGGGGCTGGATCAGATGCTTATTAGTGTTTTCCTTAAGTGGCGAACACTTCCCAAGTCGGAGCTCTTACGGCCGAGCAATGATAGTCGATCCTTGGGGGACAATCGTAGCGTATGTTCAAACTCCGAGGATACCAATCATTGCAACAAATGCATGGACCTGATTTTTCTTTCACAGGCAATGCCCACAGATCGCTACCGAGAAAGGGAAAATATGCTTTGCGGAGATAGACTTGGGCTACCTGAACAAAGTCCGGAGAGAAATGCCGATGGGATGGGCGCTGAAATGATCCAGCCGCCATGTGGAAATCTCTCTAATGCAACACCCATGAACATTGATTCCATATGTCTGATCTCCCCAACCAAATGTCCCCGAACACATAAATGGGAATCAGGCGGAAACCTGCTTCTCGTGAATAAGAACGAGAACGCGGAGGATGCATTTACAGCGACGGAGCCGGTCGTGACCCACACGCGCACGGCCATCAAGCCACGCGCACTCATGATATCGAATTTTAGCGCTCCTGCGTGGTGCGGAGCCGGACCGACCGAAAGATATATGCTGGCTTCCCACACATACATGCACCGTCGCGTCAACACAGCGGACCGGCTGGTTGTTCATCCAAATACAAATTGCGCACCCACCTGGTGCGATGTAGTCGCGAGCGCCGAAGGAGAATCACCTCGTTTTGAAGCTCGGATAATTACCATGCAAGGGCCCAAAAATTCATCCAACATCGGACATGTGAGTATCGGACATAACCAGTTGCCCCTCCCAGGATATTGCGTGGACAAAACACGAATACGAGACGGCAAACGAAGGCCAACGGGGGATATCAATCTCGGAAATGTACAGAATATCACCGATGTTATTTTAAAAAATTCGTCGTAAATACAACTTCCTGGAGCTTTTCCAACGATCGATCAGCCATCGTATGACAAGGATAGTGTAGGGTTTCTCCTTGCTACTTGTTGAACAGAGCCCTGAGGACAACGTATGAATCCAAACGCCGACGCATCAGAAAGTTCACCCGATGCACTGACAGTCAGCCCATCCCCCTCCAGCACGAAGCAAGATCACAAGACTCCAAGATGGTGAGCAACCCTCGCGAGCCACTCTCTTAACCAAGTGCCCTCGATACCGATCTAACTCAGGGCCACATGCTTTTGCTAGGCAAGGGAAACAGTTGCAAGCATTTGTGGTTGCCACGACTGATGCTCTGCCTGAGACACTGGAGAACAGCCAACCTCTTATGACCACTATTGCTGTGGCTCTCATCATACACTCGCCCTCTTGCGACGTTGTCGAAACTCGCACCTAAGAATGGAGTCAGCCTGATCCTATATAGAAACCTTTCATCGTTGTACAAATAAGAAATGAACAAACCAGGCTACTTTTGTTATGAGGGTTCCCCTCAATCTGGATGGCCGAGCTTAGAGTGCTTTCCGAGTCTATTGCCCATTTCCCACGGGGTGGCCAATGCACGGTAAAAGAAAAATAATGAAACAAAAGTCGGCCAATAACTTACTGCGCGTTTAGACATTCTCCGAGGATGGTCCCGCCTCGTGTCCTTGCGCCTTTGCGACGTTCGTGTCGTCCGACTGCAATTGGATCATAGACAAGTCGCTTAGGTCTATTAATGCACTCGGTAGCGACGGGGAACTCAGTTGTCGGTGCTGTCAGGTATGTAGGAGGGGTCGGCGTTGTTCATCAATTTTCCCGGCTCCTGGTTCGTATTCTGCGGGTTACCAAATGGGTATGGCGCCTGGCTCGTCGCGCTGAACGCCGCTTCGTTCCTGGTGACGTGTTGAGGCCTGGGCTCCGAGTGGCTGACTCTGCCACGGCCGCGGCCGCCTCGGCGAATATAAGATGCTCCCCGGCGAGGTGGTTCTCATCGCGACCGAAACGCAAAGACGGGGTTGGGATGGGAGGACGCGTAAAGCGATTACCTGCTCCGATTACTGCGCCTCGAAGAAAGGCGAGTGTAGAGGGTGGCTCTCGATCGCGCGAAGTATAACGTCCGAAAGGTTGTTGAGCTGCACCCAATCTTGCCAAAAGGCAGCTTCAGGGCCTGGGTCGGTGTTGCCTGACTCGATCAAAGCTAGGTGACGACACGCGGCAGCGTAGTCTTTTGCTGACATGCAAGGTTCAAGATAGTCCTTGGCATGGCAGCACCGGAGAAATGGAGGGCTTTCACCACTTGAACTGGATTTCCCGGATCTAGGTTGGCCCCTGATGTGGACAGAATGCACAATGAAGCAAAGAAACCTCGGTATAAGGTTTCTTCGATATCAGGTAGCACCTGAAAAGTACATAGCGAGTGTAGTAGCGGCACGAAGTGATTAGGGAGGTAGCAAAGACCCCAATCAGCTAGCCAAACTAACAAGACACCCTGAGTGTTCCGACTCCAGGAGCTGGCATGGTGGGGCCGAAAGGCAGTATCAACCCTACTGATTCGGGGCAAAGTGCTGAGTATTTAGCATGTTTGGATGATGTACGCTTTGGTCAACACCAGAATAGAGAAGTACGCCAATGAATCCCATGTTCTGTCCCGCCTCCGAGACTACCTATCCCACTTGGTTTTACAACAAAGAACTTGGACAAGTCGAAGCTGGCTGCTCCGAACTCGTACGAGCACATGGTTATCTCTGATGCAATGGTCCATCCAGAGGATCTTGGCAGCCAGAAGAAGTGGAGGGGACACTGAAGGCAACTAGCTCGGAAACTGAGGCCATCTGTGATCTCAAAGCAGAACTCAGGACACATTGAGCAGGATGAGCATATGCTAGCCAGATTGAAATGGATGATTGATGGCCTAGTTACGAAAATAGCTGGGGGCGAGCTTGAAAGGTCAAGCCGTGAACAAGTTGGATTGCATCGCGAGTGATGGAACAAACATGAGTAAATAAACAAAAACATATAAACATGCAGGCGAGCCTGAAGATACGCTCGAATCTGTCGAGGATTTTACAATATTCGCGCTCAGGGACAAATGTCTTTTCACCAACACGTACAATGCAGAAAGCATCCGAGCTTGGATATTCCTGCCGCCAAGCGACGAGCCATTTCTAATCTCGGATTTAATATCACAAAAGTGTCATATTCACGCTCGGATATTTTGCCTTTAAGGGGCTGTCAGCAATCCTCATTCTCAAGATTCACTACCTTTACGCAGGCAGATTACCGGTTCTGCCGCACAACGAGGGAGGGAACTGAAAACACGTGGAGGGGATGAAAGAGTGCCTGGGACATTCATCATGACCAGGCACCGTCGCTGCTACCGATGACAATACGAAAGATATTATATCACTTCCGTCAAGGCTGGGGTGAGCCGGGAGTAGTTCCGGCTGCTGACCGAATAAGTGTTGCAAACAATACGTGATTTTCGTGAGACCGGAATGGTAAAAAGCATGCATATAGCGGATTACGTTGGAGTTGTGAATGGTTGTAATTGTTCGAGGCAGCCAGTTGGTTGGAGGGTCTCAAGCCTTTTTGGTTTTGGGCTTCCCACTTGATGAAGATTTCTTATCAAGAGCTTTACCCTTCGCCTTCGACTTGAGGTGAAGTCGCTTTTCTTTTCGACGATCATTCCGCATTGCGATATTGTCGGAGCGTTTCTGTTGTTTTACAGCCTGTTCCTTGATTAGATTCTTCTTGCGCTCCTCCCTGAACAGGAAATGTCTTTAGGACTACTGTCAAATAATGTCAGGGTAGGACAACTCGCCATTCTTTCGCGCTCTTTGCCTTTGCACGCTCTTTGTGTGTAATAGACTTCTTCAGTTTCTCAACATCGTCTTTGACCTTCACTCCAGCGAGGCGCATTTGGGCTTTAACAAGTTTGTCCTTCCCCTCTATCTCAGCTCGCTTCTCCTCTGGCAATGAAGCAAGTTTCTTTTCCCGAGCAGTAATTTGAGCGAGGGCTTGATGGGGATTGGAAGTGGTGACTACTCTCTTGTGATGCTTCGGGTTTGGTTGGTCTGGAATGGCTGAGAACGTAACATTTGCCTCATTGTCCTTTTCTATAGGATGCTTATCTGGCTCAGGCACCACAAGTTGCACCTGGGACAGTAATCATGAGGCAAAGACTGTCCACCGTCCGATCAAAATACGCACTTTAGTTGCGGAACGTTTTTCTCTTTCTCGCTTCTTTCTCCTTTCCTTTTTCTCCTTCCTCGCCTTCCTTGTCTTTTCCCGTTCTTCTCGTTTTTTCACCCCGGTTCCATCATCGTCATCGTCAACCTCGCCTCTCTCCTTGCGGAAAGAAGCAAGCCGAGAACGATATCTTTCATGAAGCTCTGTCACATTGCCAGACTGCGTATCCCGAGGGTCGTCATCCATGGCGTCGTCTGAATTGTCTGCGTCAGTCCGAGACACACCCAGGTCCTTTTCTTTCCTACTTTTGGAAGGGTTTTTCCGCCTGGTCGCGTGCAATGACTCCGCCAAGCTTTCCTGGATATCAATGACGGTTTTGTGATTGTTCGGATCGAGCTGTGAAAAGAAAATAGCGTGAGGAAACTGACCAACGGAGCAGTCATGCGCTCCTCACCTTCCTGGCCTTAGGTCCCCTTTTCGCACCACTACTCATCTTCTGACTCGTCCCTTCATTCTGAATGCGCTTAATGTTTTCCTGTGCATTTCAAACAAGCAGATTTCAGACCCAGCAAGAAAGTAACGCTGCTTGACAAACAGTATCCTGAAATGGCCTATAGGATAGGTAAAATCGTGCTGGAATAAGCCTAAGAAGCGATTCAAATATCTGATTGTGCTTTTCTAGTGACGCGCGAAGCTCTGAGGTTGGTATGACTTGCGACATTTTAGTGGAATCTCGACTTGGGCCCGGGTGTTGCCGAGTGGCGCTTGCCGCCGAAGCGCCCAGCGTTTCATACATAGCTATTTGAATGTCTCGAACGCTTGAATGGGCTCCATAAGAACCGCTGGGTCCAAATGGTTCTACCACGGTGATCTTGTTTTCTGGGCGTGTCCTTACATAAGCCCTGCAGTTGTGCTTCAGGGTCTTAGCGCACTGAGATTGGCCTTAATATAAGTGGCAGTGGCGGCTGACCGATGGACATTCCATAGTCCATTCCGCTTCAATGATATACTGCCAATCATCATCATCCGAGGAGTCGCACCCGTATCAAGCCTCAGAAGGGGTGCTGCACAGCGGGGTTCCCACGGTACCGCACATTGGTTTGAGCGTGATTTGCTTCCGCCAGAGAACTCTATCGTCGCCATATTGTGGGATCATTGCCTTCACCATCTTTGACGGACGACGCTCGAACGCCCGTCAACAGCGTCATTGCGCGTGCTAGAAAGCCTATGGGAAAACGTGCCACTTAAGCACAAGCACTCTTTGCTGACTCACGGACCCCTTACACTCCTAAATCCTTCACCTGTCTCTTTCCGTCTTCCACGTTAGGGTATGGCATCTAAAGCACCGAAGCCAAGATTGCCTGAGGATGACGAGGAAGCTTACCCTTACGTGCTTACAAATGTGATCGGTACCGGTTCGTTTGCCACAGTCTACCGTGGCTATCATGTTGTATGCCACCCCCCCTTGCTTGATTCAATTAGCCTTCCCGTACCTAATGTTGTCTTCTCTCAGAAAAACCGTAGTGCTGTAGCTATTAAAACTGTCTCAAAGGCTATCTTGACTGCCAAACTACTCGACAACCTTGAATCCGAAATTACTATATTAAAGTCTCTAAATCATCGAAACATTACTGCGCTTAAGGATATCGTCGTACGTCATGAAACGCTCACTTTAGCTTTCTATACGAATCATTAATTTATGTTTAGAAGGCGGAGAAGCATATCTACCTCATCATGGACTATTGCTCCGGGGGTGACCTTAGTAATTATATCAAAGCGAGAGGCAAAGTCGACACTCTCCAATACGTTCCGGAGCCTGGAGCCGCTCCTATCTTCTATCCGCATCCCAAGTCTGGTGGTCTCGACCGAAAAATTGTTCGGTCTTTTCTCAGGCAGCTTGCGGAAGCCCTCAAGTTTCTTCGGGAACGGAATTTGATTCATCGCGATCTCAAGCCACAAGTGTGTTCTGATTCGATGAAGATAGTTCCACCTGATTGATTCCAAAATCCTAGAATCTTCTCTTGCAGCCTGCAGCTGACGAAGATCTCGCCAGTGGACTTCCATTAGGGACTCCAATATTGAAGGTAGCGGACTTTGGGTTCGCTCGAATATTGCCTCACGCAACTCTGGCCGAGACTCTTTGTGGCTCTCCGTGAGCACTCGCGCTCATTCGCATGCTGTCTTTCGCTAACTTGTTTACACAGATTGTACATGGCACCCGAGATCCTCAGCTATGAGAAGTATGATGCTAAAGCCGATCTTTGGTCAGTGGGAGCGGTTCTGTACGAGATGTCTGTTGGGAGACCACCATTTCGAGCGAATAATCATATTGAATTGCTGAACAAAATCAATCGAGCGGACAGCAGGGTTTCTTTCCCGGACGAGGATCCATCCAAAGTCGGAGTCATTCCTGTTCCCCCTGACATTAAGCAACTTATACGTATTCTACTTCGACGACATCCTGTGGAGCGTGCTGGATTCGATGATTTTTTCAATTCCCCCGTCTTGAATGGGGTTATCCCAGGTGATGGCAGGAGCGTATCTGTTGCGCCGGCAGGTGATACTAAACGGATCAATGAACAACCCATCGAATCAACACCTGTCAAAATTGCCATCCAAGGAAACGGGGAGGCCGCCGTTGCGGTCGAAGGTTCTCCATATGACCCCAAACTCTATCAAATGCAGAATGAGTTCCACTTCACACGTAAGAAACACCGAGATAAAGATCGGTCCCGGGATCGACATCGCGATCGTGAAAAGGCCGGCGAGAACACTGCACCGGTCACCGAGGAAACCCCACAGTCCGGTGTAGGAGAGCGGCAGCGAGACCCAAGCAGGTTGGTAAATTTATTATGAGCCAACATGAAGTATTTCCAATGGTCTTTCCCTTTAGCTTGTCCCGCCGGTCTGGCGCTGCCGTTCGCGCGAGAACTGACGTGTCGACCCTGTTAACGTCCGTAGATGTGGAAGGGGTATTGCGGCAAGATTACGTGCTGGTTGACGATACCCGCGCAGTAGAATTTAATAGAGTCGCTGACGGTGGGGCCTACTTTATGCTGATATCCATCCTTTCTGACGAGAAAATCAGAGATTGAAGCAGCGCGGAAAAAATCAGTTCGAAAGCCATCGGGGCCATCATCTTCGCCACGCCTAGATGGTGCCCGTCGGACACTGGATGCAGCTCCGACATTCCGTCATGTATCGGAAGGCTCTAGCAGCGACAATAACAGCGACAGAGACCCACACAAAGACCCACATCGATCTCACGGCACTCCACCCTCATCGGATGTTGAGCGCAATCCTCCAACCACCGTTCCCACCTCATCACTGCCCAATCATCCACCGTTCGCTGCCACATACCGCAAGCCTACTGACTTAACCGAAAGAAATGACTACAAATTCCCTCCTACTCCCCGCATGTCAAGTGGTACCACACTCGCCACTCCACTCCTCATCAAACCTCCAGCCAGTGCCTTAGCACGTGCGTTGAACATTGCAAGCAAGAAACTATTTGGTAGCCCCACAGCTATGACGGATGGGACACCAAGTTCTCCTGGGAGCATTACACGCCGAGAGAGCGAGCCGCCAAGTACTCCATCGGCCGGTGACTCTTCGTCACCCCGGTTCCTTGGTGTTGATTTGGGTATAAGAGCCATCTCACCCGCCGAAAACGAGCTATTGGGTCAATTAGAGGGTATTGCTCGTAAGGCACATGTCTTGTCTGAGTGGGCAGATACCAAATTTGAGAAAGTTGAAGCCTCGCCTTCCAGTGAGTCCAATCTCACGATGACGACCGTTCACAACTTTTATGACACCTCCGTTCAGAACCTCTTTCAGATCCTTCTCAATTTGTTCCGAAGCGGGGTGAAGCTCCTCACCGGGCAGACAGCCGGCGAAAACGCGAAATCGAGATGGAGCAGCATGCAATGCATTGTATATCATTATACCTGACGGTTATGGCATTTGGGCAGAAAGCTATCGATTTGATTCGAGTGCACTCTCAACGGGACGAAAATCGCAGTCCCAGTTCTGGCGTTGACGAAGGTACGTACGTACCTTTGTTAACCACAAGGTCATTGTTACTCATGATTTTTGACAGCATTCAGCTGGGCTCGGGACACGTTTAACCGAAGCATGGATAAGGTGAACACACTTAAGACGTGGCTTCCGGAGGGATATAGCCAGAAAACATTGTGGATAGATCGGGTGATATACGATCACGCCCTCAATCTGGTAAAATCTCACGTCCCTGACCACTTCCACCAGACTAATTAGTTATTTCTTTAGCTGAGACATGCTGCCACCCTCGAACCAATATTCGATAGACACAAAGAATGTGAAGAAGAGTATGAACGTGCGCTGTGGATGCTGTATGCCATAGAAGATGACGTTGTTCAGGCCGAAAATCCTTACGTCGAGCAGGACAAGAAGACGATTTCGAACTGTAAGCTGACTACCATCGTCGGGCTCGTTATTCCTGACGGTTTTTGTTCCCCAGTCATCTCTAACACGAAACAGCGTCTCACGAAGTTACGTCAGCGTGTTGATAAATTATAAATTGATGAATGAGCTTCATCGCGGGAGCCTTGCACCTCGGACGTTATTTTTTATCTGCTTTTTTTTTTCCTTCTCTTTATTTCGTTTCAGTCTCTTTCGCACGTTTAATGGGTGATTTCTGCCAGTAATTTTTCTTTCCGCTCGGACTCCTTGCTCTTAAGGTGATGCACAACGCCCTTCCCAGAGCTACCGTCTTTATCAATCGCACACAACTGTTGTATTCTAAGGACCTCGCACCTTCATCTTTGACTTTCTGGTGCTTCGTTACATTAGAGATCTAGAAATTATTCGAAAGTAATGTGTTGTTCTAATGATTCTAAGAAGGTCTCTCTCTAGATGCGGTTCTCCTCGCCTATGAGAGCCACGAGGTCTCCGAGAGATTGTGTTACGAAGTCTGGGGTGATCGGAGAGGCCCCCGGCCCAGTGATATCACTCTCTGTGGTGACGCCTAGATTCGGTTTGATAATGTATACGGGGAAAGGGATTTATCGCGGATGAACTGACCAGTCAAGACTAACAGAGTGCTGACGCCTCCACGTATTCCGAAAAGGATGTCAGTGTCAAGGCGGTCGCCTACCATGATGGTTCGCTGAGGATCAAAGTCATGTCTGGAGCGAAATTTGGTTGTTAAGCATAAATGATTGCGTAAGGGAACTGCGCCTTCGGCACACACTTTGCCTTTACACAATCCAACATGGTGCTATTCGGCTTACCGATAGCCGTCGGATCTCGCTTAAGCATGTAACGAAGCGGGGCGCTAATGGAACCGGCCCCTGGAAGATAGCCCCCATTCACGGGGAACGTTGGGTCCTCGTTCGTAGCGAGGAAAAGACACCCTGGGTTGAGTGTGAGGTATTGTTGCGCTTTAGCCAATTTGGTATAGTTTATTTTGGTGTCAAGGCCGCAGAGGACTGCACCGACGGTTGGATCGGGTTTGAAACTGTGGAGGTCGAATGGTTCGAAGGTGTTGTCTTCTTTGCTCTGGTGGAGGCGAACTTTAGGGATGCACGATGTAAGTGATTGGCCAGGGGGAGAATACAGACTGTGCCTCCTATGTGAGCCACTCCTTCGTTGTTGAGCTCCTCTTCGAGGCCGGATTCGCCGATGACATAGACCTTCTTCTCCTTCGGCAATTTGACCACGGAAGAGAGGTAGACGGCAGAAGCATACGCAGATCCGAAGATTTCATCCTAGTAGTGGAACAAATTTAGGCATACACAGATGGCAATATACCGCGTTCCCTTACAACTTCGGCTTGCACGTCAAGCTTGTCGAACTTGTTCTTGTATGACTTTCTAGACTTTGTAGCGTTATTGGTAACGAAGATCATATGTTTATCTGACCAGCGGCGAAGCTAGTAAGCCATATGGTCCCGAAAGATACGAAAAACTGCCAACTATGCGATCGCAGAAGTGCCAGCACTTGTCGAACGCCGGGAATTAGATGGTCCCCATGCCAGATTACACCATCACAATCGAACATCCAAGTGTCGAAAGAGTCTAAAAGGGTTTGAAGTTCCTCCACGCCCGATAACTTAGTGAAAGGCATGCTGCCAGCAGGGAAAGAGGATGTCACGATCGGATGGTAGTGTTGAGAAACAGAAACTGACCGGTTCCAACGGAAGTGGCTGTACAATTCAACGGAACTGAAATGGGCGCTTAGTAATCGACCACCGCCCTCGCTTCTCCGGATCGCAACGAGGTTACGGCTAGAACCCTCTATCCGGAACGGTAATGCTGACTTCCGTTCCGTCTCCGTTCTCATTTACAGCTTCGGTAGGAACGATCGATGTCAGGCGAAGGCAATGCTCCGCCGGGTCCGCCACCTGGTCCTTATTCACCCCGTTCCAGGGGCGAACATGTAGACTTGGGATTATTACATCTTGATGACGATTTAACATATTTGAGTAGATTTCTAGTAGACAAAGTCATATGAGGTCCAGTCTACGTTCCTACTACTAGAAGCTCTTCTGGCCGGAGTTCGATTTGGGGAAGGTTTGGACTCGTACACTTTGCGAATCCTAGTTATGCTCTAGCGCCCTGTTGACGACCCTGTCAAATGTGGATTCCAAGTTAAGATTTGTTCATTTAATATCTGCCCACAAGCAATCATTCAATATTTACGCGTAGTGCACGCGCAACAGAAGGCAACAGCCTGACCACTTATTCAAAGACGCCATGAGTCAGTTTGAATCCACATTGTGCACAGCTTCGCCACCGTTACGCCCATACCATGGCAATCAGAGAGAAAGGCGCGCAACTTTCCCGTTGACTCTGATGAGGTTGGATTGTAGACAGGGATCGTCAAACCGCGAGGATGGCGATGACAGTGGTGATGCGATGGCCCAAATATCCCGAGAGCCGGGGGCTCACGGGTGAGAGATGCATGTGGACTTGTGCCTGTTTGGGAAAAATCCAAGTCGCGGGGACATTAGATGTGATCCGGTTTGAATGCGGGTCAATCGTATCGTCGTTCAGTTAGGTAGGATCAATGCAAGCTGCACTTTCTTATGTAGCTTTCCAGAAAGGGGGGTCACGCATACCAAACGCTAGTGCATATCATATCACTGATGGCATTTCTTCGATGCAGCCCAAACACGCACTATCCCGCATTCGAATACTATACTACTAATTTTTGATCTTGGTCAGTGCCAAGTATCTGAGTCGATTTCCATGGAAAATCTTGCTGGTTTGTTAGCAAGGCTACCGATTTCAGGTATTTCGATGACGGATTATATTAGCCTAGGCTTTCCTGTCGTCTGTATGGTGAATAGTTTTGCAATGATAACAGCACGAAGGACCATGGGGTATTCGTTCAATCAACGCCGCTTCATCACCAGAAGGGAAGTCTCTAAATCGGGGGGACGCAGCTAGGACATCAAGCCACCGCGCTCTTTGGACCCTCGTCCTATTGATCGAATTCAACCTTCAGGCCAACCCCGGAAACGGACCGATGGCTTGTGGCATCACGCAGTGGGAAATCCCCGGTAAACTTAATGACCAAGGACAATTCATCAATGGCACCTCTTGAGCACGTTGGCAAGCCGATGTTGCTACGAACGCGTACTAGTGGTGGTAACGTGTCGGGGGTCGGGGCGAGCATCCAATACTGGGAATTTACAATCGAAATGCTGCTGGACTCGGTGCGGTTTGCCCAGGCCTTGTGGTTGTGATTCGTGGGAAGTGATGCTGGCGATTATTGGTCATCAGCATCGCGATTATGCCCCAGGATTCCAGTCAGCGCTCGTTCCTGAAAAGTGTAACCGACGCCTTTATCCTTTGGTCACAGCCACTGATACAACCAGCATCGCCGCGTCTCAAAAGGTCGATCAATGACTGGCGCCACAAGTGTCCTTCGAACGGCTAATCCGGCCCAGTCCCTTTATGTTAACCTTCGAAGTCCGCCTCTTATACAGTGATTGGCAATGGAAAAAAAAAGGGTATTAGAACCTGCTAGCTGTCATCGACATTGTCCCCTCAGTTCTCTTCCTCACCATCAATCTCTACTCTCATGAGGGTCGTCATCAATCCTCTCGGACGCGGCCAAGCGTGCTATGCATGTCGCAAACACAAAATAGTAGGTCCCTCTCGAAAGCTGGTGTCCCAGGCGTTCCGTGATTGACATACAATGGTAGAGGTGTAATGCTGTCAAGCCGGTTTGCAGTAGCTGCGAGCGGGTAGGGCGCGAGTGCCGGTATTCGGAGAGCAAATCCCAAAAATTAGAAGATAGGCTCAACGACCTCGAGCAACGTCTTCACCAAGTGCAATTCCACGCTCAACTGGCATCAAGTTCGAGCACGGTCCCGGCAAGCATGGAAAATTCGCCTTCCATTGTCGAGGACACTGGGCTAGCAGAGTCAGATCCATTGTTGCCCTATTACCCCTCACCTCGCCTCACCTATGAACCACCAGCGATGAGGGCAGTGACTGCTAGCCCTGGGAATCAGCCAACTTACTCGTCAGCGGTGCCGAATTATGCCATGCTCAATGGACTTCAAGCTTGGAATCCTGATGAGGATGTCCCTCCGGGCCTTCGGCAGCAACTGTATGTGTTTGATCATTCACTCACATACCGATGCCACTTCACATTTGACGGTTTAATAATTGCCTTCTGTAAACAGGCTCCAAGTACTCCTCCGTCACAGGTCGGAGTTCTTTTTCTTCATGAATACTCAACGGCTTGAAGAGAGAATAATTCTTCCTCCGGATCACCCAGGTGTGCACATCGTACTCAACCTTTTTCCCTCGCAAGCTTTATATTAACCTATATGCATCAGATTCTCTACACCACTCCCTTCTGAATGCCATCTACCTCGCCGCATGTTCGATCTCACCTGATTTTAAGCCCTTGGAGGACCTCTTTCTTCACCGCACCTTGGAAGCTAACCATGCCTCTATTGCATTTGTTGACCGTCTTGAACACCATCTATGGGCTTGCGTCCTTACTATATGCGTTTACTCTCGAAAAAGCAAAATAGTCTCAGCGCATAACCTCTGCAGCAGTGAGCATTGTCTCGGTGTCATTATGGGTCCGTTCATTGAGCACGATATTCTATCTTGTACCCTCCAGCCACTGTCCACTTTGCAGTTGCGTGTGGACTCAATAGTATCAGCAATCCGGGCCATTACTTCATGCAAAGTAGAGCTTTGGGTGGCCTTTTGGGTCCTGTGGAAGACGCCATTCATCTAGGGGAACGCATTTCTCTCTGGTGGTCAAGTGAGTACGATGTGTTGCGATGGTTACCTTGATGGTGACGGTTCTTCCTATCATATGCTCCAGTTTATGTACTAGACAGGCGGCTAAGCTTGGCGATAGGGCTTCCGTATGCGATATGGGATCACGATCGCCAAGTGAGCAAAAATTATGCGAGATGACTATCGGATTCTGACTTGCCCGCAAGGGTATCACAACGGTTTGGCCGAGATCCCAGGACGAGATCATGGAGGTTCGATTCCAAAAAAGCCTTTCCAAATTACCATCAACTTATATGATCTTTGTAGAATCCTTCACTGGACGCGTGGACAACAGATTCTGTTGCGGAGTTGTTTATTCATGGGACGGAATCTACGAATGTTGCGAACGATTCCCAGCTCGCCCTCCACGCGAAATCCAATGCCCTGATGGAGCAGTGTTTCTGTGTTCTACAATTTAGTGAAAGTGTGTCATCCGATCATCACAGATGAGCTCGAGCAGCCCTTGTTGACGTTTTGTGGACCACGAAGATCACCCCCCGGACGATGCGTTTTATAGGTTGCATTTCTCTGTTTTACAAGCCCTCGAGCGTTTTAACGCAACTCTTCCACCTCTTTCGGATCTCCGTGAGCTCCAACCTGGGGAGCTTGATTCCAAGAAGACTGTTAATACATCTATCGCGCGCGTCCGCGTTACCACCTATACCTCCATTATCATTCTATATCAGATCGAGGCGGACAAGAACGAAGCGGCATATGAGCAATGCATTTTCTTTGCGAACAAGATGGCCATGGAGGCCGACCAAATAGGCGACAAGTCGAAACTGTACTCTCATGCATGTCTCGCTGTAAGTCATTGGTTTTGAGGTTTCTTCTGGAGAGTTTCTCAACACTAATATCGTTCGCAGCCTTCTTACTATAAGGCAGCCGAAATGTGCCTACGTGACATATTTAGGAACGATCCTCCACAGAATGCACATCAAATGCAACGCTTGCATCAGGCCCATCAAAACCTCTCTATCATTTGTAAAAGTCTCTCGCGCATCACATCGTGGCACCCTCACGTCAGTGAGTATTGATCGACACTCAATAATAAAACAATTGCCCGTTCTAAACTGAACCGTCGCTGAATTGCCCATAGATATCTATCTTGAACGCCTTCGTTATATGCATAAAACTCGACAGCTGACCTCCGAACTGCTCCTGAATTTATCTGGGGAGATAATTGGCAAGACACATCACGACGGAGTTTCGACATCGTGAGGTCAGCGGATTATAGCCCCGGAACAGCATTAGCTGTCGGCCGACTTCACATCCCTGTGCACGGATTGATTTTCGCTTTCGTTTTTGCGGACATTGCATGTATATGCCATATTGTAACCCTCTAACTCAACATCTAAATTTCCTTTATAATACAATGTGTATATATACGGGTATTATAACCCTTTAGATTTCGCTCTTCTCTTTGCTTTCTTTGGATCGCCTGGCAAAAGATGTCTCGCCAGCTTCCTTTGCAACTCCATAGCGTTGGAATCTATGTATAACCTGCTTTGGAAGGCCATATATACACTTTTATAGCTAAAAACTTCAAAGGACTGAATCCTGCTGGTGATTTTTCTTGCGCCTGCTTGACCCTAGCTCCCCGCATACCTGCAACCATTTCTTTAGGGCAACTGCCCGTTCGATTTGTTGCTCAGAATTGCAGACCAAAGCTGCTTGTGAACGACTGTCACCATTCTTAATTTTCTTGTCATCATTCTTCTCTACATTTTCGCTGTAAATAACCACGAATACTCAGTTCCCCTAAAGAAAATGAATTACATATCTAGCCCAGATATGTATGAGAAACACATCGATGACGGAGGTACCCAGGCTAAGTCCATTGTCCCAAATGACCGAACGGAAATTTGGCGGAAGCAAGCAGGATTTCACTTCACTGTTAATCCTCCCCTCCCCAATTCCTTTCCCCTAGCTGTGTGTCCTACCCGTATACGACCCAATGACAGCACCGGATGGTGGATCATATGGATCGCTATACGTATTGCCATGAGTTGTTTTGACCATCCTACCTTTCTCATCGTCATCGTGCTCGTCGTGACGGTAATACGTTTCTTTCTCCCCCTCGATCAGCTCATCAGTGTACTTTAATGTCACCGCACTCTGATTCGCATCGTTGCCCCTGATGACGGTAAACCCACTACCGTTAACACCGCGGCTCGTTCCTAGAACGGTGAAGCCTTTACGTTCCGCCTGGTCGAAGTCGTAGTCGAACGCATCGGTATCGTCCCTATCGTGGGCGGCGGCACGGGCGTATATACCACGAGACGAGGCACGACGACGACGGATGATGACGAAGGCAGCGATGGAAGTCAAACAAAGGAGACCGCCCATGACACCCAGAGTGATGAGTAAGGTCGTCCTGGCCGACTTAGAATGATGCTCTTTGTCATTTGGATGACCGGATTCGTTGTCTCCCAATGCACCACCGATAAGACTGGGGCCCGTGCCGTTCAATGAACCGCCACCAGTCGAGATGGCATGTTGTTGAAATAGTTCAAAGGTTTGATTTCCAGTAGAAGGTGCGTTTATCGCGAACACCATTCCTTTCCCGCAGTGTCCGGTTTGACGACAGAAGAACCACAATGGCGCATCTGTCTGAGGCATAATGAATGATATTTGGGGTAGAGTACTGTTTTCAACGGGCATGAAGCCCGAATCGAACCCGGTTGGGGTAAGCCCATCAGGACCGACCGGCCGAGTGCACGGCTGTTCGAACGAGGATTGAGTGAGAGTGTGGTTCTTTGAGGCGAAGGTAACCCGGATTTCATCTCCTGCCGTGGCATTGATGGAAGGAGGGGAGAACGTTAACGAGCCTCCACTACCAACCAAGACATCAATTATCTTAGTTGTGCCGTTGGGATTAGTGTCGAGAGCCTTCTGATGGAAATTGGCAAAGGTGTGTTCGCCCGTTGTATCGGGATTAATAGCAAACACCATTCCCTTAGAGCAATGACCAGTCTGGCGACAGTAAAACCATAGTGGACCGCTTTGGGAAACGTTAAACGATTTTTGGATGGGGGTTGAGCCATTTGCGACAGGGACAAAACCTGTGTCGAAGCTAGTCACATTTTGACCATCGGGCCCAAGCTGGGGTGTGCACGGATTCTCGAAGGTCGATTGTGTGACGGTGTGATTTTTCGACACGAACGTAAAACGGACCTCGTCACCAAGTTGGGCGTTTACAAACGGAGGACTAAATGTAAGTGTGCCATTGGCACCCACAACCACATCGATGATATTCCCGGTAGTGTTGGTGTTGGTTGCGTTGTTTTCCGCGTTTGCCAGAAAATTCTCGAACGTATGATTCCCAGTGGCAGGAGGGTTGATAGCGAAAACCATACCCTTCCGGCAGTGACCCTGTTGCTTGCAGTAAAACCAGAGGGGATCCGTCTAACCATTTTTCCAGACACGAGAGGGTCAGCAAGATGCCCAAATATTCTGAAAAAAAAAAAAAACGAATGCCATACGGTATTGACTGTATAGTTGAAAATAACAGGGCTTTGGCCAGCTGCAATTGGGACGAAGCCCGTGTCCAAACCAACTGGAGTGATACCATCAGTCCCGAGGAGTTTGCTGCAAGGGGAATCGAAGGATGACTGTGTCACTAATGAAGAATCAGTACGGGTTATCTTGGCTGGCGCAGGACATACCGGTGTGATTTTTATTTGAAAATATGAAGTTTACGATGTCGCCTTGCTCGGCTGTCTGGTAAGTGACGATGGCATCGCGTGAATGAGTGCGTCAGTAACATGAGCGCATAGGAGCTACGTACGATATACTGAGGGTAATAGACCAGCTGACCATCTTGGCCTACTTGAACCTATGGAGTCGAAATTAGGATACGCTGGAAAGGACCAGAGCTACCTCTTCTGCTTGCCTCGTGATTCGTAGCGCCCACAAAAGCGAGGCCAGCAAGCGCCAGTGACGCGGACACGAAGCACTTCATGCAGGTAACGTAGAGTGCAGGTAGCGCTCGTGAAGTGACGTCCAAGTGATGGAAAAGGAGGGGAAGATAGTCAAGTACAGCAGATGGGCGAGAAGGGTGCCTGTAACAAGCTGATGAAGACTAGAATTTTGAAGGAGATAAGGATCCGTTGCATGCTGTGCCGTGGCCGTGCTGCTAACGACACATTTGTTTTTTGCACATGCATTCATATTGGCACGGTTCCACACTTTCCTGCGCTTAGAAGCAGCATCTCCGCTGCTAACGTGGCCATGAGATTCCAAATTCTACAATGACGCCACTTTATTTCGACCGAGTCTAGGGGCTTTCTCGAGTTTTTCTTATTGTGCGGGGATGACTCTAAATTGCCAACTCTCAGGCTGCTTGCATTGACCAGCGCAGCGGCAACTGTCTCTTACTGGGACCACCATAATCAATTTGTGGCCCTAGCATCCCCGAAACCGTACGCCAGAGGACCATTGGGGCTGAAATGCTATATCTCCAGCGGTCCGATCGCGCACAGCCCATTCCCCCAGAGGCACTATGATTTCCTCCGGTGCTATCCAATGAAGTGGGCGGCTAAAAGCTTACACTGCTCTTACACTCTGCTGTGCTTTTCCCTAACGCGTTCGTGGTGTTTGCTTTTCCCATCAATATTATATTTAATTCTGCACCTCGTCCCACCCATGGTATGTGGACGAACTGATTACGATTAACGCGTCAGCTTGAACAACAATGCCGAATGGCTATATTCCTAGCTAATTGCTCGGCCGTGGGTCAAATCTGGTAAACGTTTTTCCATCAAATCAGCGTCAGTCCCGAAGCGTAACACACAATATTGTCGGGAAGGGCGCCTTTTTAATTAACTCTTACGGGGCCCCGTATTCAATTTGGGTCTCATGCATAGATCAAGCGGACTCTCCGCTCATTATGTCACCTCCGGAAGCTGTTGCAACCCAGGTTGCCGCAGAAATTCGGAAAGTTCAGAAACAATTAAACACCAGTTTGGCGGATCCGTTGAGGCCTAATAGCCTCGCGAGTGCTGACACCGATGCCCCAACTAGCCCACTATATTCTCGTCTGCGCCATGTTTCTAGTCATAACCAGCATTCATGTTCGGTATCGGGGCCGCAAGAGGGTCGGAGCAGTTTCAGAATCTACAACAACGGGACTCGGTGCTTCCACTGCGAATTTGGGGGACTGTCAATCGTCTCTGGCGTGACTGTGTGCGCCAGCCTGTGGTGAAATTTACGGTGGAGTCTCTCCCGAGCTAGAAAGCCTACTACGTCTCTACTGCCCGTATGCGTCTCACTACCGCCTTCAGAGATGTGAACACGAGGACGCTTGGTAGATGAGTGTACGTGGACATTTGGAGAACAAGTCAACACACTTTGTCAGACAAGAGATGGGTGATTCCCTCAGGATCACCATTCGCACGTTGCGGAACACAGATACGCACCACTTAGCTCCTTCCTTTCTTTCCAGTCTGTCATCACTCCTTGCCTATTGCCCAGTCCCGCTCCCTGAATATCTCCCCAGAAATCACGGCCATCGTCAGCCACGAGTACATCCCAATTGTCCTCTGCTGTGCTGTCGACATGGCGGTCCAATCAATCATATACGTCCTCTTTGCCACCGGTGAGGGTGAGTACGTCGGCGCAGGAGCTGACTTCACGAACCATCAGGTGAAGCGAGATTTGGGCGAAGGATTCGATTCTCCAGATGGTCCATTTGATTTTCCCGTTGCTCCCGAAATTCTACCCGCGTGGGCCCAGGGTTGTATCAGCCGTGCGACTGGTTTTAGGGCACCTAACTGCCAGATGATCGCTCCATTTCTGAGGGTCCTGCCTCATTCGGCTGGTTGCCCCACCGAGTTCACCTCCACTTGCGTTCATTGGTCATTTTGAACCCAAAAATTTCGTCGCACGTTGAGGTTGATATTCAAGCCTGGCACTCGACAGGTACAGAGAGCACCTTTCTCCTACTCCTGGACTTATTCCTCTCGCTTGTGAAATGATGACTCCAAGATTGAGGCGGCGTACCGTGTGACAAAGCACGGATCTATTGGCTATTGTTGGGATCGGGGTGAGGTCGTCAACTGCGTCGAAACGGAGATCAACAAAGTCGGCAAGGAGATAGGTTTCTAGAAGAATCCGGGCGTTTTCTCTGATCTATTTGGTGTGAATACTTTCAATCGACGACTTGCTGGTTTCGCTGCCCGCGAACGAGCCACCCGCGAGCGACTGCGAATGTTGGAGGACACTGAACGTATTCCCGTTTTTCATTCTTCCGTACCAGAAGTTTGCAAAGCAGCACGAGAGTATCGTACACACCGTATGATCATTCTGAATACTATTGCATGTTAGCGCTAGAACCTGGGGGGGGGAGGATGCGAGATTTGGGATTGGCCATTGCTGTCCTGGAGTTGATATCTCGCACACCTTCTGAGAGACATAAGAAATGGAGTCTCGCGGTCCGCTGAGGCTGTCTGCGCAACGTTAGGAGAACGGTTGGAGCGACGGGGGCGTTTTGACTTGGACACGGGTGATCCCCGTTGACCCCTCTCATTTGACTCCCGCTTGGCACTACTTTCCAAGTTCTCCAGACGGCCCTTGAGATCACGAACAGAGAGAAGCACGGTCGTGAGCCCGATCAGTTGTCCCAAGTGCTCCACCTTAATTTTTGCGTCTCTCTCTCTCTTCGAAGTTGCGTAAGACTGAAATCGTGTCTCCTAAGATGCCGATGGCTAAATTCGCAGGACAAGTGGCATTTGGATCGCTGGGCTGGGTTGGAGAATGAGCAAATTGGTCGCAAGACATTGGAGTGGCACTTAGGAAGCAGTGGATGGCCAATAAAACACGCGAGCTAAATACGAGTGGAATGATTATTGGTGTTAACATCGAGTGCCTCGAGGGCCTCCATCACTGGTTGGTTGATGGCATTTTATATTCTGGCCAAAAGATGCAGTGATGAGATGCGTGGCTCATGGAGTTTGGCTGCCTGTCGAATTTCCCGATTTCACAAAAAAAAAAGAGATAAAGCAGCATCTGCTCAACATTCTAGGCCATGGTATCAGGCGCCTCTGCCTTGCGGTGATCCTGAGCATTTGCAAGCGTGTCGCAAACTAGCGGCCGGAAGCTTCCATGCAGTCCTAGTCACGTTTTCATCTTTTCTGTCGTCCTGGCAGAGACAAGTTTGCTCCGATAGCTAACACCACCAGTATTACGACTGGGGTTTGAGGGTGGCAGTTTCTGAGGCTTCTCTGGCATCTCCCTCTGCGCTTTCCTTGAAAACTCCAGATCGTTGATCCCACGCGTGATTCAACTGACTCAGATGCGATCTTCCGACCTGGATTGAGCTTATCCGACTGGAGCACACGATCATCGCCGAGGACGATTTATGTTCTGTGGTGAAGAAATGACTGGCGAAAATTGCGTGATTCTTCCCGATTCCTGATCCAGCTCTCACGACGCTTTTCCAGATGAATTGAGTAGTTATTACGGGCCCCACGAGACGCTGTGATGCCAGACTACCAGTACTAGTATCTACGTGCAGCTCATCATAAGAACATCTATGCGCAGCACTCGACATCGCTTGTCCTTTGCATCTTGTGCCAGGACAGTTCACCTGCTGCAATTTATGCTCCTGCGACCTAGACTCATATTTGGTCTGTGCGATCCCATTTGTTTGAGGCAGCGCTAGATGTACCTCTCAGCCGTCGGTATCATTGCCGGGCATCCAAATCTCCACTGGAATGGCCATTGCTATCAGGGCACTGGACTCCCGCGATCTATTTAACGGGTTGCGGTGTACAGAATAAGAGTCCAGTCGTCGTCAAACTCAGAAGGGGCCCGAGACAGGCGAGATGACATCGTTGTATGGTGCAACTTGTGAAGCATGGTCGAGCAATTGACATAGTAGGATGTTAAGCAAACGCTGTTGCGTGAAGCACTTCTGAATTGAGCTCATTCAGATTGTGGGAGTAGAGACACATACACGGGTACATGGACATCGATTGGACGAAGGAACAACAGAAATCACCAACGGGGAAAACATGCAGAGAAGGAAGAAACCGGGGATGAAGCCGGGTAGCAGAGCGACAACAGAATAAATGACGAAAAGATATGAACCGGCTCTAACCGCGATGTGTACATGGCAACCATCGCCGCTTCATAACGCAATTTGTACGTTCCCGAAAGTCATTGTCACCTTCATCCATAAGTCTGCCACTTATGACACGGGCGCTGGGAGAAATAGCGGTTCGAGCTCGGGACCCGAGACTGAGCATGACTGGTATATTCAGGTGATCAGAGTCCGGAGTGAGTGGCATGATCGATGTGGGTAATGCATATGTTGAGGCGAAGCGAGCAATGCGATCGGGGAAGAACAATCTTGGGTCGGCTACATACCCGGAATGATGCGAATTGAGGACTCTGTGCTTTTGTCATAAGACCAGAAACGAGCCCCATTAATCCCCCCCACCACCCTCTTTCGTCCCCTAAGTAAGCTGGAAGTGCCTGTCCGTCGACGGACGAGCGAGGCAGCGAGTTGCAGGGTGGAAATAGCTGGATGGCTCCGAATGCCCCGGCAACATTGAGATCGTTGTGGCGATCGGTGGGCACCAGCCCATGATGCTTCATGATCTCAATTTGCCGGTCGAAGCGAACCAGCGGACGCCACAGTTGAATCTGCATATTTGAGAGGATCTGTCAGCTGTGTTCTGGCACATCGATTGGGAATTACTTGCGACTGGGTGGATTCTTCGCGCTAGGGTGAGGCGCACTAGAGCGGGCGTCCCAAATGGTCCAGGAGGCAACACAGCCTATGAACAACTAGTGCTAAACGAACTGTAGGGGAGGAATATAGAGTAGGAGGGCGCACGGGATTATTTTGAAGTGGGCGTTTGATGGCACATACACCCATGCACATGGGGTAATGACTTCGGGCTGCAAGTATGAGTCATGTTACAGAATGAAAATAAAGAGGGGGGCAATTCAGTGCGGTGAGAGTTTGTTCATGGAGATGGCGCAAGGAAGAAACGTTACACACCTTTCGCCATATACGATCGACGAAGCCCTGTGTGAGGGCTTCGCCTTCAGAAAACGTAACGTGACTTCCGATCTGTGCGTCCATCGAGCGAACAATGACCGGAGTGGGGCAGTTGGCAGTGTACCGGTAGATTTGGGATCGAGAGCATAGGAGAGAAAATATAATAGGACAAGGATTTGGTTCAGCTGAATATCTCAAGAACTAGATAAGTTAGAAAGATAAGTATATGCTCACTCGAACGTTGATACGATCATAGTCTATGCTGGGGTCAAGGAGGTGTAAGCCATGAGGGCTCATTGGTTCCAGATATTACTAATTGTACGCTGAGAATCGACACAGGGGCAGCGAAGAGAGGTGAAAGGGGCAAAGCAAAGCTAGGCGAAACAGAGACAAGGGAGAAAGAGGATCTAATGTTGCTATCTCTCCACTTCGTAGCAGATTATAACCATTCCTCCGGCCATATTCAACTCACTCCGAGTTGATTCACATAGCCAATTTTTGAAGACGTTATCGGCAAATCATTCTCCATACATTAATGATGATTTTTCACTGGCAGCAGCGACCAAACCGGTCAGTTGCTCTCCCGACCAAGGGATCGCTCTTGCATGCGACTCCCACGCGACATCAAAACAGAACGCCTCACTAACATGCACTTCCTGAAAGGGTCTCGAATTTATGTAATTTATCGTTCCTCACATATTCATCATACTCGTATATAACGGGATTTTCATTTCATTCATGCCGTGGAACACACCTGCCATTTTGCGTTTCCCCGTTTTCTTCGAGCCGTGACAAAGGATCGTTGTTACTATATGTGTGAACTCTGTCCACACTGAAGGAAGGTGAACGCTTTGGTGAGAATACTCGAATGTACGGGCCCGGTCGACGAGCTGAGTAGGTCAATTGTTTGATACTTTTATGTATCGCGTAAACTAGGCTTTTACCACAGCACCCGCACGTCCACGAGTTCATGACCATGCGAGATCCTATAATAGTGTGTCGCTGGTCCGCTTTTGTCTAAATTTTCTTGGCCTTCCCGTGGTTTGGTATCCAAGCTAGGAGGCGTAGCACGCTCTCTTTTAGTCTAACGTTCCCATTCCCAGGTGCCTTGCGGACGGGCCTTTTGGTTATTCTGTCGCTGCCTCCGTAGTCATGTGCCCTGGCCCCACCCCAACGCCTCACTGGGACGTAATCTATTATTGAAAAGGGCTGCATGACCGACGGCTGAAACAGCAGGCACAGAACTGTGCTGGCCCAGTACGTTCATATCTACTGTCCCGGATTCGCTATTTGCAGGCGCAGATCATGATTGGTTACGGAACTAAGTAATATCCCAGTAGTTGAGTACCACTGCACGAGCAAGGACAGATGCGAGGATTTAGCCAGTTCCGCAGTAATATATCTTCATATCGTTAAGTGCATAGTTGAGTCTTCACCCATCCATCTTGTCTCTAGGTATGAAATGTATCGTGCCTCTGGCCTATTATTTGTACTTACATTGCCTTGGTTCTCGCTGAATGTGGAAGCCCCAGTAGGATCGAATAGTCCACGGAGATGCCACTAGGCCGGATTTTATGTCCAGCGCGAGCTTCCGCCAGGAAGATCATCTGTGTTGATGATCATTATTATAAACTCTTAGTCAGGCAAGCCGGGCCCTGCCTTCGATCAGTTCGATCATCAAATCTCATTTCTCCCTTTCTGCACTTAGTTTCCTGCTGAAATTCGATATTCAAGGGAGTGCGAGCCTGTGAGGAACGTGCCCACGTCGCACTCATACCACCTGGGCATGACCAGCGTGGTTAAGCACGGCAGTGGTGACGGCACCCAAGTTTACGGCACGGCTGTTGTCGCCATTGCTCTCACTTGTTGGCCCTCCACGACGCCATTCAGGTAGAAAAATTTGCCCGAATTCAGCCTCAGATGTGTTACAGGGGGAGTTGGTCCATCCTTGGAACCATTCCATCTGATATTCGCCTAGTTTTCGCATTGTTCATGCGTATGCTGCATTCAGAATGCCGATGGACCGCCCCCCATATTGAAATGAAACTATCGCTGATGCATTATATAACGAGGAGTCGCGTTTCCTTATGCATAAGTATGAGAATGACTTCCATCCATCAGAATAGTGTCATTTTGGGAGCCTGTGGCCAGGGATGTGCTAGCCATCCGAACGTGGAAGGTAATGTTTCGAATTGATAGCATCAGATCTCATCAAGGTGAACGGAGAACTTGTGATAACCTTCATAGGGAAGGTGGGAACGGAGATCGCTGGTAGAGCTCTTTGTCTTAACGTAAAGAGAGGAATAAATGATTTCCCTCCCAATAGGAAGCGGTTCTGGTGTCTCACTGGGTAGCAATAACAGAACGTGTTTTGTTATCAAAGAAGCCGACAGGATCCGCTGGTGCTCTTGGTTGATTGCCAGTGGGGCGGTGAATAAAAGATTCATCGATGAGCCCTGAATTATTATGAACATCGCTAGCCCAGACCTCCGGTCTCTACCATCGCCACTACCACTGGGTCTTACACTGTGACCTACATTGTTTCACTGTCATGCCGAACTGCAGAATAATAGCAAATCGGAAGGAAATTATGCATGGTGTTTGTTCTGACAATGCTCCGCATAAACCGGACATGTACCTATGCCCAAACGGCGGCGCGTCCACGATCAGCATCACTGGGAGACTTGTCAAGAAAGATATAAACGTGGCCAACGATGCGAGTAGGTTACGGCCTGAAGGAGAAGGTCAAGTGGCATGATATCAGACCGTCCAAAGGGAGGCCGCAAACACGTACACCCTCCAAAACGAGTTGATGCGGTCCATGTCTCCCATCAGTAACACCAAACGGCTATCCGTCATCGGCGACTACAGGAAAGAACATTGAGCACAGTACGGTCACTTAGCGTTGGCTACCAAGACCTATGAAGCACTCTAAAAGTAACGTGTACGCGTCCAGTGACGGACAATGCTAACGATCCGCAGATATGAAGCCTCCCCAGAGCGTGCCCCGGTGTCCATTCCCGTATTCCTAACGGTATGAAGAATGACAGCCACAGCACAACGAAATTTCACGACAGCGGAGCATGGTAACGATCCGTTTGATCAGTGCTAAGAGGGTATTCGAGGCATCATCATTAATCGATTGCACAGAACGGGTTTCCTGGAGTGGAAAAGTCATCCAGGAGAGTCCTTGATTCCTTACAGGTCCAAGCGTCCCTGAGCCATCCTTTATAACTTCGGGAGAATGGCATGGGGTGGGGTGTGGCAGCGAAGTGAAATCCCGGTTAATATGATGAGAGTGTGAACGTGCTAGGTCAGGAGATGGGCAGCTGGATGAAAGGTTTCGGGAGTGGGTGAAACTGGTTCTGGAAGGCATTTGGATGGAAGCTAAGGACAGTGACACGATAGGGTCGTTGTTGGAATATCAACGCTCATCGACAACAGCCGAGCTGCAGCGTGGATTGGGGAGTCTTTATTTTAACTTAATATCGTCGTGACTAACAACGACTATACCTTTTTGTTTCAGAGTCGCGGTACCACGCGCTCCCAATTTACTTTGTCTTATATCGCTAGTTGTCACAGACAATCGCTTTAAGCGATATTGGCTCCAGTTGTATAAGTTACGCTGGACGCCGTAATTTTTCTCCCTCCCTCAGTTCTCTATTTCGAGACTGAGGTGATACCATTTCTTTCCTATCTGTGTTTGCGCATAACTCATTGTATTTTCATGTTATAGTTACGCGCGATAGGTAAACATCTTAATACTAGTTCTCTATTTCGAGACTGAGTTACGCGCGATAGCTCCTATTTCATTAGGTTGTGATCCCAGCCATGGCCACCTCAAACGATAGTTCTAAGAATATTTACAACATCGAGAAATTAAAGAACGATGGTCGTAACTATCGAATGTGGTCTATTCGCTGCCGCATGATTCTCGTCGACAGAGCACTCTGGGAATTTGTCGATCCCAGTTCCAAAACCTCCGACAAACCTTCCTCATCTTCCTCTTCCTCATCTTCCTCCTCATCGTCCTCTAGCTCTTCTGGCAAAGCGGCTGCTACTTCCCCTGATCCTGCTGTTGTCGAATGGGATAAGAAAAACAGCAACGCCCTTACCCAGATTGCACTCACCATTGAAGACACCCCTCTATCTATGATTGAAGGGAAAGACTCCGCTAAAGAAGCCTGGGTTGCCCTGTCGAAACGTTACAATGGAGTCGGTGCACAAGATGCAGCTAGAGTGATGACTCAACTTCATCATTACCAACTAGACGATTCCAAACCTCTTGAGCCTCAGCTGATCGAGATGCGGGGACTTCGCGACCGACTGACTAGTCTTGGCAATACTTATACTGACGCCAAGTTTGCTATGATAGTGTCCGAAGCACTACCAGAGTCGTATGATACCCTTAAAACGATAACGTTGGCGGATCTCGACGATGCATCCACGATTGCCTGTGACAAACTCATCGCTCAGATTCTCCAAGAAGAGAAACGGAAATCCAAACCTAGGTCGTCTACCGCTCTAATTGCCAAATCTGGAAAGGTTGCTAGCAAAGAGTCAGATAAGTCGGACGGGAAGAAATCTAAAAAGACTAAAGATCGCCCACGTTGTACAAACACTAACTGTAAATGGAGGTTGGGACACACCTTCAAACAGTGTTGGGCGGAAGGTGGTGGATCTGAAGGCCAACGGCCGGCAAAGTCGAGTGATAAACAAGCCGTGAAGGATAAGAAGAAGGACGCCAAGATCGACCTTTTTCTGGTAGAAGAACAGGTGGCGGTTGCAGGGAGCGATCGTGCACGGATGACTGAATGGGTTATAGACTCTGGGGCGTCATCACATATCTGCGCTAATCGCAATTGGTTCTCTTCATACTCACCTTTACATCCTCCTCGTCCTGTCTACCTCGGCGACAAACGTGCCCTTTTTGCCACTGGTCAGGGCCAGATCGAAGTCATCCTCCACAATGGGACCGAAGATCGTTGCGTCATCATCACTAACGTTCTCTATTGTCCGAAAATCGGTACTAACCTTCTCTCCGTGGCACGCTTGACCTCAGTTGGGATACAAGTTCATTTCTCCGTCCACAGTTGCCGGATCCTCAATCCAAACGACGAAATACTCGGCATTGCCAAGACTTCTGGTGGCCTTTATAGGCTACCTTGTATCGTAACCGGTTTAGATTGTGCGTACATCAGTAGAGATGTCGAGGACGGGAATGTCGAAGCCGCGCTGGTTGCTCGAACAACCACAGCGACAGCGTCTCTTGATGTTTGGCATGCCCGACTCGGACACATCTCGACGCAGTTGATTCTGAAGATGGTCCGGAGTGGAATGGCCAGGGGAATGGAAGTGATCGGGGATGGGAAGGGAAGTTCTACCTACTGTGAAGAGTGTGAAGCGTCAGGCCATACACGTTCCCCCATTCCAAAGTCGACACTTACCCGTTCTGACGAAGTTCTTGGACGCGTTTTTTCAGACGTATGTGAGGTACAGACCGTGACACGCGAAGGGTATCGATACTTCATCACGTTCGTTGACGACCACTCGCGATATCTCACTGTCTACCCTATCAAGAAGAAGAGCGACGCCCTCGAGAAGTTCAAGGAGTTCCTGGCTCAAGCTGAACGTCAATGCGGGAAAAAGCTGAAAATCTTACGTACCGATGGTGGTGGTGAGTACTTCTCTAACGACTTCACCCAATACCTCAAAGACATCGGCATCGTCCACGAGAAAACCAATCCCCACACCCCCCAAGAGAATGGCGTAGCCGAGCGTGTTAACCGGACTCTCGTTACAATGGTGATTGCGATGCTTGAAAGCGTCAAATCCCTTGTTGGACGGACCGCTTGGCCATACGCGCTCAGGCACGCTGCACTCGTCAAAAACGTCGTTCCCCATTCCACCCTTCCTGATGATGTTTCTCCCTTCGAGCTATGGACAGGCAACAAACCATCAGTATCCACGATACGCACCTTTGGATGCAAGGCTACTCTTGCTGTTCCTGAAGGTCAACGGGATAAACTTGCTGCCCGGTCCATTACGGGAATCCATCTAGGTCTCGCCGTCGGCAAAAAGGCCTTTGTAATATACGACCCCGACGCTCGAAAAATCCACGAGTCTCGCGACGTCCACTTCTTCGAGGGTTCACCTGATTCTGAACGTGTTACGATCGAATCTCCTGTGGTGGATTCTCTCTCGCATGTGGTTGACAGGGGGAGTATGGTTGGATCTGGTAACGGGGAGGTAGAGAGGGAAGATGATGATCACAGAAGTTGCATGGATGGTGACGAGAACGGTGGGGAAAGGGACAATGATGATGATGGACAAGTGGATGGATTGAATAGTGTGATCGGTGGAGATGTCGGGGAAGAATCCGTACCGGAGGGACCGCGACGATCGAGACGCGAACGACGCGCGCACACGAGAGATGATGATGATCGATATTTCGTGAGTTCCTATAGCCGATCCAATCAGCCCCATTCCACAGACACCCAACCAGTGGGCGAATCCCACGCCTACGTCGCCCAATCCGATATTCCACTCACCTACAAAAGCGCCATGAACCGCCCCGACTCTGACGCCTGGCTCGAAGCTTGCCAAGACGAACTATTGTCCTTGAAGGAAACCCGGACCTATGTTCCGGTTAGTACTGACGAAGTTGATGTTCGAAATGTCATCGGTTGTCGTTGGGTATTCGCCTTGAAGAAGGGAGCGGACGGCTCCGTTGAACGTTACAAGGCAAGGATTGTTGCTAAAGGTTTTGGTCAAATCTTTCAAGTTGACTATGATGAAACTTTCGCACCTGTGGTCAAATGGGTCTCTATCCGGATCCTACTCGCCATCGCCGCGCGACTCGATCTCGAGGTCCACCAAATGGATGTGAAGACCGCCTTTTTGAATGGCGATCTCCAACATACTATCTACATGGATCCACCAGCGGGGAGCGCGGACTATGGGAAGGAGAATGTGGTATGGAAGTTAGAGAGGAGCCTGTACGGTTTGAAGCAGGCCTCGCGGGAATGGTACAAAAAGGCTAAGAAAGAATTCGCGAAACTCGGCTTTCTCCGGTGTGATTCGGATCATGCCGTGTTCATCCATCGTGGGAAGGGACATGTCTTCTGCATTATCGCGCTATACGTCGATGATCTGATGATCTTATCCAACAATGTCAAGGTTCTTAACGCCAAGAAGTCTCAACTCATGATGGCCTTCAAGATGAAGGATCTCGGGGACATTCATTGGTTTTTAGGACTTGAGATCACACGCGATCGATCCCGGCGCCTAATCTCAATATCCCAGACCCGCTACGTAAAAGACATTCTCTCACGTTTTGGTTTTGCTGACTCTCGTCCGATTTCCACTCCCATCGCATCCAACTTCAAACTACCCCGTCTCGATGCCCCTGAAGTCAATGTACGCGATTATCAATCCCGAATCGGTAGCATCATGTACGCGATGCTCGGTACACGTCCTGATATTGCGTATTCAGTGGGCGCGCTGAGCCAATACTCCGCCAATCCTGGGAAGGAACATCTCGCCGCCGTTAATCGTGTATTCAGATACTTGAATTATTCACGGAACTACAAGCTAGTCTATAACGGTAAAGTTCCCGATGATGATTTTACAGGCTATTCCGACTCCGATTGGGCGGGTGACTCGCGCGATCATCGATCCATTTCCGGCTTTGTGTTCAAGATTGCCGGCGCTGCCGTCTCTTGGAGTTCAAAGAAACAATCGTCAACGGCTCTTTCCAGCACAGAAGGTGAATACATGGCATTGACTCACGCGTCTAAGGAAGCCATTTGGATTCAGCAATTTCTTGGCGACATCCTCAAACCCCCTTCTATTCCTCACACCATCCTCGGCGACAATCAGGGTGCTCTTGCCCTTGCCGCTAATCCCACCTTCCATGCGCGGACTAAACACATTCGCGTCAGACAACATTTCATTCGAGAATGCGTCGACAATGGAGACGTAGAGCTCGATTACGTCCTGACGGCCGATCAGGTGGCCGACGTTCTTACTAAAGGACTTGCGCTGGCTAAACACGACAAGTTCACCAGAGGTATGGGAATTATCGATGGTCATGATCGTTGAGTGGGCGTGTTGGAATATCAACGCTCATCGACAACAGCCGAGCTGCAGCGTGGATTGGGGAGTCTTTATTTTAACTTAATATCGTCGTGACTAACAACGACTATACCTTTTTGTTTCAGAGTCGCGGTACCACGCGCTCCCAATTTACTTTGTCTTATATCGCTAGTTGTCACAGACAATCGCTTTAAGCGATATTGGCTCCAGTCGTATAAGTTACGCTGGACGCCGTAATTTTTCTCCCTCCCTCAGTTCTCTATTTCGAGACTGAGGTGATACCATTTCTTTCCTATCTGTGTTTGCGCATAACTCATTGTATTTTCATGTTATAGTTACGCGCGATAGGTAAACATCTTAATACTAGTTCTCTATTTCGAGACTGAGTTACGCGCGATAGCTCCTATTTCATTAGTCGTTAGCCGCCGTGGTAATGCCAAATACTCCCATTCCACTGTGTTCTTGCATGTTGCTTCTGGGGTGCATCACTATACATTTCGCGAACATGGAACAGTCCATCTGCGCCTGGCGCTGGCCTTCCTGCAAGATCGGGGAGTGTTCGTTCCTGCTGCCGAACTTTACATCAAATCTCACGTAAGGAACCTAGAGCTGAACCAAGATATCTGGATGGGTGTCAGCAACTAGGGTGATTTCTCTGCATAAGAGGGTGGAATCTGCCGCAAGACTTTCCAATAAGTGCGCAATGGGATGAATTACGCTTTGCGGCGATCTCTGGCTGTGAACTGCGCAGCCTCTACTTGAGTGTCACCACCCACTGCGCGGCCGACCTTTGCTCCCTATCCTTCCACCCACCCATTATTGACCATGTCGCTGAAGCAGAGGGTCAATAATCTCCTCGCCGTGGGGGGTGATGTTGCAATTCCAGTTCTCGCCACCGTCAATTCCGCGTCAGGCGTGTTCCCTCCCCTACAGGCTGCCACTAATGCTGCACTCTTCATCCTCACTGAAATCAGAGTTAGTAGCAATTTACTCCGATCCTGGAACGGATGTTGACAATCTGCATTGTGTAGAAGTTCAGGGGAAATAAGGAAGAATGGGAGCGTTTTGGGAAGTATATCGGGGACGCCATGATGAATGTGGTTAAAGCCATCGATTCGTATGATGGATCCAACGAAGAGCCTAAGCCATGGATGGAAGGCGTCAAGAAACTGAGCGAGTTAGTATCTGCTCTACGCAGGCCATAATCCTTCTATAACGTAGGTACTTTGTAGGGCGCTGGAGCGCATTCGGATTGACATCGGTCGATTGCGTGGGAAGATGGAAAGGCAGTCTGGTATCCGCAACCTCTTCTCTCATATGAAGAACCCTAGTAGGATCGATGATTTAAAGAAAGATTTTAGCGAAGCCTTGGCAATGTTCCAGGTAATTCCATTTGATCCCCGGTTATGTTTCTGCTCTGATTTCATTATCGAAACCACATAGCTGCAGACAAACTTGACGGTTGGCGCAATAGCAAACAATCAAGATCGGTTAACTCGTGGAGTAGAAGCCTCAATTCTGAATGAACTCAAATATCCCATTGTCCCCCATCACGATTCAACTCAGCCGTGCCTGAAAGACACTAGGATTGATCTGATTGAGCGTATCATGGCGTGGTGTCGTACCACGGAGGATAGCAAGAATCGTGTATTACTGCTAACGGCCGTGGCTGGTGCCGGCAAGACATCTGTTGCGCTCTCAATCGCAGAGGAGTGTAAAAGAGAAAAGATATCATCGTCAAGCTTCTTTTTCAAAGCAGGCGAGCAGTCACGGCCGGACCATCTGTTCAGCGGCATGGCTCGATCTCTGGCAACCCACGACCCTGCATACCGTACCTCGCTCATATCGACTCTTCAGAAGGACCCAGCCCTCTCGACTGCCCCGTTCGCGACGCAATTCGAGAAACTAGTGGCTGAGCCTCTCCTTCTCACGACAGCACCATCTAGCCATCCTATGGTGATCATCATTGACGCGTTAGACGAGTGCGACATAGAGGCATTCCCACATCTTGCCGACATACTTCGAAAAGAAGTGCCGAAACTACCGCCCAACATCAAATTCTTTGTCACTTCCAGGCACTTCGACCTTGTTGACCGTTTTCTATCGTTGAATTACCCCATCAATCGCCTCACCATCAATCTGTCCGACGATACTAACATGCATGACTGTGCTATCTACATCCGATCGCAACTGCGTGCACTGGAGGATGTGCATGATGATTTGAAGATCGGAATGGGGGAGAAAGATGAATTGGTCCAATGCATATTAGAGCGAGCAGGTGGCTTGTTCATTTGGATCCGTACTGTGTTTGGTTACATGAAGGTCACCGGTGGAGATGCCGCGAAGATGCTAAAGAAATTGCTCGATGATGATTCCAGCCGATCAAAGACCTCTGCAGAGGAAAAAATGGATAGGCTGTATGCGAGCATTCTGGAGAAGTGTAACTGGACGAACGACGATTTCGTGCATGACTACCCGATTGTGATGGGAGCAATCTTAGTTGCACAGCAACCACTATCTGTTGCGGCTTGGGATGTTATTCTGTCACCTCTCCTGGAGTCGGACATCAGACATACATTAGCTCAACTTGCACCCCTTGTCTCAGGAGTAAGGGAACCTAACAAGCCGATTCGTATTCTGCACCAATCTTTTCGCGATTTTCTCACGGACCGAGTCGATCCACAATCACCCATACTTGGTCGGTTTGCAGTGGATGCAAGGAGGGGGGATGCCAGAGTAGCCTTGCGCTGCATTGAAATATTGAATAAAGATCTTCCCACTATGACAGATTTAGGGCTGATTGAGGACTTATCCGAAACGGCTAAGCTGCCACCCATTCCTCAAGAGGTGCTGTCCGAACACGTCCATTATGCATGTCGGCATTTCGTGCATCATCTCAGCCAATTTCAGGAGCCGCTGGAGGCGCCCAATGGGCATATTCACGCATTTCTCAATGAGCAGATATTGCGCTGGGTGGAAGTCTGTGTGAGGACGGAAGGGTACATTAGTATATCATCATTCCCTGAATGGGCCAAGGTGCGTATCATGAGTAGTGATCATTTGGGGCTCTTGTTGAGTCTCATGTTCCTTCAGTTGAACATTGATCGGGCCTCCAAAGAAGTCATTCACATGTTGGTCAAAGCGTTTGGCAATGTGAGGGGAAATCTTGTGTTCTTTTTAAGATTGCAGGAGGCATATGAGTTGGCAAGTGATTCAGTTGCACTGTGCCGTTGCCTTGTGTATATGGACTCAGATTCCTACACCCCGGATTTGGCTCGAGCGCTCCTGAATCTTTTTGTATCACTTAACAAAGCTGGACGCCATTCCGAGGCACTCATGGTGATCGAAGAAAGTGTGAAACTCCGGCGCGAGCTAGTTGCCACCCATCCAACATCATACACCCCAGATTTGGGTCGAGCGCTCCAGAATCTTACAGTGTCACTCTCCAACGTTGGACGCCATTCCGAGGCGCTCATGGTGATCGAAGAAAGTGTGAAACTCTGGCGCGAGCTAGTTGCCACCCATCCAATATCATACACCCCGCATTTGGCTGGAGCACTCCAGAATCTTAAAGTATTGCTCTCCAAAGTTGGACGCCATTCCGAGGCGCTCACGGTGATCGAAGAAAGTGTGAAACTCTGGCGTGAGCTAGTTGCCACACATCCAACATCATACACCCCGCGTTTGGCTCGAGCGCTCTGGAATCTTAACGTATCACTCGACAATGTTGGACGCCATTCTGAGGCGCTCACCGTGATTGAAGAAAGTGTGAAGCTCTGGCATGAGCTAGTTGCCATCCAACCGACATCGTACACCCCGGATTTGGCTGGAGCGCTTGGGAATCTAGATGCATCGCTCACCAACCTTGGACGACATTCCGAGGCACTCCTTGTGAATGAAGAAAGTGTGAAGCTCTGGCGCGAGCTAGTTGCCATCCAACCGACATCGTACACCCCGGATTTGGCTCGAGCGCTCCAGAATCTTAAAATATCACTTGACAATCTCGGACGCCGTTCCGAGGCGCTGCTCGTAAATGAAGAAAGGCTCAGACTCCTGCACCAGTAGTGGTCATTTATCTCATCTCATCCACTCCGAGTTCGGCACAATCATTCTACAGCCTCACCAGCTCATGCAAAGCCATCGTTATGCCAAGCCCCTTACTTTCATTGAAGATTTCGTTGCTATTTGTCGTTCGCTGTGTTACTTGCCCACCATCGTGTGTGTTTGGTGTAGCCTTGGCACTGCAGACTCCATGCCTTGGGCACCGTGTCGACGCACTTGTGTGGCTCCGGAGTCATTATTATACGATCACTAGCTTGATTCCCAATACTCTGATACAAGTCTTCATATTCCCGCGTTGCTCGTGCACCAGATGTATCCATGTCTTGGAAGACGCAAAAAAGCGAGCATGTCTGCAAGCGTCCAGAGCAATATCACGAGGTGTGTTCAGGGCAATCACCCATTCCCCCAAGCTCAAATACAGGCCCGCAAGGCTGAACTCTCCATCGCCATTGTCACATCGCCATCACTCCTCCCAGAAATATACTTGATCAGCCAGAAGACCGACAATCATTCGCCGCATTGAGTGGAACTGGGAGTGCCAAGTTGGCAACCTTTAGTCCTGCCGCGAAGAGGATTGTCCCAGCAACAAAGAGAATTGCATTGCCTAGTTGTGATGTGAGGTGTATCAGCCCAGACGTATGGCAGAGCAGTCCCTACCGTCCTTGTTAACTTCATACTCCATTAATCATGTAGGACTTCAGTCTCGATCTCCATGCACATCTTATTGTCACATCTATAACTACCTGCTCTAAGCCTCAGCTGGTAGGGTTTTCGCGATGATGCTACAGCCCCGAGAGGGCTCCGCATGTCTGCGTATGTGTCTGTGCGGCGTCTAGCTCCACGGTTAAAGATTGGCCACAAGCATCGGTCCAGAGGCCATGTGAAATTCGCGGTGCGACCTCAACGTGATGTCATCAATTGTTGGCCATCTATCAACTAAGCAACCTGGAACTGTGAGGTAGCGTGGCGACGACCCCGATGAAAGTCGAAGCCTCTCAATATGAAGCGACCCGGTTAAGTACAAGTACAGTAATTTTAGGTGGTACAGGGGATGGTGGCGGGTGAGGCAAAAAATACAGAAGATAGCAACAGACGAAGAGAGAACAAAGAGAAGTTACAAGCAACAAGGAAGAAACCGAGAGGGCAAGGGCACCTTCAGTAAGACCGAATACTTACATTCGGAAACAAACGGTTGAACTGTTAACAAAAAAAAGGCAAAGAGTCAGAAAGAAGAAATAGCAGCACACAACCAGCGAACGGAATAAGCATACGGCGGATGCCAGAAAAGATAGGCTGATGCATGCCATAGATGCAAAGCGCTAACATGAACGCAGGCACAGAGGCCGAAGCGCAAGTAAGCGCGAAGGCACGAAGGCCGAAGCATCCAATAGGACACGAACAAAGAAAAAAGAACAACATACCCAATCAAAGAAGCAAGGAAAAACACCTGAAAATGATAAGAGACACAAGCAAGGTCTAATTAAAAAACCCAGGTGTGCGGCGGACACGAGGGAAACCGAGGTGAGCGGGTTAAGCAAACATCAGTTCATCAACAACCAAAAGTCTAGGCAAGATTACGCTTTCGATCAATATACTACCATCACATTTTCTGGAACTACTTCATTCAAGAATGGCCATCCAGGATTTCGGCGCTTCTCCCTGAAGGTAGCCCTGGCCTGACACCCACAAAGTGGCTTACGCAGCGAAAGACATGGAGTCCCGCTTTCATCTGTACGCGTATACGATCAATTTGGCCAGCGACGAACCATTCTTTAGACAAAATTCTTGCTGTTTTCCCTCATCCGATGCTGTCCTTCTGCGGTAAGTACGAACCCGTGAGGGGTGCTTAAAATTTCAACTTTCCGTTTCCTCGGGAAGTTTCTGGCCTGATGACGTATGTCAGACTGAAGGAAGAACGGACAGTCTGCTGACTAACTCGCGCGGAAATCCTCGATTTTCTATGTCGAAGAAGGGATACGCACCAGCGCCTGTGGAGGTCTCCATACATCGTGAGGGCTGGATCCCGACTTTGTCTGAATCGACAGGACATCACCAAGTTAACCGATGCTGCGCACTTGATGACTCATTTCTCGAGGCTGGCGTCAGATCATGAGCTATCGATAATACAGTCATCACCAACAATAGGGATATCATTTAAACCCCGTGATTAGACCGGATTCTCCATGGTCATGCACGGAAATTGGGGATCTTGAAGGTGCCAAGAAAGAAAGGTTCCAAATTTGGACAAGGATGATTGTTTGGCCAACGATACGAGTGGTGTATCTTCGGCCACAATCATGTCAACAGCATTTGTTTTGACCAAGGTCACGCAATGGTTGTCTGTCCCGGCCAACACGTAATACTCGTCCTGAGACCACCAGATATTTACAGGATTGACTAAGACAGCGAAGACAAGGCGTCTCATCATGAGTAGATGGTCTCCTATTGAATTGTTCGGGTACTGCCTTGCTACGCGCTTGAGGCTCCAACGACATCACTTGTAACTTGGAGCCTGAAGAATCATTACACTCGTGCTCTGTCAGACTGTGCTTTCACACTCTCGGATCATTCGTTGCGCTACCCTGTATCTACTTCCTGGTTAGGTCGCCATAATCGCTATTCCCAAGACGAGAACAGCATATTTTCGTTGCTGGTTACCAGTAGGCTGAGTAAACCAGGGGAGGAAGTGCCTCAGACTTCACAGTATATAATACGTTCTTGGTTGCCGCAGTTGCATTGAGCCTCGCGGTGACAGCACATTCTTCGACAAAGGTTTTTTTTGCATGGGGTTCCGCAAATGCAGAGACACGCTTCTTGGACGTGCGCGGAGACACCGTCCGTTCCGAGGATGGGAGTATGGGAATCTGTTCCCTGGCTCCATGAACTTGGACCAAAAATTGCGTAATGGCCACTCCTCACCGTGAAGCCGTCCCACTGGGCATCATCTGTTCAGGGACCGATTTTTCAACAGAGTGCTGACCTCTCGTCTTGGTCCCATTGGGAAATCGGCTCCGGTCTTTAGCTGTAGTTGTGGAGGCTACTCGGTAAGGCCTATGTGCTAGCTGCCTCTCTTGTTCTATCATTGGCTGACGTTCGTGCTTGTGGTGCAGCTCGTTACTATGATCCTTCCCCAGTGCGTCCCATCAATCGTTTCATTTTCCCCGGGGATCATGACTTGAACTGGGACGTTGACCAGTGACAAGAATGAAAGCGTTTCCGGAACTCAGTCCCATTTCTGCCTTTTTTCCGTCTTCTGATTTGTATACGCTTTGTGATGGATTGCGGGTAAAGACGGTGATAGCTCTGACATGGGTTTTATGGTGGAAGGGTCTTCCTTCGAGTCAAGCGATGCTTCACAACAATCCTCGGTCTCCCCCTCATCTGTCTTGACCACGACTTGAAGATTTTTCATGGTGCTTCAGCCTGCCTCACAATAGTTAATCCAATCGACGCTGTTTCTCAGGTAGTGCCTGCGAGATTAATATTACTTTGTCTATCGTTCGCTGTCGGTGTAACCGCTTCATGGCGTAATGCACTGTGTGATGTGTTGTGAGTCCGTACCACGAGATTTGGTTCGAACATTTTCCGTCCGTTACTGATGAGTCCCCAGGTGCAATTCCTTCATTCATTGCTGTGTATTCCGTTACCAACTGCCTTTTTTCGAGAGCGATGCAGGGGGGAGCACATAACTATTGCCTGAACACATCGCGACCGAGTCTTCTCCAACAGTGGCCACCTTCGTCGGGAGGTGATCTTGAATTCCGATCAATGTGTCTGTTGCCAAGCCGGATCCTAATGGCAAGGCAAACGTGCCAACTGGGCCAGTTCTTCCCTCTCCCATCAATGTACGATTTCCGGGTTCCAATGCCCTCCTTCCCGGTTACTTACCTGCAGTTGTTACTGCACTGCCACGGGGGACAGTGAGGGACATCGACATGATGTTTTCCGCCGCAACTTGTTGTTTGGATGAGTTTCTCTCGTGTCGGCCAACACATTCGTCCCCGGGGCGCTTCACCTGCGGATTCCTGTTTTCATGTATGACTCTGAAAATTCCGGTCTAATCTATCTGATGCCCCGAAGTCAGAATCCGTCCTCTACAAGTTGTGTTGCCTTCACAACGAATGGAGACTTCACAATTCAATACCTCAGTGAAGTCACTCTCGCATCGGCTAGAAGATTGACTCTGTAACAGTCCAGCAAGTGCAAAAGAGGCTGATGCGGACGTCTCTCACTCGGTCTTGGCTCTGATCAATTATATGTGACAATTCAAAGGACTCCCCAATAACGAGTCACATTCGATCATTTAAACCATCTGTTCACCCGCTCTCTCACTGTGGCCTCTATATATAGTTTCTCCAGGCGCCGATCCTCTGTTCATGCGCCATGTTGGACGTCAAACCATGACCACGTCAAGGTACGGATATCACTTGTACCCTTTTCCATATGCTATATGTTTCGTCATTTCACTGCACTACCACGTCCGACGTGTAGCGCTTGTTTCCATCTTATTTCCTTCATTCCTTATGCCTGACATTCTCTTTGTTGTTAGCTACACAAACCGGGTCCACGGTTACATGCTATCTATCGGTCCATTTTCCCTCTTCCTCCATCTCGAGTATCCTGATTGAGTACCACGTATCAAGTCACCATGTGCTGCATACATCACTACCCAAGTGTTGGGTTTATATTTTTCCCTATTCGTTGGCTCATACACAACGTGATCTTTGTTGTTGATGTTTGCGTTCAACCGAATAGAGCCTGAGGTGGAGTGCCCCTACCGCAATTAGCGTTGGGCACGCGCGCTTCTCCAACATAGTTTAATTCACCGAACTGACAACCTCAAAAAAAATGACCTCCGAGTCAGCACGAGCTTAAGACGTCTGCCATCTGCCCGACCTCCAACCTGTAGGTCCATCCTCAGTGCAAGGTTCGGGCCAAATGCCACCAACCCCCTCTGTGGCACATCTGAGGCTGAATTTTCTTACGTGTGAGCGGCAGCCGAGCTGTAATAATATGTGGAGAATGCAAGGAGGACCGGCCCTGGTCGACTTCACCTCAGGGCCAGTGATCTGGGAGGCCTCGGAGATTTGCTTGCACGCCATATACTCGGATGCCATACTTGACTACGGTGGTCATGCCCAGGTGGTATGAGTGCGTTCGTCTTTGTGCACGCTCTGTATAGGCTCGCACCCCCCTTGATCGAATCATCATTGAATTTTAGTAGGAAACTAAAGTGCAGAAAAGGAGACATGATCGAATTGATCAAAGGCAGGGCAGAATTGGACGGCTTGTCCTAAGATTTTATAACAATGATCATCAACACAGATGATCTTCCTAGCGGAAACTCGTGCTTGGACCCAAAATCCTACTGGCATCTCCGCGGACTATTCCTATTGAAGAGCTTCTGCATTCAAGGCAATGTAAGCGCGAAGACTGATCTATGCGCTCGACCTTTTTACGTGATACGAAGATATATTACTGATGACATTTCAAGGTTATCTTTCTTTGATCAAGTCGGATCATGGCTAAGACATCCAGGGTCCACCCACAGCTTCTTGAGGTTCTGAGGAGTTCGGATTAGCAGTCGATGAGGAGATGAAAAAAGCACGAGTAGCCGATTGACCAACATCGGCCAAGCCCGACCCGGGCCGGAAACACTAAACGTGTACTGGCTAACTGTCCTTGCTCGCGCAGTGGTACTCGACTGGGATATTTCTGGGACTGATTCCAGATAGATATTCATAACTAGTTCCAGTAATTGATCATGATCTGCGCCTGGAGATAGCAAATCCGGGACAGCAAATGTGGACTGGGTCAGCACAGTTCTGTGCTTCTGTTTCAGCCGCCGGTCTCGCAGCCCCACCAATAACAGACCACGTTACAGTGAGAGGCGCTGCGACAAGGGTCAGGGTACATGACTGTGGAGGCAGTGGCAAAATAACTAAGTGATCTGTCTGCAATGCACCCGGGAATGCGAAGGTTAGGCTAACTCAAAGGGGTCCTACCTCCTTGGATACCACGTCACGGGAACGCCGGACAAAAGCAAACCAGTGACATGTGTTAGAATGGCCATGAACTCGTGGACGTGCGGGTAAAACGATATACAAACAACCTGCGCGACCCGGCCTATATATTGTTCGAGTTGTCTCACCGAAGCGTTTATCTTTCCTCAATGCCGGGACAGAGTTCACACATATAGTAATAATGGACCTCTGTCACGGCTCGGGAAACGCAAAATGGCAGGTGTGAGCCACATGAATGAAATTGCAAATTTGCCCCATGCCTTGCGTATGATGGATGCGAGGAACAATGCGAGGCCCATTCGAGAAATATTGTGTGGGACGTTTCGTTTTGATGTTGCGTGGAGTCGCAAGAGTGATCCCTTGGTTGGGAGAGCAACTCGCCGGTTTGGTCGCTGCTGCCATTGCGATCATAGTGGGAAATCATTGGTGTATATATTTTCCGATAACGTCTTCGAAAATTTGCTATGCGAATCAACTCAAAGTTAGATATGGAAAAAATGCTTATAATCTGCTTGGAAATGGAGGGGATAGCGGTGCGAGGGAGTCATCTCTTCTTCCGCTACTAGCACCATACTCACATCTGCTACGGACATTATAACGTTAGATCTTCTTTCTCCCTTGTCTCCATTTCATCCAACTTTGCTTTCCTCTCTTCACTGCCCCTGGATTCTCAGCGTACAAGTAACATCTGGAACAGATGACGCCTCACGGCTCGCACCTCCTTAACCCCAGCATAGACTGCGATCGTATCAACGTTCGAGTGAGCATATATTTCATCTTTCTAACTTATTTAGTTTTTGAGATATTAAATCAAATCCTTGTCCTATTGTACTTTCCCTCCCATGCTCTCGATTCCAAATCCGCTGGTACCTGTCACTTGGTTCCCCTGCCCCACTCTGGTCATTCTGTTCGTGGACACACAGGTTGGAAGTCACGTTGCATTCTCTGAAGGCGAAGCCCTCATACAGGGCTTCGTCGATCGTATATGCCGAAAGGTGTGCAACGTTTCTTCCTTGCTCCATTTCCATGAACAAACTTTCACCATACTGGATTCTTCGTCTTTACTCTTGTTCGTTCCTGCAGCCGGAGGTCGTCACCCCGTGTGCATGGGTGTATGTGCCGCCAAAAGGGCACTTCAAGATGGTCCCGTGCGTCCTCCTGCCCTAAATTAATCCCCTTCAGTTTCCATAGCACTGATTTTCAATAGGCTGTGTTGCCTCATGGACCCATCGGGACGCCCACTCTAGCGGGGCCTCACCCTGGCGCTGAGAATCCATCTGCCAGTTTGATGAGTCAAGTGGTCGTAAGTAATTCCCAATCGATGTGCAAGAACACAGCGGACAGATCCTTTCAAATGTGCAGATGCAATGGTGCCTGGGGCGTTCGGAGCCATTCGGTTGTTTCCATCCTGCCACTCGCCAATTCGCTCGTCTGTCGACGGACGGGCGCTTCCATCTTACCTGAAACGGGGAAGTGAGTGTTAGGCAGGTGGAATGAGGATGGTGAAAGGATTAATGGGGCCCGTTTCCGTTCTTAAGCACCTCATCTCGGATCATTCCGGGTATGTAGCCGACCCAAGATTGTTCTTCCCCTGATCGCATCGCTCGCTTCACTTCAGCATGTGCATTACCCGCGTTGATCATGCAACGTGCCCCTCCTGCATAGATCCCGAGCTCGAGCCGCTGTTTCTCCCAGCACCCATGTCTTATGGATGGTGAAGGTGACAATATTGACCTTCGGGAACATACACGTCTCGGTTATATATAGCCGATTCCAATTTCTCTTCATATCTTTTCGTCAGTTTTTCTGTTGTGTCGCTCTGCTACCCGGCTCTATCCCCGGTTTCTTCCTTCTCCGCATGTGGTGTTTTCTGCTGTTCGTTCGATGTCCCCGCGGCCGTGTATGTTTCTACCCCCACAATCTGAATGAGCTCAATCCAGAAGTGCCAGTGCTCTTTCACACTACAACAGCCTCCGTACAATGCAACAGCGTTTGCTTGACATCCCACTATGTAACTCTGCGATCCTCCTCTTGTGTCTAAATGTCGAACCCTCGCCCCTGCTTCAGAAGTTGCGCCATATTCCATTCCCAACGATACCTCACCATTCTCAGGTATGGTATGCGACCTGTGAAGATGATCGCTCTCCTCGGTGGGAGTTAACCTGCTTGCAGTATTGGACAACGGTCCGATGTGTGTAAGGGTCACGCGGGATCGTGACAACCATTGGCACAATGCTCGTTTGGCGTCTTGCCTGTCCATCCTCTCCTTCCTCCGTTCAACTCCATTCCATATCCTCTTCCCTATTTACCACTGATTCTCTCCGGGAGCACGATACGTTGACGCTTTGACAGAGGCAACCCTTTCACTCAATCACCCGAGTGGTGTGAGCATGTTCCGCATTATCGTGTGGGGGGCGTTTCAGGATTCAAATTCTCAATCCCCGTGTTTCTTCTCACTCGCAATTTGTCCCCGTCTCTGTGCCCACTCGACCTTGCTCCTCTGAAAAGTAACGTGTAACATTCCAGGGCGGACCTTAGGCATGACCCAGACAAGACGCTGCTTCACGATCAGCAAATAAGTGACATAGGAACTGTCTGAATGATGCTATCTATCGCTTTCGGGTTTGAGAACTATCCAGGTAGTTGAGTCCTGACTGACTACCTTCTCTGGAGCTAAAGTCGCCGGCCTTCGCACTGAGCATTCATCGGTGTCCTTATTGCTTTAGACTCAATCACCGCTACTCGTTGCTGAATCCTCAAGACTTCCGCGAGCCCCAGCCGAGTATACGTGCGTGGCAGGCAAGTCAGATTGCCATCCTGGCACGCAGGTCGGGATGCAAGAATCGATACTTGATCATTTAAAGAACCGGTTTGTTTGGCTGCATGGTTCTCCAGTGACTGCGATCTTTATGAGCGTGGCATCTAGTCTAGAGAAACAGGATGCCCTGGCGGCGTTCTTCTTTTGAGATAAGAACCGAACGGGCACACGCCTTGATTCCATTATTTAACCAGTTCCCCTCTACCCTTGCGCACCAACTTACAGCCCTCAACGATGACTTCAAGATATCGCTTGTCAGATAGCTTTGCCAATCAGGCTTGGCCTTAGTCCAACATCTCCCTCTGGATCGACAGATGAAGGCTCCCACCGTTGAGCCTGTGCGGAACTTGATGGAGACTCTGCCTCCGGGGGTAGACCACCTCATTATCGTCTTGGATTGCTTAGATAAATGTGAGAACCAGGAGGTGCTCAAGACCTTGTATTCGCGCTTCATCACCTACTGACCACGTTTGCGGCACTAGCGAGTTATCGGCCGGAGCCTCGAGCCGTTCCGGCTCTTGCCCAAGCTAACTACGTCATCCCATGTGAAGACGTGGGTCTAATCGACAAGGATGAGGCTTCTTCACTATCCGTATGGTCGAGGAAGGGCTCCGGGATTGCAGCAAAAAATCCGGGTGGAAACCATCTGAGGAAGATCTCGACGCCTCTGTTTCGGCTTGTCGTGAACTACCCATTACCGTCTCAGGAGTCGGGAAGTGTGCTTTCAGACTCAGCGTGGCCGTGCTCTGCAACTGGAGTCCCAACATTACCGTGATCTCACGGATACAACTCAGAGCACCTGCGGATACTGCTTCCACGAGCCCACACGGTTGATTCGTCCAGAATTCATCCAGACGTAGACCAAGGAGTATCGACTAGTGATTAGGATGATTGTGGCCGCTCGCAAGCCACTCGGTGTGTTATTCATTGTCTAAGCGTCTCAAGATTCCCAAGGGTAAGGTTCATGCGATATTAGACCCAGTTAGTTTCATCGTTGACCACCCAAAGAGGTCAAGTTCTGCCTTGCAAAAAGAATTACTCATTACTGGCCCTCCAATCGGCAATGAAAATGACCGTGTGTTCTTGATAGTTTAGGATACCGACTTGGCGTGCCAAAGTTTGTGTGTCATGATGAAAGCATCGACGCAGGAGATGGACTGCTGGGCTGAACGGTAAAATGTAAAGGTCTTGGGGAGTTGGAGAAATTGGTTATAGGAGTTTAACTCGAGCTTCGTGCTAAGGACAAATGTAGGGGCAGTATGAAGAATTTGGGCCTGCCCGATAACTAATGGTGGGATCAACCAGTTCAAGTGGACCTTGCCACCCTGTGGGCCGAGAGTCAGGCGGCAAGTTGGAGATCATCATGGGATCGTGCTCGCGGTTCTTAGCGTTGCGCTACGAATGTTTCCTGACGGACCAGGATGAAAAGGTGGGGCTTGGTTTAGTCGATCAAACTATATTATGACAAAGCCTGCACCTATGGATCCCGGATAAGTTCAAGGGGAGTCGGGATGCTCAACCTCAATTCTCGTCGAGAGCACACTTCTATGGCAAATAATCCATGTGGGTTAACGAATAGAAAAAGATGTGAACTCAAGACTTGGGTAGGGGGACGTATTAAATGGCGAGCGATTAGAGAATCGGTGCCAGGGCCCATCCGTAGTAGAGACCACAGCAGAGGACCGGGTGAGGAGATGATCTAAATGAATACGATTCATAATTGGGTCAGCGCGAGGGTGCTGTCAGTGACTAGTGGAATCCTCCTTGGCGTGCCGATCTGGAAGAAAGCCCAAAGATGTGGGTATCCACTGTTATCAAGGATCGACAAGGGGTGCATGGATAGAGGAACAGGAGCATTTTATCTTTGTTATAAAACTTGCGGTAAGCTGGTTGTGTTGACGTCAGGTGGAATGCTCCGGTGCCCAGTGAATACCATTATCATTCTCGACAGCAGCGTTCCACCCACGATGATCCCAATCCCTCCAGCGTTGGAGAAATGAGCCATCAGTGCACCGTTCATGGCTTGGTGATGTCCTGTCGATTCAGGCGAAGGTGGGGTTCGTCGTTGTGTGACCCTCACTCCACAAGCATATGTATCCCCTTTTCGATAAGATGTTCGGTACAATATAGTGACCGCGAACGTCACGGGTGATGCCGCATGTGTATCGATCACAAAGCCGCCGACATGAGTGCCAATTAGCAAGCTTTGCTGGGGATACATGAAACAAACCCGATATCTCTCTAGGTGTTAGGGGCTAGGACCAAAGGTTGTCCTTACACTTTATATCTTATCGTTCACACTCGTAGGCAGCCCGACACTGTTTTGTCTACGTTGCAATCCACCCGTCAAAAGGCTTGCTCAATAGCTAGTAGGATTGTCTTGGTGCATATTACTTAAATGGGCTTTTGAATACTTATTCTGTTTCCCAAGATGGAAACATGTTGCCGACTGCACTGGTGCCATGCCTCGCAAAAGAAAAGCCCCACAACCTGTGGCTACACCCCATCACAGTGGCGAGGAGTTGCTACAGCCCTCGACTTCCTCACCTCGGGTTCCTGAGATTCGTGTCGTCAGAGCTCGGACAGCCCAACCCGACGACGAAAGTGGTCATGATGAACCGGGTGGATCTTATCTTGAGCCTCCCGGGGCTCGTTCCCGTTCCAAGGTTTCAAGGTGGTATATGAGGAAGCTTTCACGCAAAAGCTCGGGTCCCGACCGACCGGGCACACTGGATCCGCAAGATTCTGTTCTTCCATCACTTGAGGACTCGGAGCTATCGGAGTCTCAGTGTTCGTCACCACAGAACATCGATAGTTCTCCTTCAGCGCCTAGCACACACTTAGTCCTTGATGCGAATACGAGCCTGCGAACACGACTTGAGCACGCAGGTATGGGGACAGCTCTGCCTCCCCCATCGAACTCGACGTCATCATCATCAGCGGGGCCAGCTGGTGATGGAAAGAAACCTACCGTTAGCGCCATAAAATTCATACTCCAAATCGCAACCTCTGCTCTCAAGATTTCCCCCGTTCCATACCTCAATGAAATTCCGGGCCTCCTTCTCACACTACTCCAGGCTTGCGAGGTTCGGTTTTCTTTTGAGACCAGCGGTGGCATGTTCTCTGACTTTCGCTCCATCTTTCCAGACAGTTGATAGCAATAACGAGAACCTTAAGGGTCTAAATGATGAAGTTCGGAGCGCTTACACCACCATCTTGCGGCCCCTCCAGCTGTGTACAGGCCAAATCCCTTCTGAAGTCGTTTTTCTACTGAAAGAATTTCACTCGTACGTTGCCTGTCCCTCTTTGATCACTTGTTGAATTCCCAAACCCCTTGACAGCACGCTGGAGGAACAGATCAAGCATATTGACTCACTGAGGGCTCAAGGGCTTATGAAGAGAATAATACTGGCCTCAAATATAGCCCAGAGCATAAGCAATGTGAACGCGTGCATTAATAAGGCTATCGCTTCATTCTCAGTCTGTTTATTGGTCTTCAAGTTGGATGCTAGCTGATTGAGTAATTGACAGACGGAAGCAACGACGTTGACACTCCTCCAGACCATACAGTCGTCGATGCAATGTATGTCTCGATTCCCAAACTGGGGCTCTTCTAATCGTGCTTTCAGCTGAGCTCTCGAGACTGGGCCGAGTGCCTGCCGAGCACACCTATGTACAGAGCAAGTCAGAATGTCATCCCGGCACTCGAGTTGGGATGCATCAATCCGTACTTGGTCACTTGAAGGAAAGCACGAATCGATTTGTCTGGCTGCGTGGATCTCCCGGAACCGGGAAGACTGCAATATGCATGAGTGTTACATCCACTCTTGAAAGCCAGGGTACCCTGGCAGCATCATTTTTCTGGGATAAGAACCAAGCGGGAACAGGCCTTGATTCTATTGACCAATTCCCCTCTACCCTTGCACATCAACTTGCAGCCTTCAACGAAGACTTCAAGATATCGCTTGTCAGACACCTTCGGCAACCATCCCTGGCGATGGCCCAACATCTTCCCCTGAAAAAACAGATGAGGGCTCTTATTATCGAACCTATGCGTAACCTGATGGAAGGACTGCTTGCGGGAGAACATCGCTTCATCATCGTTTTGGATGGCTTAGATGAATGTGGGAGTCAGACGAAACTCGACACCTTGATGGACCTTGTCTTTATGCTTCGCGACCTACCGACTACATTTGCCATATTAGTGAGTTGTCGGCCAGAGCCGCAAGTTGTTTCGGCCTTCGCTGAAGCTAAAGATTCGGGTTACGTAATACCATGCGAAGACGTGGATCTAATTGAGAAGAGTGAGACTTTCTTCACTGTCCGTTGCATGATCGAGGAAGGGCTCCGGGATCGCATCAAAAAATCCAAGTGGAAACCATCCGAGGAGGATCTCGACGCTTTTGCTTCAGCGTGTCGCGAGTTACCTGTTATCGCCTCGATCCGGGTTCGGGATGTAGGCTTTCAGACTCAGCATGGCCGTACTCTTCAATCGGAGTTCCTATATTACCGTGATCTGACCGATGCACCTGCTGACCTTAACTCGGAGTACCTGCGCATATTACGACGTGCCTATATGGCTGATTCGTCTGTAATTCATCCAGACGTGGCTAAGAAGTATCGCCTAGTGGTTGGGATGATTCTGGCCGCTCGCAGGCAACTTAGCTTGTATTCATTGTCGCAACTCCTCAGGATCACTGAGGATGAGGTTTGCGCGATATTGGAGCCAATTAGCTCCATAATTGATCTTCCCTCGAAGAGCGGGGAAAAAATCAAGTTCTACCATGCAACCACAAAAGAATTCATCACTGGTCCCCCAATTGGCAATGAAAATGACCATGTGTTCTTTATAAACGATCCGAAAGGGTATTCCTTTGGATTACCACTCCTTCAGTATTTCAACGACCTTTGTGAGCAGAATTGGTTTCGCATGCCTAGTCCTCCATTAGGAGACGAGGAGAAATGGGGTGATTTTCGGAAGCACAGAGATTCTCCACCCGTCAAATATGTTGTCAAATACTTATTCTGGCACTTGGACCCCTCGAAACTCTTTTCACAGGAGTCCAGTGAGTTGGAGAAAGAGTTCCATCATTTTCTTTCGCAAAATCTTCTTACATTCAAGATGGTGTCAAGCTCGCCCCCCGCGCCGAGCGAATTGCTTCGGGTCAGTGTATGTCAAAGTCAATCTCGTCTGTACAACGTTTATGTGATGTCACTTTTGACAGAATCGTACAACTGAACTTCTGAAAGAAGTCAACCGAGCCCCAGGCAATCCATGGGATCTCTATCGATCATTCCTCCCCTTCACCCCATCCTCATCACCCCTCCGCAAAGTATGTGGGCATCGTTTCGATCCCATCCGCATCTTCAGCATTTCCGGCGAGTTTTCCGGACACATGATTCCCTTAAGTGAGAAGGCTCTCGGTGCTCGAAAGCTCATGGAGGCGAAGCTGGACGAATGGCAAAAGAAGTCTGGTCAGGGGAAAAAAGGAGGGATTGATTATGAATCCGCATTTTGCGAACCTGATGTCCGCAATGGCGTTGTCACATGTGCAGCAATCTCTCCAAATGGTCATTATATTGCACTTGCCTTTGGTAGTGGTATCATCGAGATTTCCGATATTGATAAACAGCATGCAATCACCCGGTTTGAATGCGATCCACCTTGTTCTCCAGCCTGGGTGGAGTTCATCCACGGTAACCTTCGCATCGCTACCGAGGATATCAACGGTAACATCACCATCCTTGACCGTGGTATGGAGCCCATTATACTTGGCACTCTTGCCAGTGGGCACTATCCAGCTGTCACTGTAGTGTCGGACAATGGACTGTTAATAGCACGAGCTCCGCAAGATCTTGACGGGAGTTGGTACAATGCTATGACACTCTTACACGTTTCGGGCGATCCCCGTATTCAACTGCTTGCCCCTCCCAATGTTCCTATTCTTCCCCCAGATTTCCGTCTACCCGTTCCTCACCGTCACACAATTGGGTTCTCGCCCGGAGCGCGATATATCGGTGCTTTTGATGGGGCCAGTGCCTTCACCTGGTCGACAGAGTCATGCGATTCCATTGCATACTATCATGTTACGAATTTTTCGACATGGTTTCTCAACCCTGGAATTGACCCCCCTTGCTCATACTTCATCCCTGATCTCGCGTCCATTCAACGCCCGAGTGAGACAGATTACTTACAACATCCCGCGACGGACCGAGAGTATGACTCAGATGAGTCCTGGATCAAGTGCCCATTTTACGACCTCCAACGAAGTCTACAGGAGCCTGTTGAAGCGAATTATTCGTCTGCAACAGGAAGAGCCCTACTACACGGACGTTTTTCCGAAGGCGAGCATTTGATGCACTCGTTTGTATGGTTCAATGGCAAGCGTACACTCGAGATTCCAACAAATTATGTACCGATCGCCTGCAAACTGCCAGCCAATTCAAATGAGCCGGTAGCCTGGTATGGCGACCGAGTGCCGGGACGCTGGCTTGGTGATCAATTGCCATTTAGATTTGAAAGTCCGTACTGTCCTAGGTCCAGCAGGGATGGGACTCGATTTGTGCTCCAGGGCCGGATGAAAGCCCCAATTGTCGTCGACATTAGTCAAGTCATTTAGTGTATCTGCATAAGCTTGTTAATTTTGATTCTTCCACACCGGTCTCCGGGTTTGGGTGTGCTTGTGTCTCATGAGAACATCACAACAAGCACGTCGCTAACGTAAATTAGTCGTAACGATTGTTATATTATGACGTTGAACGAGATTACTATTCACAACTAGAGGGGGAGAGCATACTATGGAGGTTCGGTGGTAAAGCGCGGGGAGGGAAGTGTGCCGAACCGTGTGTCGAACAACGATTCGAGCATATCCATCCCGAGAGTCGAGAGTCAGGCGGCAGGCCAGATATCGCCGAAGGGTTTCGCTCAGGGCTCTTAGAATTGCGTCACGAATGTTTGAAAAGTTGGGGCCTAGTTTGGCCAATCAAGCTATATTAGATAAAAGCGTGCATCTATCGCTCCCTCACCCAAGAGTAGTCAGACTTTAATTCGTGTCGAACACGCCTCCACCACGGAGATTGCATTGTGTGTGGGTCAACGAATAGAATTATATACGACCCAGTGTGTAGGACATGAGAGACCGACACCGGGGGTGGCTATAGCAAAAGCCACAGCAGGGAAACACGCGAACAGATGGTTTAAATGGATATGGTTCGTCACAAAGTCGAGGTAAGAGTGCTTTGCTTACTAATAAAATCCTGGGCGCCGGAAGGACTTTTCCTCTGGGCGATCAGAATCCTGCTTAGCATGTCGATTCAGAAGCAAGCTCAAGAGTGCAGACTGCACGGCACCATCAAGAATCGACAAGAGACCGACGTACGGAAAGAGGAACGAGAGCGTTTTATCCTTACCACAGCCACGAGTAAGCCGACCCGATGGGGAAGTTGCTCCAGAGTTAATGTTGATGTCAGATGGAAAGACTGAACACACTGTAATATGACAAAACAGTGAGGAACGTTCCTCCCGAGACAGGTGCGGAATTTGGTTAAGATTGCTCTCATGCCGTGGTTGTCTTGGCTGACAAGAACCCTAATTGGAGACGAAGTAGACACAGGGAAGCACAAATAGTGATTTGGGCCAATAGCGACAACTGGGAGTCAGAGGCTGGTCGTTACAGATTAATGTTGCGCTGAAGAAGTTCGTTCGCTTGCACGGCTTCTTCCATAGGGCGTTCGAGAGTTGGGGTGTTTGGCAGTCTGTCCATCAAGTGCCATAGGGTGTAGCAGCCATGGCATAAATTCTGGAGGAGGCAGAGCCTTGCCTCTCCCGTTACAGTGGCCGGGAGGGTGGCGATCCTTGGCCCGGTCGCGTCCCGTCGGCGCGTCGCATGGTGGACAGATGAAATGGCCCCACCAGGAAGGCACGAAAGATTCAAGTCAAGCCAAGGTGCCTAAGGAGCAAATCTTGGAAGTACAATTTGGCAGGACTTTTATAGCTACCAGGAACTTACAGTTAGGTGCGAATGCTAATCTCAGGGATTGTGACTGTCAGGGGTGCTGCCTAAGTTATGGGGCCAAATATTTCCCGATCACCGAGGGAGTCACTGCGTCCGATCAAATCCCCAGGGGATATATGATACGGTTCAAAACGCAAGAGAGAGCAGGAACGACTCTCGGAGAGAGAGAGAAGAGTCTCCCCTACCCATGGACATTAAACAATCCGGCCGCAGAGGATCACCGAGAAGGGACCATCCTTAAAGCATGGATAGGTGTTACCAAAGCGCTTGAGCAGCCATCCTCCCGAGGGCGCTTTGAGCATTCAGCTAACTATGCCAGTCACACGGCTCCATCCCTGGCCGGATCCAGTGTTCAAACCAGTGCTTCCTCACATTTTCTGGGTCACCCTATAATTGTGCATGGGCGGCTCTCTTTATTGCCGGGACATTAAATGGTCTGAGCCTTCGGATTCCCCGTTTTAGTAGGAATGAAGATGGCTGATGATGAGAGGTATGCCAAACTAGAGATTCGCGCAAGCGTGATCATCATTCGTGTCAAGCGCTCGCTCAACCAGCCCGTTTGGCGCGGAGCAGAGAAGGGATGGAAGGTCGAATTGCAGAAATAACGGCTTCAGAGTTAATACGTTTCACCCCAAAGAAACCCTCAGCCAGAAGTGAGTAGGGTACCCAATAATTCTGGACCCGGGAAATGACATGCGCGGCTATATGCGTTAAGATCCGAAGTTCAGAATCTTTAGTGTTGAAGGAGAATTTGACATCCACCCTCATCTCCCCGCAACTTGTATCCAAATCCTGCTCAATGCAAAAGTCTCGGTACCTGCGTGAAGCCGTGTGCGCGCTGCTACGCCAAGAGACCTTGGCCTGGCACAAGGTGGAACTCGACTCCTTGCGGTTCAAGGGCAGCGGGCATTACCAGACATGCAATGCATGAAATAAGGCGCGTGCAGGCGACCTCGGTCGTCGTGGCACGGCTGTGGCTAGAAATGTCTTGGTGCCACCGAGGTCATTGTGACGACAGCCAGCTTCTGCGAGGACAAGGCATTCTTTCGTCAACAACTTGTCTTGCAAAATTACAAAGATCTTCAAACACTTCTTGCTGGAAATAAATTACACGACGTTGAATTCCATGATCAGAGACAGTGTCAACAGTGACTTTGAAAAAAAATCGCGAGTTAGCGTCACAGCCAACTGAGTGGGATCATGGGGAAGAACAAGACGAAATCTATACTCACTCGCGATGAGAAACAGCAAGAAAAATAGAAATATTGCTCACACAGCTCAACGGGGACCCTTCGTCCTAACACTGCCCCCCAACCCCAGCTTTTTCTGTCGCTAACGACTTTTCATATAATTTCTCCAGACTGTCTACACCAAAGCCTCCTGGTGCGCGGGCGCGCCTGAAACGGCTGGAGAAGGAAGCCTCGAGTCCCGCAAAAGGCATCTCATTAGAAGGCTCATCGATGCTTGTATTGCAATAATCTACCCGTAATTCGAGTTTGTGAGTTAAGATGCGTTCGATCCAGTCCGCTGCCACCACAGTCTGAGCGTCGTCAAGCGGCCGGCCATCATAACTGATACGGAAGTACGATAGCCGTTCGAAAGCTCCCTGACCCCCAGGTAGAACACTTCCAATAAAATCAAGTAATCTGTTGAGCGTCTCGCAGGTTGTCTGGCACTCTAACATGACAACATTCATGCATACGAAGAGGATTGCAATGGCAGGGATGGCGCTCAGCAAAGTACTCGCTGATACGGAGAGAGTGCAGAGAGGTGGTCCATGTCCATCTGATAACCACTGTGGTGGGCGCCGTATCAGGTCAAGAGAAGGGTGGCGATCTGTTCGAAGAGAGAGGTGGCGAAGCGAAGGGAAAGATAAACAATCAAAGAAATACTTGTGCGAAGAGGAGCAAAGTTTGACGCTGGTGAGTGCTGGCAGTGTCACAGGGGAACCGGCCGCGAGGGCGACGGATCGGCCACGGGATGTGACCAGAAATTTATACCCTAATTCCAAGTGTTTAATATTGACGGCGTTATTGAAGAATTCGTTACAGGCATCCAAGGAGTCTACCACGCCGTCAAGCACGCAAGTGCGAATTGACGATGCCATAGACTTGCTGAAATCTGAAATAGCACTCAGTCGACTGACCGGTGTTTGGATTTCCAATGTGTCAAGCTGGATCTCAGGATCATCCTCTTCGAAGAGATGACCGTCCCAACAGTAGTCGATGCCAAACACCTTCAGCTTCTTCAAATTCCGAAGCTTCCCTGGAAGAGGGAAAAAAATGTTTATGCATCCTGGCCGTAACGTGAGTAGGGTGAAATCCTCGCATGTCTCTAACGCAGGACCAATAGCTTCCTGGAATGCGGATACAGGAATCTGATCCCGCGGGAAGGGGGGTGGGAGGCAAATGAAAATGGTTGTCTTCTTCGTCTTTGCACGCTGAAAAAACAGCTTGGCGATATTGAGTGAATTGAGGCAACTCGCTTTATCAGTGCGGCCTGGCCTGATGAGGACCCGAAACCACAAGGCAGGAGTCTCGATCGCCACATTACGGAGCCCAATGGATACCGATGTGATAGTCAAGAGCGACCTCAGCAGCCTCTTCCAATTGTCCAACCTGAGTAGGATATCGGTGTCACAGCCGTAGGTAAGAATCATGGAGACAAGCTCGATGCTAAGCTTATATAGGGGGAGTGACGAGTTGGGGCTGCTACTTCTAGCAGACGCGAAGGTGCTCATATTCCGGTTGAAGCACTGGATTCTATGGGACGGTGCAACTGCAACTTGCTGGTTGCTGGGGTTGACGCTGGGCAGCCTCTAGAAGTTGACGCCGACTGCCTTCCCGCGGAATTAGCCGAGTATCAGTAATCTTGCATTCATTTCATCGTCGGAACCATCCAACGACGAATAACAGTGTTGAGCCATGTGAAGAGGTCCACTAGTGCTGAGCATGTTATGCCGAGTCCACTATTAGAATTAGAGTCGACGTACCACCTATCAGAGGAACTAGCGTCGTTTATGTAAGCGCTCAGTTGCAGTCACTGTGTGAACTAACTGTAATCGTAGTTACCTAGCGTCGTATAAGCGCTAGGAAAATATGTACAAAATGTTGAGCTATGCAAACACACGCCTCAAGAGAAAAGCTGTCTCGCCTCAGTTCCTGTTATGTGAACTGAGGAGAGCGGAGCGAAAAATTGGTCGAGGTGGCTTTTAATCCACAACTGAGTCCATCAATGCGGATTGCAAGAAAGAAATCACGATGCAAATGTGCGTGCGCAGCAACTGTGGTACGTGGACCCCTACTCCATCTGTGAGCATAGAATTCTCGATCTCGATGTGCAATGCCTTTTCATTCTGTTCTGTCTGGAAACATTAGCTGCACGACTACGTAGTTTCTGATTGAATTGTTCAAGTGTGGCCATATTGCATAGTCTCAACCATACCCACAGCAGCTTCCCCTTGAGCGTTTGGCTGGTGATATAATCATCATCCCGGGCTTCAGTCGTTACCTCGCCCAAGTCGTCTTGTATCGGCCAATACATTCACCCTTGTCAGATTTGGAACCCTTCTTTCTTGGCACTTTAAGATTCCGTATTTTCATGCATAACTCTGGAGGTTCTATATCCGATACTCCTCTCTGGATCGACGATATTCGATGAATAGCCTTCTCATTGTGTTGCTGATGACGGTCGTCGACAGCAGCGGTACCACTCGTAATCCTACCCGACCTTTCCAGCGTCGAGTCGTTGGGTTATAACTCTTGGTTACGTCCCGCCGACCCAGTCGAAGTCGAAATCCGTCCTCTGCAAGTTGTTTGGTCCACGTCGCGCGTAATGGAGCCTGCCGCACGTGGATGCCATAAAGCTGACATGACTCTGAGCACAGGGACCGAGTGGCGGGCTTTGTCGATCGAGCGCATGATGGCTGCTCTCTGCTGCGGAAAACCTATGGTCTGGTGAATAAATCTTTTGATTAAGGAAGAAATTTCCAACATCACCGGCTTGTTATCATGACTCGCGCACCAAACTCGCGTCCTGGGTGAAACAAGCTCAGTATTTTTCTAGATAATCAGCGCCGAGGCCAAAGGTCGTCTGATTGCCTACACATTACACCTTCTCGTTCGCAGTCGAAGTGTTGCTCGACACTTGATTGCTTTCTCGCAATCGACACACTTGGATTTTCACAGGATAGTACGCAGTGGAAATGAGTGAGACCGATAGTTATTTAACGCTCATCCGTGCATTAATACTGGGGTGTTGTGACCTGTTCAATAATGGGGTCATCTGGTCCTCGGTTCATTTCCTCCTACGCCCAACCTATTATTGCTTTCGATTTCTTTGCCAACAATGGTGCACTTCAAGCTGTAATCTCGCGTCAAGAAAGTATCAGCTTGACATTGTGGCACATAAGCGTGAAATAGCCAACGGTTTCTCCGACGATGGTCTCCAGGCCACCTCTGTTTTAATCCTTTGGGTGCTTCTGATGATATAACTTATCCATACACGCGAGTCCCGTTGGCCGAGTTGCCTACCATTACATAGCTCTTACGAGAGACCATGTCAGTTTTATGTACATCTCACCGTCGCTGGGATGTGTCGTCCAGCGGTCTGCGTTGCGAAACATCCAAGCTTTTTGCATATACGTGCACATAGGCCCCCATGTGTGATTTTGTCTCATTCAATGCTTGCCCTGTCTGTCTATCCAGCTACCGACTTCATTTATCTCCACAACAATCCAGCACTTACTCCCCCGTTTGTCGGACCATCAGCGTCACACCCATACAAGAGTTTCTCGATAGTGTGGGCCTTTGACCTGGCACATCGACACTCTACCTCCTCTTGATATTGCCCTGGGTGCCTTTCCAGGAACCTTCGAGCTTTTCGCTGGACGGTGAACTCCCCCAATGCAGAGTAGTGTTAGGCGTAGCTGACGGAACCTCGGCGTCCATAGACTGAATTACTTCTGTCGTGCCAATTCTGCTCCAAGCATCATAACGTCTGACACATTTGCTTCTGAACCGTGCGTCACTAAATATGCACTATCTATCTACCATTCACTGCCAAACGGCCACAGCGCTTTTCTCCAAAGCCGTCATCACTTGCCAGACGCTCTTCCCCTTTGCTTGGAACCCTGGCTAGAACGCAATACTCTCACCCCCCGGACGTAGCATAGCCGAGGTCTGTGAGATGAATTAGCTACACAGCACTATGCACGCTTGGACTCCGCTGAGTGGCTCTTCAGCTGCGGCCCAGGGCTGGAGACCTTAAAGCACAGCACAGCATACGCGCATATCAAATAGATTTCTGAATGTTCGATTTCTAAAGATGGGACATGCTACCAGCACCGCTTCACCCCATTTTCTCTCCATTGAACTCCCACTATATCCAATGCAAGGGCGCTTAGTGGAGCTCCACACCGGTACTGCTATTTGATATAGATCATGTGAGCGCAGCAGAGCTCCCCTCCACTCCTGCCGCTGCCGACTACACTAGTGTCATGCCTTGCAAGAGAAAGTCTCCACCCCCCCTCTCAACATGCAACCCTCGCGCTCCATTCGAGCCGTCAGCATCTGTCACAGCCCCCGACTTCTCCACTTCGGATTCCCGAGATTCGTGTCGTCAGAGCTCGGACAGCAGAGTCCCATGGACCAGGAGGATTCCAGCTTCGGCCTCCCAGGACTCGGGCTAGTTTGGGGCCCTCTAGCCGTTCCGAGGCTTCAAACCAGCGGGCGTCCCTAGGGCAACATATGGGAAGGCCTTTACGCGAAAGCCCTGATCCCAACCCATCAAGCGCGTCAGGTCCGGGGGGATATGTGCCGAGCCCGTCCGTTCCTTCATCACCTGAGGATTTGCCGTCGCTATCCCGGCCATCGTCACCCGAGTGCATCGATCACTCTCATTCGGCGCCTAGCACACACACAGTCCACGATACGAACTCGATCCTCCAAACGCGACTCAGGCGTGCAGGTATGGAGATAGATCCGCCCCCCCCGTCAGACTCGATGTCACCAACACCAGCTGGCTCGGCTGGTGATGAACGAAGCCGACCATTGGCGCCATAAAACTTGTACTCCAAACTGCATCTTCTGCTCTCAAGATTTCCCCCATTCCATATCTCGGTCAAATTCCGGACCTCCTCACGCTGCTCCAGGCTTACGAGGTTCGAGCAGTGCTTTGTTTTTGCGATCAGTGATGACATGTTTCATGACGTTCCGCTCCCTCTTTTCAGACTGTTAACAGCAATAACGAGGAATCTCAAGAGTCTTATCGGCGAGGTTCGGAGCGCCTACACTACAATTTTGCGGCCACTTCAGCTATGCACCGGTCAAATTCCTTCTGAAGTTATTTTTCTACTGAAAGAATTTCACTCGTACGTTGCCTCCTTCGTTGGTCGCTTGCTGAACCCCCGTACCTCCTGACAGCACGCTGGAAGAACAAATCAAGCATATTGAGTCCCTTAAGAATCAAAAGCATATCGTGAGAATGTTATCAGCTTCAAACATAACCCAAACGTAAGGAATGTGAAGGCGTGCATTAATAAGGCGATTACTTCGTTCTCGGTTTGTTTATCAATCTTCGAGGCATTGGATGGTAGCTGATTGAACACTCCACAGACGGAAGCAACAACGTTGACGCTCCTTCAGAAAATTCAGTCGTCGATACAATGTACGTCTCGGTGCACATGTTGAGGTTCTTTTTTAATTGTGCTTTCAGCTGAGCTCTCAAGACTTGGCCGAGTGCCCGCGGAGCACACCTACGTACAGAGCAAGTCGAAATGTCATCCCGGCACTCGAGTCAGGATGCTGGAATCGATACTCGATCACTTAAAGGAACCCAAGAACCGATTTGTCTGGCTGCGTGAATCCCCTGGAACCGGGAAGACTGCGATATCTATGAGTGTCGCGTCCACTGTTGAAAGTCAGGGTACCCTGGCAGCATCATTCTTCTGGGATAAGAATTAGACAGGAAGAGGCCTCGATTGGTTTCCCTCTACCCTCGCACATCAACTGGCAGCCTTCAATGAAGACTTCAAGATATCGCTTGTCAGACACCTTCGGCAGCCATCTTTGGCATTGGCCCGACATCTTCCCTTGAAAAACCAGATGAGGGCTCTTATTATCGAACCTATGCGTAACCTGACGGGCCGCTCACGGGAGAAGACCGCTTCATCATCGTTCTCGATGACTTAGATGAATGTGGGGACCAAGAGAGGCTCGACACCTTGATGGGCCTCGTCTTTATGCTTCATGACCTACCAACCACATTTGCCGTATTAGTGAGTTGTCGGCCGGAGACGCAAGTTGTTTCGGCTTTTACTGCAGCTAGAGACGTGGGTTACGTGATACCATATGAAGATATGGATCTAAACGAGAAAAGCGAAACTTACTTCACTATCCGCCGCATGATCGAGGAAAGCCTCCAGGATCACATCAAAAGATCCAAGTAGGAACCGTCGAAGGCTGGTCTTGACGCCTTCGCTTCAGCTTGTCGTGAATTACCTGCTATCGCCTCGATCCGGATTCGGGAACTGTGCATTCAGACTCGGCGTGGTCGTACTCTGCAATCGGAGTTCCAATATTACCGTGATCTCACCGATGCGCCTGCTGACCTCAACTCAGAGTTCCTATGCATATCGCGACAAGCCTATATGGCTGATTCGTCTGGAATCCATCCGGACCTAACCAAAAAATATCACCTAGTCATTGGGATATTGTGGCCGCTCGCGAGCCACTCAACGTGTCTTCGTCAACCCTTCTCAAACTTTCCGAAGATGAGGCTCATGCGATATTGGAACCAACCAGCTGCATAGTTGACCACCCCTTCAGAAACACAAAATGCCAATTTCTATCATGCAACCGCAAAAAAACTCATCACTGGTCTTCCAATCGACAACGAAAATGACCAGGCATTCTTTATAACTGATGTGAAGGGGCATTTCTTTAAATTACCACTCCTGCAACTTTTCAATTATCTTTGTAGGTAGAATTAGTTTAGCATGTCGACAACACCTCCTTTAGGGCGTGAAAGCAAATGTGGTGTTTTTTTGCAGAAGAGACAACAGCATCCAGTTTATGGCCGATATGTTACTACTGCAACACTTAGGAGTTCAAATCTTCTTACATGGGGCGTGCCGAATGAATTGCTTCGAATCAATGTAAGTCTGAGTCAATACTGACGCTTGTTTGAATTACATGATGTCAGCACTCACCCCATCCGCATCCTCAGCATTTCTGGCGAGTTTTCTGGATACATAATTCCATTAAGTGAGAGAGCTCTCAGCTCATGGAGGCGAAGCTCAAGGAATGACCAACGAAGGTTGATGATGAAGAGATTAAGTAATTACGAAGCTGAGTTTCGTGAACGTGATGTTCGTAATGGTGTTGTAACAAAGTCGTGAGGGGAGGCAAGTGGTCGAATATATATATGGATCACCCCAAACACACATGAATGCGATAAAATTGTACCAATCCCTGTCAACATCTGGCGGAACTCGTGCTATCAACGATCCATCGTCCGACGCCACAGTAACAGCTGGGTAGCGGCCACCAGCGAGAGTGCCAAGTCTGATAGGCGTCATATCATGGTCAAAGGCGGTGATGTTTCCCTTGGTGTCCCCGGTAGCGATTCGGTGCTTGCTATGGATGAAATCGACCCATGCTAGACGATCGCATTCGAACCGAGTGACCGCTCGCTGTGATCAATGTCGGCGATCTCAACTACACCGCTATCAAAGGGAAGTGCGATGTAGTCCCCGTCCAGGATAGTTATTTAGTGATTCCTCATCATCACATGATCAGTTTCTCGCTCGGAGCATGGTATATTGGCGCTTTCGATGGAGAACCCAGTCGCGCGATCTCATTGCACACTATCGCGTTACAAGTTTTTCGACAATCCTGGAATTCCTCTCTCATATTCTCTCAACCCATTCCCATTCTTCCCTCGAGGGGCGGCATGGTCCAACAAACCAAGAGCACGACTTAGATGACTCCTGGATCAGGCGCCCATTTTACGACCTCTCACCAAACGCAAGAAAGCCCGCCGGAGCCCAATCATCTGCAATAGGAAGAACCCTACTGGGATGCGATTACCGGGAGGATAAAGGTTTCCGCAGGTCGGTCATATGGTTTAATGGTGGATGAGTGCTCGGACCCCCAGAAAACTGTGATCCGATCGCCTGTAAACTGTTCGCCAACAGTGTGCCTGTGCCGGTAGCCTGGTATGGCGATCGAGTGCTGGTAGGTTGGCATGGTAGTCGAGCGTCATATGAGGCTTGCTCTTTCCACACTGGCTCCGAGTACAATGGAGAACTTAATTTGACTATGCGTAAAATTATCTGTTATCAGCGTCTACAATAATTACGATGAGCGCGTAGTATGATGAAATTAAACCGTTTGTGGAAAGTAACCACGCCAGATGGCATCAAATCCTTTTTTTTAGAATATATTTGAGCTTGACACAAGAGAAGGACAGCTTCTACCTGAACGACCAGAGGGGGGTGCATCACTGATCTCGTAGGTTGGACAGTAAGGAATGGAAAAGGAATTGTGCTGAAGCACGGGCGTGCCTTGCACTGACGCAGGAGATGGACAGCTGGCTGAACGGTAAAATTTTGCGCAAAGGTCGATGGAGGGGGTTGGAAATTGGTTTTGAAAGGCGTTTGGCCCGTCTGGACTAAGGGCAGAAGCTGGGGACTCCATGAGAATGTACACGTATATAATGGTAGGGCCAATAGTTCGAGCAGATCTCGCTATCCTGAGGATCGGGGTCGGGCGGCATCCCAGATGTTGTCGTAGGATCCTACTCCGAGTTCTTAGCGCTGCGCTGCCCATATTTTCAGACAGGACAGGATGAACAAGTTCGACCAAACTACATTGGAAAGAAGCGTGTAGCTATCACTTCGCCATTCAAGGGCAGTCGGACACTCCACCGCAATTCGTGTCAAACACACACCTCTACGACGGAGATTGCATCGTGTTTGGGCGAACGAATATGAACGCAAGACTGATTTAGCACGGTGCATGAGCGGAGAACCAGCACCGAGAGGCAGCTATGGTAGAAGCTACAACAGAGGAGCGGGTGAACCGATGGTTAAAATGAATATGATCTATGGGAATCCTGAGTGGTGGAAGAATTTTGTCTCTTGGCAGTAGAAATTGTCCTTGGCGCGTTGATCCGGAAGAAAGCAAGCTCAGGAATGCAGTTATAAAGAGTCGAAAAGGGACGGACATATGTCAAAGAGCGTTCCATATTTGTAATAAAGCTCTGTGAGGCCACCCCATGACCTTCCGATGTAACGCAACGGAGAAGTTGCTTCAGAGTTGATGTTGACGCCAGACGGAAAGACTGAACACACTGCAATATGACAAAACGTCGGAACGCATGTCAACTCCTGAAACAGGTGCACATCTTGATTAGCGTCCCTAAGACTGTTCTCATGCTGTGTTTGTCTGGATTGATAAGAAGTGGAAAGCTCCCTCAAAACTGTTCGAGGACACCGTGTTGAAATTGAATCTAGCAACGAAATCCTGTTCTCGTAGCAGCAAAGGCGACCCGGCCAGAAAGTGGGTGGCACAGGGTAGCGCAAATAGCAATTCAGGCCGAACCGTGACGATATCCTAGTCGGCGGGAGGAGATAGTTGTTGCTATGGGGATTAGCTCGCATCTCCAGTCCGCAGTGTCAAGCGATCAGCTTAGGCTTTCGCTAAGTTAGTGAACCAGAGTTAATGAATTACAATTTTAAATACCTACCCGGGCCCCGAAGGTGTCTGTGCTACAAGGTTCCGCTTCTCCCAGTTCATCAGGGGCGACGGGGACCGTGGACCGTCAGACCAACGCATCAACCCTATCGCAGAAAGGCACGAGGATGGTTTCGGCGCATCTGACTTGAAAGTGACGGGAGAATAATACAAAGGTTCACATGCGTCTAACAGAACGCGAGCACCTCACAACGATTCTTCAGGGAAACGCAAGATCGACGCGGGTCCAAGTTTCGGTGATGTTCCAGTCAATGCAAGAGGACAGGGTGAGCACTTGTGAGGATTGTGGTGCGTAGCACTATGACTGGAAAGCAATTTGACGAAACGGAGATCGAAGAGGTGCCAAGGAGGTCGAGACGCTGTAGTAAGTTGAGCGGTTCGCCATTTTGTACGCGAGTGGAAAGGCCTGGAACAAGTGAAATAACCTCCGGGCCAGAGCTGATCTTCATGGGGGTGCTGCGTATCAGAGCGACGTCCAAAACTCCGGGGAGAAGCCGTTGGTTGCTCCAGTCTATCTGCCAAACTGTACTGGTCAGAACTCATGTAGAAGCCAGATGTCGACAACGCGGAGCATGGCGGTGTCCGAACAATTCAAAATCGGAAACCGAATTCTGGCCAGACTTAGAACAAGAAATGCGATTGCCTACAGCGTTGCGTCGATCTCTGGATGGTCTGATACCATGTTACTTGACCTTCTCCTTCATGTTGTAACCTACTCGGATCGTTGACTATGTCGACATCTTTCTGATGAGTGTCTCGGTAGATGCTGATCGTGGACATGCCGCCGTTTGGGAATGGACATATGTCCGGTTTATGCGGAGGATCTTTTGAACTGTGGCATGCCTTGTTTAGAGGCACTTAATCGTTTTAAGTGTCACTAAATGGGCGCTCCCTCCCGCTGTGAATGGCCCACGCAGAATGGAAGGGAATAGGGAATCAGAATGTATCCCGAGCCCTTAAGTGAGAGAAGAGGAAACTCATGAGCAACTTTAATATACAGTGCACCGCCAGCCAATAGCAGTGGATTCCGCATGAAAAGCTCAGTAGGATCCCCTGGTGGAACAGTGTCACGCTCCGGAGACCAGCGCCTTCAGCGTACGAAGAAGAGGGAGGCCGAAAACACCCTCCAAAACGAGTTGATGCCGTCCATGTCTCTCAACAGTGACACCAAACGGCCTTCCATTACAGGAAAGACATTGAGCACGGAGCGGTCACTTAGCGTCGGTTACCAACATCCATGAGATCAATGAAGCGCTCTCACAGTAACGTGTACGCGCCCAGTGACGGACAACGCTGACGATTTGCAGATGAAGGGCTTTCCTAGAGTGTGCTCTGGGAATTTCCTTATTCAACAGTATGAAGAATGCCGCAGCACACGAAATTTCACGATGGCGGAGCAGGGCAACGATCGGTCTGATCAGCGCTGGGAGGGTATTCGGGGTCAGCACTGAGCGATTGCACAGGACAGGTTTCCTGGAGTGGATAAGTCTTCCGGAAAAGTGCTTAAGTGTCCCTGAGCCATCCTTTTCTTTTTTTATAATCTCGGGAGAATGGGATGGGATGGGGTGGGGTGGCAAAGTGAAGTTCCGGTTGATGCTAGACAAACAGAGGGAGACGTGAACCAGTCACTTCCGAGAATCCTTCGTCATAATTTAGTCAGCTCGTGAGCTAGATGCAACCTAAATAAGAATTGGGGAAAGACTCGCTGCCACAAATTGGCCGACGTAGGAACTACCGACTAAGTTTGGGCTTTACCCGACATGCGAACAATATCATGACTGGGGCAGGAGTCTGAGCCTTCATTTACGAGGAGCGCCTCGGAATGGTGTCCGAGATTGTCAAGTGATATTTTGGGATTGCGGGGCGCTTGAGCCAGATCCGGGGTGTACGATGTCGGTTGGATAACAACTAGGTCGCGCCGGGGCTCCACACTTCCTTCATTCACGAATGTTGGTGAGCGATGCATCTAGGCTCCCAAGCGCTAAAGCCAAATCCGGAATGTATGGTGTCGGATGGGTGGCAACCAGCTCGCGCGAGAGCTGTACACTTTCTTTGATCACTGTGAGCGCCTCGGAATGGCGTCCAACTTTGTCGAGTGATACAAAAAGGTTCCGAAGGGCTAGAGCCAAATCCAGGGTGTATGATGTTGGATGGGTGGCAACTAGCTCACGGCAGAGTTTCACACTTTCTTCGACCACCATGAGCGCCTCGGAATGGCGTCCAACTTTGTCAAGTGATACAAAAAGATTCAGGAGCGCTCGAGCCAAATCCAGGGTGTATGATGTGGGGCGGGTGGCAACTAGCTTGCGCCAGAGTTCCACACTTTCTTCAATCACTGTGAGGGCCTCGGAATGGTGCCCAACTTTGTCAAGTGACACTTTAAGATTCAAGAGCGCACCAGCCAAATCTGGGGTGTATGATGTTGGATGGGTGGAAACTAGCTCGCGCCAGAGTTTCACACTTTCCTCAATCACTGAGAGCGCCTCAGAATGGCGTCCAGCGTTGTCGAGTGATACTTTAAGATTCTGGAGCGCTCGAGCCAAATCTGGGATATATAATGCTGGATGAGTGGCAACTAGCTCGCGCCAGAGTTTCACACTTTCTTCGATTGCCATGAGCGCCTCGGAATGGCGTCCAAGTTGGTCGAGTGATACTTTAAGATTCCGAAGTACTCCAGCCAGATCCGGGGTGTATGATGTTGGATGGGTGGCAACTAGCTCACGCCAGAGTTTCACACTTTCTTTGATCACCGTGAGCGCCTCGGAATGGCGTCCAACTTTGTCCAGTGATACAAAAAGATTCCAGAGTGCTCCAGCCAAACCCGGGGTGTATGATGTTGGATGGGTGGCAACTAGCTCGCGCCAGAGTTTCACACTTTCTTCGATCACCATGAGCGCTTCAGAATGGCATCCAACGTTGTTGAGTGATACCTCAAGATCCCGGAGCGCTCGAGCCAAATCTGGGGTGTATGATGTTGGATGGGTGGTAACTAGCTCGCGCCACAGTTTCACGCTTTCTTCGACCACTGTGAGCGCCTCAGAATGGCGTCCAACTTGGTCGAGTGATGCTTTAAGATTCTGGAGCACTCCAGCTAAATCCGGGGTGTATGATGTTGGATGGGTGGCAACTAGCTTGCGCCAGAGTTTCAGACTTTCTTCAATCACTGTGAGCGCCTCGGAATGGCGTCCAACTGTGTTAAGTGATACAGAAAGATTCCGGAGCACTCCAGCTAAGTCCGGGGTGTATGATGTTGGATGGTTGGCAACTAGCTTGCGCCAGAGTTTCACACTTTCTTCAATCACTGTGAGCGCCTCGAAATGGCGTCCAACTGTGTTGAGTGATACAGAAAGATTCCGGAGCGCCCCAGCCAAATCCGGGGTGTATGATGTTGGATGAGTGGCAACTAGCTTGCGCCAGAGTTTCACACTTTCTTCAATCACTGTGAGTGCCTCGGAATGGCGTCCAACTTTGTCAAGTGATACAAAAAGACTCCGGAGCGCTCCAGCCAGATCTGGGGTGTATGATGTTGGATGGGTGGCAACAAGCTCACGCCAGAGTTGGACACTTTCTTCGATCACCATGAACGCCTCGGAATGGCACCCAACTTTGGAGAGTGATACATAAAGATGCCGAAGCGCTCGAGCCAAATCCGGAGTGTAGGACTCTGAGTCCGTAGACACAAGGCAATGGCACAGTGCAACTGAATCACTTGCCATCTCATATGCCTCCTGCAATCTTAAAAAGAACCCAAGATTTCCACTCACATTGCCAAACACTTTGACCAACAGGTGAATGACCTCTTTGGAGGCCCAATCAAGGTTCAACTGAAGGAACATGAGACCGAACAAGAGTCCCAAATGATCGCTACTGATGATTCATACCTTGGCCCATTCAGGGAACGATGATATACTAATATACCCTTCCGTCCTCACACAGACTTCCACCCAGCGCGATATTTGCCCACCGAGAAATGCGTCAATATGCCCGCTGGGCGCCTCCAGCGGCCCCTGAAATTGGCTGAGATGGTGCACGAAATGCCGACATGCATAATGAACGTGTTCGGACAGCGCCTCTTGAGGAATGGATGGCAGCTTAGCCATTTCGGATAAGTCCTCAATCAGTCCCAACCCTTTCACAGTGGGAAGATCTTTATTCAAGATTTCAATGCAGCGCAAGGCTACTCTGGCATCCTCCCTCCTTGCATCCACTGCAAACCGACCAAGTATGGGTGATTGTGGACCGACTCGGTCCGTGAGAAAATCGCGGAAAGATTGGTGCAGAATACGAATTGGCTTGTTAGAATCCCCTACTCCTGAGACGAGGGGCGCAAGTTGAGCTAACGTATATCTGATGTCCGACTCTAGGAGAGGCGACAGAATGGCATTCCAAGCCGCAACAGATAGTGGCTGCCGTGCAACTAAGATTGCTCCCATCACAATCGGGTAGTCATGCACGAAATCGTCGTTCTTCCAGTTACACTTCTCCAGAATGTTCGCATACAGCTTATCCATCATTTCCTCTGCAGAAGCCTTTGATCGGCTGAGATCATCATCGAGCAATTTCTTTAGCATCTTCGTGGCATCTCCACCGGTGACCTTCATGTAGCGAAACACAGTACTGATCCAAATGAACAGGCCACCTGCTCGCTCTAATATGCACTGGACCAATTCATCTTCCTCCCCCATTCCGACTTTCATATCATTATGCACATCCTTCAGTTCACGCAGTTGCGACCGGATGTAGATAGCGCAGTCATGCATGTTAATATCGTCCGAAAGATTTATGGTGAGGCGATTGATGGGGTAATTAAGCGATAGAAAACGGTCAACAAGGTCGAATTGCCTAGAAGTGACAAAGAATTTGATGTTGATCGGTAGTTTTGGCACTTCTTTTCGAAGTATGTTGGCAAGAAGTGGGAACGCCTCTGTGTCGCACTCATCTAACGCGTCAATGATGATCACCATAGGACGACCAGACGAGGATGTCCTGAGACGGAGAGGTTCAGCCACTAGTTTCTCGAATTGCGTCGCGAACGGGGCAGTCGAGAGGGCTGGGTCCTCCTGAAGAGTCGATATGAGTGAGGCACGGTATGCAGGGTCATTGGTTGCCAGAGATCGAGCCATGCCGCTGAACAGATGGTCCGGCCGTGACTGCTCGCCTGCTTTGAAAAAGAAGCTTGACGATGATATCTTTTCTCTTTTACACTCCTCTGCGATTGAGAGCGCAACAGATGTCTTGCCGGCACCAGCCACGGCCGTTAGCAGTAATATACGATTCTTGCTATCCTCCGTGGTACGACACCACGCCATAATGCGCTCGATCAGATCAATCCTGGTGTCTTTCAAGCACGGCTGAGTTGAACCGTGATGGGCGACAATGGGATATTTGAGTTCATTCAGAACTGAGGAATCTTCTACTCCACGAGTGAACCGATCTTGATTGTTTGCTATTGCACCAACCGTCATATTTGTCTGCAGCTACGTGGTTTCGATAATGAAATCATAACAGAAACATAACCGAGGATCGAACGGAATTACCTGGAACATTGCCAACGCTTCGCTAAAATCTTTCTTTAAATCATCGATCCTACTGGGGTTCTTCATATGAGAGAGGAAGTTGCGGATACCAGACTGCCTTTCCATCTTTCCACGCAACCGATTGATCTCAATTCGAATGCGCTCCAGCGCCCTACAAAGTACTTACGTTATAGAACGGTTATGACCTGCATAGAGCAGATACTACTTACTCGCTCAGCTTCTTGACGCTTTCCACCCACGGCTTAGGCTCTTCGTCATACGAATCGATGGCTGTAAGGACATCGACCATGGCGTCCCCGATATATTTCCCAAAACGCCCCCATTCTTCCTTGTTTCCCCTGAACTTCTACACAATGCACATTGTCAACTTCCGTTCCAGGATCGGTATAAATTGTTACTAACTCTGATTTCAGTGAGGATGAAGAGTGCGGCATTGGTGGCAGCCTGTAGGGGGGGGAACACGCCCGATGCAGTATTGACGGCGGTGAGAACTGGAATTGCGACATCGCCTCCCATAGCGAGGAGATTATTGACCGCCTGCTTCAACGGCATGGTTAATGATGGGTGGATGAAAGGATAGGGAGCGACCGCAAAGTCGTTAAACTACCCCCGGGAGGACACGAAACATCACATAAATGAGAGCGAGAAAGAACTTAGATCTTTTTGAAAAAAACAAAAAACAAAAAACAAAAACAAAAACACAAACAAAGCCAAAACAGCGCCGGCAACGGCGAGCACCTGGCCGCGTCATTGGGCCCCTCAGGGTGTCACCAGAAGACGGCTGAGCCGAATGTGCTGAAGGGTGGGTGCGCCTGAACGGAACCTGCCTACTTGGAGCCAGTGTTCCTCGGCACCCGGGTAACTCCATCACGGAGTTAGGTCGGTCGAACCACGAGAAACTCCCTCGAAGTTTCCTCGTCCCACCAAGTTACAATATGGAGACTTACCCCTCTGGTAAGCAACTCCCTAACCCTTCCTAACCAAGAATCCCGCGGTGTCCCTGGCGGCAAAACCCCTGGGACTAAGACCCATATATGAAAAGGTCACATTTGTAACTGTACAGCAGAGGCCGTGGGAATACCACTTGCCTTGACCACAGGACTGTGAAAACGAGTAAGACCTTCCCGGAGTTGTCCGAATTGACTGCTATATTGTTATATTCCCACGCACCCGAGCTCACGTGCATACACAATAGTACATGTTAACACGGCCCCAGCGCAAGCGCAAAGTTGACCCATTTTGAAACTAACATTCTAGACATAGTGCTGGGCCCAAATATACTGGGCCTACGGGCAACAGGAAAGCCCGGCACTGACCCATCCACCCAACCAACACTCTCACAAAGGCCGGCAACCCGTGAGAGGACCATCCTAAATGCCACAGAAAACTACACAACCACAAAGCCCAATCCCACGGAATGTTCTAAACCGGTTTATGACCCTGTGCCCTTGGCTCCCGGAGGGCAGGAAGCTTATCCCGTTTTGCCAATGCCCAATGATGGCTGCCAAGTCCTGGAAAACGGACACCCCCCCAATAAAAAGAAAAATAAAGTCCTCCGTCTGAGGGGTGGCGACCCCACCCCCCAAAACCACCCCCCTAGCTTAAAAATAGGTGCTCTAAACATCAAGGGTGCCAACAGCCCCACTACCAAGTACAAATGGACAACAATCACACGAAAAATGAAACAGGAGAGATTTGGGATCATGTGCCTCTCAGAAACACACTCCGACCAGCTACAGCAAAACCACCTAAACAATATTTATAGTGCTGAGTGGTCAATCTTCCACTCCTACAACCCAGAACACACCCGCGCGGGCGGAGTAGCAATAATCATTAACAAAAGTATAATAAAAACTTGTCCCAGATCAGTAAAGGACATCATCCCGGGCCGCGCTCTCCTCATAGAAATAGAATGGCCACCAAATATCCCCATCAAAATCCTAGCTATATATGCCCCCAACCCCCAGAACGCCAACTCCCGATTCTGGAAGGACATCCGCCAGGAACTTAACAGTACCCCTATAGACATTATGCTCGGGGACTTCAATATGGTAGAAGAAGCCATGGACAGACTTCCCCCTCACCCCGACCCAGAACCCACTGTGACCGCCCTCCGTGACCTCACTTCTCATAACAGCCTCACGGACGGATGGAGAGAGTCACACCCAGCCCCTGAAAGAAACTTCACCTTCGGCCATGCTACAGGGGCGTCCCTCTCCAGACTAGACAGAATATACGCAAATGATATCATAAGAAATAGAGCCTACACATGGGAAATAACAAATCCCGGCCTACCTACAGCTGACCACCAACTTGTCTCGGTTGAGTTAAGGGATGACCGCGCAACTGCAATCGGGAAAGGGCGATGGGCCATCCCTCTATACCTAACCAATGACCAAAGCTTCCTAAAGGAAGTCGAAGCCATTGGCAATGAGACCCTCAAAAAAATGATCAGAAACAATAATGTACAAAACACCTTCATTGAATTTGTATCTGCCGTGACCCACCTAGCCAGGAAAACCGCAAAAGTAAAAGCCGGCAAACTCAACTCCGAGATGAGGCGCCTCACACACAGACGTGACAGAGCCATGTTGAGACTAACATCCGCGGACGAGACCCTTGTTGAAATGACCCAAGTCCAAGTCCAAAACCTAACAAAAAGAATCAATGAAATAGAGAAACTAAAACTAGCCAAATCGAAAGCGCGCACCGGAGCAAATAAAAGAATCCTAAGTGAAACAACCAACAAATACTGGTGTAGATGGGGAAAGGAAAACAAACCCCGCGACACAATACCCGAGCTGAGAATCCCAGAGTCCAGCCCCCCTGCCTACACAACTGACTCAACCGAGATGTCAAACATAGCGGCCAACCACTACAACTCCGTCCAGTACAGAGACCTGTCTACCCACCAAGAGGAGAGGGAGACCCACATTACAAACTCCATAAACAAGATCCGGAACCACGTCCCACCAGAAGCCCTTGCGGACCTGGCCACCCCACTAAGCCTTGCGGACATAGAGAAAGCCCTAAACCAGTCTCCCCTAGGAAAGTCCCCTGGCCTCAACGGCATACCCACCGAGTTATTCAAAAACCTAAACACGAGGTGGAAGGAAGGAAGGAATGAGAATCGCGGTTTACATATAGTAAAACTCCTAACCTACCTAGCCAATGATATTGAAATGAACGGCATCTCCTGCCCACTTATCTCAGAAGGGTGGCTCTGCCCACTCTACAAAAAAAAAGATAAAAGAGAAATTGAGAATTACAGACCTATAACCGTGCTAAACGCGGAGTACAAAATCATCACAACAGCCATTATGAACAAACTATCCCCCATAGCCCCCCTCCTGGTCCATAAATGCCAAGCGGCCTTCATCAAAGGCCGCAGTATTTTCGACCAAATAGATCTTGTCAACCGTATGACCGACTTATGTGAATTAACCGGACAAGATGGTGCAATTATCGCCCTCGACCAAGAGAAGGCATATGACCGCATTCGGCACGATTACCTCTGGAGAGCCATGGAGTCCATGGGAATCCCCCCTAACCTCATATTGACAATCAAAAATCTCTACACCGATGCTAAAACAAAAGTAATCCTAAACGGCATGATCAGCCATGAATTCCCAATAACAAGAGGGGTCCGCCAAGGCGACCCCCTGTCCTGCCTCCTCTTCAATATCGCCATAGAACCTCTATCAATCGCCCTCAGAGAATCCCCATCCCTCCGAGGCCTAGAGATCAACACCCCCACTCTCTCACAGAGAGTTATAATATCCCTCTTCGCTGACGATGCCGCTGTCTTCCTTGCCAAGGACGATGACCTGAATACCCTACTCTCAACTCTAAACTGCTGGTGCATCGCATCAGGGGCCAAATTCAACCAAGAAAAAACCATCGTCCTCCCTGTCGGCTCACCGGAATACCGCGAGAGGGTACATAACGAGAGAACTATTAATCCCTCCTCCGATGTTAGCCTAAATGAATCGATAACCATTCTAAAAGACGGACAAACAATGAAATACTTAGGGGCCCAATGCGGGAACAAGCCCAGTCATAAAGACCCCTGGCCCTCAATCACAACAAACATTGAAAAGTCGCTTACCCAATGGAACAGAACCCACCCCTCCCTCGAAGGCAGACGCCTGATCGCCCAAATGACCATCGGTGGAATGACCCAGTTCCATACCCGTGCCCAAGGAATGCCAAAAGACGTGGAAAAATGCCTAAACAGAAGAATACGTGAGTTTATTTGGAACTCCGACTCCCCCCCCCTATGAGCATGGACCAGCTAAACAGACCAAAAGCCCAAGGCGGAAAAAATGTCCTGAACTTACGAGACAGAAACGAGGCGATCCACCTCATCAAACTCCAAAAAATCCTCGATAGATCCCCCAATAGGCCCCCGGCCTCAGACGCCGCCGAAGCCATCCTACTAGCCGTTCTCCCAAAAAACCAACTGCCCCAAGACCCGGCACACCCCTTCATCACAAACATCTTCACCCAAAAACCCTTCCTCAACGCCCGAACCCATCATAGGAATATCCCAGCTGAACTCCGAAACACCTTGAACGTCGGAGCTAAATACAACCTCAGATTGGAGAACCCGACAATTGATCTTAGCACAAAGCTTAACCTACCAGCCTGGGCCCACCCGGGTCTTGAAAACAACCTGAGAATCAGCGACCGCTCAAAAACGGCATCCTGCCTAAGAGCGTCCCATAGTTGCAAACACGTCGGTGACCTTGTCGCCCAAGTCGACCACCAAGAAAACCCGGCCCATGACCCCACAAAAAGAAAGTGCCCCTGCCCCCCCTGCACGACCTACAGACTGGCTGGCTGTAAAAACCCGGAAGGATGTTACCAAACGGCAATGAAAATTGCCACGAACCTCGACCTCCATTACAGCCCATACAGCGACTCGCACCTTCTTCCCCTACCGGACCGCCCCCCTGAGGAAACAGCCAGGCAACATGCCATTGGAAACCCAAACGACATCAAAATCTTCCTCCCATCCCCCCAATTATGTTCCCCACTCCACCACCACTACAGAGTATTCGGCAGAACCCCCCCGGAAACCCCAAGGGACCTGACCCCCCAATCCCAACAAACCAGCAATGTGGTGGCATTCACGGATGGATCCTGTCCTCAAAATGGAGACACTAACGCGAAAGCCGGCTTTGGAGTATGGTACGGCCCAAACAACCCCTGGAACATTAGCAAAAGAGTCAACCCACGCTACCCACAATCCAACAACACAGCGGAAATACTTGCCATACACCATGCTGCCACCTCCACACCCCTATCATCGAACCTCCACATCAAGTCCGACTCGGAGTGGTGCATCAACACCCTCTGTGACAACCTTGAATCCCACGAAGACTCGGATTACGCCTACATAAAAAACCAATACATCATTAAACTGGCCGTAAGCGCCCTAAGATCCAGACTCACCCCAACTTCATTCGAATGGCTAAAGGGCCACGCAGGAATCCACGGAAACGAAGAAGCGGACAACCTGGCCGCAACAGGCGTCCTCCTAGATCCGG